CAGGGAGCGTATAAAGCACAAGCAAGGTCTTGTCATAGCATCACAGGGGCGTGTATAAAACATGAGCCAGGTCTTGTCATAGCATCACAGGGAGCGTATAAAGCACAAGCAAGGTCTTGTCATAGCATCACAGGGAGCGTATAAAACATGAGCCAGGTCTTGTCATAGCATCACAGGTAGCGTATAAAACATGAGCAAGGTCTTGTCATAGCATCACAGGGAGCGTATAAAACATGAGCAAGGTCTTGTCATAGCATCACAGGTAGCGTATAAAACATGAGCAAGGTCTTGTCATAGCATCACAGGGAGCGTATAAAACATGAGCCAGGTCTTGTCATAGCATCACAGGGAGCGTATAAACCATGAGCCAGGTCTTGTCATAGCATCACAGGGAGCGTATAAAACATGAGCAAGGTCTTGTCATAGCATCACAGGGAGCGTATAAAGCACAAGCAAGGTCTTGTCATAGCATCACAGGGAGCGTATAAAACATGAGCCAGGTCTTGTCATAGCATCACAGGGAGCGTATAAAACATGAGCCAGGTCTTGTCATAGCATCACAGGGAGCGTATAAAGCATGAGCAAGGTCTTGTCATAGCATCACAGGGAGCGTATAAAGCACAAGCAAGGTCTTGTCATAGCATCACAGGGAGCGTATAAAGCACAAGCAAGGTCTTGTCATAGCATCACAGGGAGCGTATAAAGCACAAGCAAGGTCTTGTCATAGCATCACAGGGAGCGTATAAAACATGAGCAAGGTCTTGTCATAGCATCACAGGGAGCGTATAAAACATGAGCAAGGTCTTGTCATAGCATCACAGGGAGCGTATAAAGCACAAGCAAGGTCTTGTCATAGCATCACAGGGAGCGTATAAAACATGAGCCAGGTCTTGTCATAGCATCACAGGGAGCGTATAAAGCACAAGCAAGGTCTTGTCATAGCATCACAGGGAGTGTATAAAACATGAGCAAGGTCTTGTCATAGCATCACAGGGAGCGTATAAAACATGAGCAAGGTCTTGTCATAGCATCACAGGGAGTGTATAAAACATGAGCCAGGTCTTGTCATAGCATCACAGGGAGCGTATAAAACATGAGCAAGGTCTTGTCATAGCATCACAGGGAGTGTATAAAACATGAGCAAGGTCTTGTCATAGCATCACAGGGAGCGTATAAAACATGAGCAAGGTCTTGTCATAGCATCACAGGGAGCGTATAAAACATGAGCCAGGTCTTGTCCCTGCAACCGTTATTGTTGTGGGTGAAATAACAACCAATAATTATCAAACATTGTCACGGGTTCTGAAGGGGCAAGGTGACGCTCTCACTGGCTGTTATAACGTTTTTCAACACTTCACACCACAACACTGATTTTACCACAATGTTTAATGAAGGTATAAAACAGGTCATATGATACGTAGGTAGTGCAGCAATGGAATGGATCATTGAAATACAAGAAGGGTTACAAAATGTGATTGTTTATTTAGACATACAGTGTGCTCTCTGTTGCCCCACCCTCGATACTGGTGTCGTGTCTGTCATTACAGGTAAACACACGTGTCTCAGTTACCTCAATAGCTTTATTACTAAAAGTAGTTAACATGTTTGCACATGAAAAAGTATATTGCACTCAATTAACATTTCTTATTGCGTAATGGTACAAGTGGTTTAAGATTATATTGATGATGCGGTAATATGGTAGAATATTGTGACAAGTACTTGTGGTTGTTTTCAACATATGTATCTTATAACAGGTTTTCGAAAGTTTGCAAAATGGACGTAAGATATTTCCAGTGGTGCACCCAATGTTAAGTCCATTTCCACCTAATCTCATCTCATGTAGTTGTGTTTTTTGTGGTACAACATAATCATGCATTTGCCACTGGAAGCACACATTGCTGTTCGGAGCTGTTCTTGCTATTTACCGTCTCCAATCCGGATTCACCCCGGTTGTTTCTTCATCTGTCAGTGCCAGACCTGGTAGGCTTGAACTCGGAAACAACCTCTACCACTGGGCTTTGGTTTGCTTCCACACATCTGACATGTTACGATATAACTGACATGTCGATAGGACTTAACTCATTGTCCATCAAGTTCTGACAACCAGAGTGAATGAATGAGTTTAGTTTTACGCTGCTTTTAGCAACATTCCAGCACTATTCAGGCAGGGACACCAGATATGGGCTTCACACATTGTGCCCATGTGGGGAATCGAACCCGGATCTTCGGCGGGATGAGCGAACGCTTTAACCACCGGACTACTCCACCACCTCTCTGACAACCAGAATTGGAATCAAAGTGAATCATTACATTGAGTAATTTGGTGAGTCAGTTTGGTGGGTTTAACAGCATTTTCAACAGTGTTCCACCTGTCCCACGGCCTGTCGGCTAGATGTGGGAAAAGCCCCCAAGTCACAGAGGTCTTGGACATTAACCATTCGGTGAAATACACAAGTATGGGGGTTACAAACCGGGTAGCATAAATCGAACCCACAATCGCAAGTTTCTAACGTGTGAATTGCGGCAGTTTAGATGACTGTGTCCAGACAACTCTGCACAGAGCATTGTGGTACCTGTTGTGGTACCTGTTGTGGTAGCCGTTGTAGGAGTGGCAGCAGCAGTAGGCTGACTCAGGCATTCCATAATTCCTCCTCCATTCATAAAGCCATTTTTAAATAGATGACACCATACTAGTTAAGAGTTTAAACTTTATTTTACAAATGTGGTTTAGTAAGTACAAAACTATTTGTACAGATATGAGAAAGCATGGTGAAATGCAATACGTGTTCAAAATATTCATTATTGTTACAGGTCTTTGAATGGCTTTATAAGTGATACACATAAGGGAGAGAGTTTTTATGGATGTCAATTTCTTTATTATTAGCAACACAACGTTTTGGAGTATGTCCTTACTCCTTACCACATTCACCTATCAAAGGAGTAAGGATATACTCCCGAAACGTGTTTAGCATCATAAAGAAGTTGACATCCATAAAACGTTCCTCCTTATCATTGTTACAGTCTGAACCCAATTCACCACTGGGAGAATAATTAAAACCTTTGGTTTAAGTGTCACAGATTTTCACAATAGCTTCATGACAGTGAAAATGTACAGTGTAGTGAAAACAAGGTAATGTCGAAGTGTGACATCTGAGCAAAGAAATAACTTCAGAAAGAGGGAGATTTTTTTTCAAACAAATCAAGAAATACATATACAGACTTGTGGGATTGATCTGTACATATATACAGTTCAGTGTTATTTACGTCAGAGGGAAGTGACTCGTATATCTGCACTAACTTCAAAACTAATGAAGAAAACATACCACCATTTAAAGAAGAAAAACAAACTTTACAATGACTAAAATGGGTGAAAGAAAGAACGGGTTTGTGAATACAATAATTCCTATCCCACTTTTTTGTATGTTATAAAACTTAATAACTTCCGTGTAAAAAAGAATATTTCGGAAAATGTGTCAAAGAGGATATGCAATGACTAAAGGCCATGTAAGTGTCAGGTTTTCAAACTTATACTTCACTCCAAAACACATGGCTTGATTTATTGTGTGTTCCATCAAGATCTTCCAAGATCCATCTTGACAATATATCATGAATTTGTTTCCGTCTCAGAAATATTAATGCATTTCCATTTTACTTCTTTTCTTTGTCAAAACAGATGTAGAAGAAATAGGAAAAGATGCCAACTATACAATCAGTTGATGGTGACCTGAGCTAAAGATGCTTTCTGTATTAATACAATGATGTTGACTAGATCCTTTCCCTGTATCCCAGATCACATACACGTACTGACAGCACTCATTGTGGTAGCACTCAATACATAAGTATACACAAGCACTTCAATACACACATATCTACACTAGCACTTCAATACTCATGTATATATACTAGCATAATGGGCTTTCAGCAAATTATCTTTAAAATCATCATCATAATCATCATCTAAATGACACAATGTTGGATCCACAGACAGTTAGGGGCTACAGGCTTTTCAAGGTCAGAACCAAGCAGAAAATGGGTACCCGGTGGGCTAAGTCATGTAACAATAACCTTCTAGAGCCTCACCTTCAGCTTGGGTTATCGGGAATAATAATGAACAGTCTGAGCTATGAGCATGCTGTTGCTGTGTATGTAGTGCAATATAAATGGACTAATTATTATTATAATTAGCATTAATTATAACTTCAATTTCTTTACCCTAATCCAATACCTACATGTATTACTGACAAATCCTAAAAAGACAAACCAAATTGTTAACGTTATAAAACAAACACTGAATATTAAACACACAGCTGTACATAAGACATTGTAGCAGCACTGTGTGACATTTTGTCTGTTGTAGGGGTGTGTAAACCAAGTGGTGTGTTAAACAAGTCAGAGTACCTTACCATGCACTAATGACAGGTTCACTGCTTCACTGCTTACATAGCCAACATGATAACAACAATGCTATATCAAACATGTTTCTTCAAATGTAACTATTTGGAAGAGCAAATACAGTTTTCAAAAGCTAACTTTTCCAACTATGTTTTACTTATCTTACCAAAATACAAAGTAGGGATCTGTGAGATGACTAGATGAGTTTCCTATTACACAGCTTTGAATAATATTCAGGTTCTATCACTGTATGTCAGCTAAATACAGGATGAGAGACTCCAGCAGTGCTGATCGCTGCCGTTGACTACTTTGGTGAAACCCATGAGCAAGGGTGCTGACAAACCAGGAGTCAAACTACAAAGGTTCCTGGTGAGTCTAAGGGAGGTAACTCTGTACAATGAAAATTGGAGCACATTAATAACTGGGCCTCACATGTAACTTTGCCACTAGACTTAGAAAAGTGAATGTTTCTGTCATATACCTGTGGTAAATGCTTTACTCCCAGGTAAAAGAATTCATTTCAGTATGCATCCTATGTCAAAAACTGCAATGTATTACAGTTCAATACACTTGTAACTATGAGAACCACTGTGGAATCTGAACCTGTGTGAACCTGTGTGAACCTGACGGTAGTGCTGTGTCCTGTGAGTTGTATGACTACACAGACATCAGCACATCAAACATATATCACTAAGCATCAGTGACAACAGCAAAACCACTGCTGGTTCTGTCAAAGATAAAGTCTTTGTTGAATACTAAGTATACCCTACAGTAGTGATGTTTGGCACTCTCAGGAAGCTGGGAAACATCGCAGCAACACTTAAACACTGAATCAAGCAAACCACAAGCACAGTATTGTTGTACATACATACAATCAGCAAAACAATGTGCAATTAAAGCCACAATATATGGAAGCATACAGAGAATGTAAAATGTGATAAGCAAACACCACATGGCAGAAAACCATTAATAATCATGACATAATGATATATGAGATAGATATGAGATTCATATTTCTTTTTATGCATCATCCTTCCTCCAGAAGCACTTCTCATGACATGTCTCTGTACAATGTATTACATAACAAAACACAATACACAAAACATGATAATGCCATCACATAAGGGTCTGCAAATCAATGATACATGTTTTGACTTTTCCATTAAACCCAAATTTCAAGGGCCAAAAAGGTTAACCAGTAAACTTATTATCCCTTTCCTATCACCAAAATATGAGTTTGGAACACACTAAAGCAGTTGGGGAACTGTTAAAAACTGATGAGAAGCTCTTCAGCTGCTCACTGTCCCAGTTAGGAGTCTATCTGGTCGTTGTGAGTGGTGTTTCACCAATATTACCATGGGCCATGTCACAATTAAAAGTTTTCATCTTTTTGTATGAAGGATTGGGAACAGTAAAGCCAAGTAACACAACATGGATGGGTGGATGAATGAATGCCCCTTTAGAGAGCAGTGGATGGAAGAACTACTACTGCCTCTATTAGAAAGCTTAACACCAATATCATACATTATCAGCATAAAACTATATTGGGCCTTTAGTAAACATAATTCCACAAAAACACAATGACACATCTAATACTCAGACACTTGTGAAGGTTCTCCAGTTGTCTGTCAAGACTCCCCTCAGTTGTCTGCTAGGGCTAAAGTTTGGTCATGTAATGAATTAACTCATTCTGGTCTATGAAAGCAGGCTTCATACAAAGGATGGTTTACTTTTCAGGTTATCTTTTTATGGAACTCTTAATCCCTTCATAGAAATTTGGTTATTTACTAGTCACAGTTCTCATCTTCATCCAGACCAACAAAAATCAAAGAGCCTGGCAATCATCTTGCCTGTGACTTGCAGCAAGTGTTAGATATCATGTTAGGACATCATGTAAAACAAAGCTGAGCATTTATTGAATATAAAACACATTTTGAGTAAAATATAACACTGAATGTACATGAACGACAATTAATAGGGTGGAATTTGTTATTCAGTAGAAGAAAGTCATTTGATGTCTGGTTGCTAGGTGACAGTCCTGTAGCTTGAAGACAGGACAGCTTCCAGGTCCTATTGCTAGGCAACCGTCATCAGCACTCATCAGTTGAAGGACTGAGGAGACAGATACAAAGATGGAAGTGACAGCTGGTGTTGCTCAGTGATCTGTCTGTGGATGAGGACCTCCGAACATGGGTTCTCAGTGGTTACATTAGGGCAGTCATATCAATGTGGTCACATCATCGTGGTCAAATCACAGCAGTCACATCATTGTAGTCTCATCAATGTGGTCACATCATTGTAGTCTCATCAATGTTGTCACATCATGATGTCACATCAATGTTGTCACATCATGGTGACATCATCAATTCACCATGGTCACATCACAGTGGTCACAGTCGCTTGTCACATCACGGTGGTCACTTCACGGTGGTCACATCACGGTGGTCACATCATGACAGTCACAGGTCGGTGGACTCTTCACAGAGGTTACACCCCAGAAGTCACAATGAACTAGAGTCTTGTGGTTTCATGACCTGCTCGGCGCGGCTGTTGGACGCGGATGCTGGCTGTGGCCACTCCTGATTCAGTTTAATGTTGATGTCCATCAACTGACCGTACAGCTGGTTAAGGTCAAGGTCAACTCGAGTAAGAACAAAAATACCTGAAAGAAATGAACATCAGGAACTAAATGTGTTATATCACCACAGAATATATAAAGTAACTGAAATCTATGAAAGTATGTAACTTTCTGAATAAAATTGATATTTTATACTTATCCTGACTCATGAGGTAAGCAAATAGCATGAGTCAGGATAAGGAAAAATAATTGAAATCTAAACTCAGATTTACACGATCATCTAGGGGTGGGTATTGCAGATAATTTTCATATTACGATATATTGCGATGCGAAATCATATATTGCGATATGTATTGCAATATATTGCATGAAGACTCTTTTAACAAAAATGACTCATAATCGCGTTAATGCTTTATTATAAAGCAAAAACACAACAAATTCACAATGCTTGATTAAGTTTTAATAACAACTTTTAATCATGACAAAATAAAAACCGTGAACTTTTTCAACCCAAATGCTGCCATGCTTAAACCTTTGTCCTAGTATTTGTTCGTTGTTGGGTGTCACCATTTTACAACAATCGCATGACTTCCGGTGTGAAAAACGGATATATCTGAAGATTTCCGCGTGTTACAAAGTTTTCCTAACGCATGTCAAAATACCGTTTTTCAATCAGCATATCGCAATACGTATCGTTTTGATGACTGAACCGGTAAATACCGGTAAACCGGTTATATTGCACAGCCTTACGATCATCCCTTTGTAAATCAAAATCACCGGAAAATTGGCATATCCATGAAAATTGGAAATAATCATTCAAGTTATATAAATACATATTAAGTTCTTGGATGATTTACAAAGTACATATTCCATGACATTAAGAACTCCCGTACAAACCAGTTAAGAAAACACTTATCACTTGCGGCAGGTTGATCCATTCATGGAAATGAAAGATGTAAAAGCTGTGGTCACAGCACCTCAAGAAGCTCACTGAATGGAGTTAATCACAGCAGCGGACATTGTTCTAAAACTCCATCAGACACTCACCATTTTTCTTCTCTGCCAGACAGCTGCAGAAGATGTTGAGTAGCGTGAGGATATCGTCTTCAGATGACATCCCAAACACATCATTAGGCCAGATAGATCTGAAAACAGGACATACTCACATGTCTAAACTACCTGTGCGTAAAATGATATATTATTCTTCAGCTGTAATACAAAGTCTAACGTCAGTTCATTAAGATTCCAGAGAATGTTGCCAATGTGTCTAGGCAAGTTATACACAGTCATAGATACATGGTTGTAGTGTGTAAGTAATTGAGACCACACAATCCAGATTAACATCATAAGCATCTATGTGGGCAACTTGGATATGATACGCATCGACAAAGTCAGTGTCACCAGCTCATTCCATTAGTTGCCTCTTACGACAAGCAACAGTTGCTCTGAATGATTCTAGTTTCCTCCTACTCCTACCCGTGAAGATCCGGATCAGGATTGGTCTTCAGCAACCCATGCTTGTAAGAGGCGACTAACAGGACCTGGTGGTCAGGGTCGCTGACTTGGTTTATACATGTCATCGGTTCCCATTGCATAGAGGTTCATGCTGTTGATCACTGGATTGTCTGGTCCAGACTCAATTATTTACAGACTGCCATATAACTAGTATATTTCTGAGTGAGGCGTTAAACAACAAACCAACCAACCAATCTTGTCTCCTCCACAAACAAGACCAATGAGCAGTCTTGTCCACAGGCTGCTAATTACCAGGTGGATACAGAGATATACTGCAATATCAATGTAAACTAAACACTCCCCTGCCATCAACCTACCTGAATGACCGCAGTAGCTGGATGGCCTTCGGGTACTGCTGACTGTGGATGTACTCGGCCAGACTGGACACTGCCTCCTGTTTGCTGACCACCTTGCAGTCCACGTTGAATGGGGATGCTTGTCCGTTCTCCAGCTCCTGCATGGCGTGAGACAGGGAGCTCTTCACGGACGTGGCTTGTAGAGACATATCTGTCACCTGTACAGACAAAGTGTTCAATAACCAGAGACAGGTATATGTAGTAGACATGTGCTAGAACTACTTTATTGCTGACAAGGTACTGTTCTCCCTGTGGGCAATGGGTGATGAAATGCTAACAACACATTGTTCTCCCTGTGGGGAATAGGTGATGAAATGCTAACAACACATTGTTCTCCCTGTGGGCAATAGGTGATGGAATGCTAACAACACATTGTTCTCCCTGTGGGCAATAGGTGATGGAATGCTAACAACACATTGTTCTCCCTGTGGGGAATAGGTGATGAAATGCTAACAAGACATTGTTCTCCCTGTGGGGAATAGGTGATGAAATGCTAACAACACATTGTTCTCCCTGTGGGCAATGGGTGATGGAATGCTAACAACACATTGTTCTCCCTGTGGGGAATGGGTGATGGAATGCTAACAACACATTGTTCTCCCTGTGGGGAATGGGTGATGGAATGCTAACAACACATTGTTCTCCCTGTGGGGAATGGGTGATGGAATGCTAACGAGGTATTGTTCTACCTGTGGCATCCAGGTGCGGAAATGCTAACAAGGGATTGTCCTTCCCATATATACCAGGTGAAGAAACACTAACACGATATTGTTGTACCGATGTATAACAGGTGATGGAATACTAACAAGGTTTTTGTCCTACCTGTATTTTCACGGATAATGGTTAATGGAGTGGTTAATAGAATCATGCGCTACTGACTTACCTGTGGGGACTGGGTGACTGAGTGAAAGACCTCCAGAAGCTTCAGGTAACTCTCAAACAGCAACACCAGCCCAAACACCAGCTTGTACAGCCTCCGGCACAGATTCAGCTTCTGTAACACATAGTTACAACAATACTTGACTGACTAACACCCACACAAGATAGGCACTCACCAACATCTCACACATTATTACACAATAGACATTCCTGTCTGCTTGTACTAACCTGCTCCTCCCCACACAACAGAGCTGTCCCTCCACCGTCTCCCAGAGACTGTTGCTTAATGGAAGACTTCAGGGCCTCAAGGCTCTATCAACATAATCAGAAATAACATCAATAACATGAATAACCCTTAAGAATAAAATATAGGATGAAAAGACAGTGAAATTAGCAAAGGATGATCCTTAAATTTACACACCTGTTCTGATTGGTCCTTTCTCATGCAGTAGGTCTCAAAACATTCCTGTATCTCCAACATACAGAAACGGTGGCGCTCCAACACTCGACTGCCAATCAGCTGAAAATCACAGAAAGCAGATTAAACACCTTCCATACAAGTGCAGCTGGAGAAACAATTCAGCCATAATGAAGACAGCACAGAATATCCGACATAACAAGGGTATCTCTCGTAGCACTGGCACTATCACTAACACAGCACATTCCATACTGAAGTCCCAAACTGTATATTTCCTTAATTGACAGATGAACTTTCCCTGCATCTTGAAAGAGAGATTTAGAGAATGTTTTCTGTGTTGGTATTAAACTTCAAAGTGAAGAGTATTCTATTTAAAAGGAACTTGAAATAAAAATTGACAGACAGACCACCTAATCCCTACTAGGCTCCCACAAGCACAGGATGCTAGCGATTCAGTCTTCCCTACAATCCTGAGGGTCGATATTCAATACAAGGTACACATATTGTGATACATTGGTCATACTCACACTGTCGGACTCAGCAAATATGAAGGGGCATTCCATCTGCACATACAGCATGTCCAGCACTGTCAGTGATTACATCAGGAAGATAACGGTAATTCTGGTTGACAGACTTAGCTATCTACATAACACAATGTTGGGGTTTGTGCAGCAAACTGATTTGTTCAAAAACATGTAGTAGATCATTAAGTACAAGTAACTAACAACACAGCAGTACTGTAGGTGCTGGGATGATAACACCCAACACAGCAGTACAGTAGGTGCTGGGATGATAACACCCAACACGGCAGTACTGTAGGTGCTGGGATGATAACACCCAACACAGCAGTACTGTAGGTGCTGGGATGATAACACCCAACACGGCAGTACTGTAGGTGCTGGGATGATATAACACACCAACACAGCAGTACTGTAGGTGCTGGGATGATAACACCAACCAACACGGTACTGTAGGTGCTGGGATGATAAACGGCAGTACTGTAGGTGCTGGGATGATAACACTGTAGGTGCTGGGCTGTAGGTGCTGGGATGATAACACCCAACACAGCAGTACTGTAGGTGCTGGGATGATAACACCAACACACACTGTAGGTGCTGGGATGATAACACCCAACACAGCAGTACTGTAGGTGCTGGGATGATACACCCAACAACACATGCGCAGTACTGTAGGTGCTGGGATGATAACTGGGATGATAACACCAACACGGCAGCAGTACTGTAGGTGCTGGGATGATAACACCCAACACAGCAGTACTGTAGGTGCTGGGATGATGATAACACCCAACACAGCAGTAAGCGTGTACTGTAGGAGCTGGGATAACACAACACAGCAGTACTGTAGCTGGGATGTACAGCAGTACTGTAGGTGCTGGGATGATAACACCCAACACAGCAGTACTGTAGGTGCTGGGATGATAACACCAACACAGCAGTACTGTAGGTGCTGGGATGATAACACAGCAGTACCGTAGGTGTAGCGTACTGTAGGTGCTGGGATGATAACACCCAACACAGCAGTACTGTAGGTGCTGGGATGATAACACCCAACACAGCAGTACTGTAGGTGCTGGGATGATAACACCCAACAGGTGCTGGGATGGCAGTACTGTAGGTGCTGGGATGATAACACCCAACACAGCAGTACTGTAGGTGCTGGGATGATAACACCCAACACGGCAGTACTGTAGGTGCTGGGATGATAACACGCAACACAACACCCAACAGTAGTACTGTAGGTGCTGGGATGATAACACCCAACACAGCAGTACTGTAGGTGCTGGGATGATAACACCCAACACAGCAGTACTGTAGGTGCTGGGATGATAACACCCAACACAGCAGTACTGTAGGTGCTGGGATGATAACACCCAACACAGCAGTACTGTAGGTGCTGGGATGATAACACCCAACACAGCAGTACTGTAGGTGCTGGGATGATAACACCCAACCCAACAGCAGTACTGTAGGTGCTGGGATGATAACACCCAACACAGCAGTACTGTAGGTGCTGGGATGATAACACAACACAACACAGATGATAACACCCAACACAGCTGGGATACAACACGTGTACTGTAGGTGCTGGGATGATGGGACTGTAGGTGCTGGGATGATAACACCCAACACAGCAGTACAGGTGCTGGGATGTACAGGTGCTAGGGGATGATAACACCCAACACAGCAGTACTGTAGGTGCTGGGATGATAACACCCAACACAGAAGTACTGTACACTGTAGGTGCTGGGATGATAACACCCAACACGGCAGTACTGTAGGTGCTGGGATGATAACACCCAACACAGCAGTACTGTAGGTGCTGGGATGATAACACCCAACATGGCAGTACTGTAGGTGCTGGGATGATAACACCCAACACAGCAGTACTGTAGGTGCTGGGATGATAACACCCAACACAGCAGTACTGTAGGTGCTGGGATGATAACACCCAACACAGCAGTACTGTAGGTGCTGGGATGATAACACCCAACACAGCAGTACTGTAGGTGCTGGGATGATAACACCCAGCAGTAACTGGATGATAACACCCAACACAGCAGTACTGTAGGTGCTGGGATGATAACACCCAACACAGCAGTAGTGTAGGTGCTGGGATGATAACACCCAACACAGCAGTACTGTAGGTGCTGGGATGATAATACCCAACACGGAGTACTGGCCTTACAAATACGTAGATTGACAGTAAGTATGGTTTAACACTATTTTTAGCAATATTCCAGCAACATCACAGCAGGGATACCAGAACTGGGCTTAACACATTGTACCCATGTGGGGAATTGAACCCAGGTCTTCAGCATGATGAGCCAACATTTAAACCACTAGGCTGAAAGGATATTGATCTGTGAGGCTACAGTCTTCAAAGTCTCAGTCTTGGAGATGTAGAAACATGCTTCCTTTGTCATTGTCATTAACCGACGCCGCAGCTCCTGAAGTGGACAAAAGTCATAGTGAATATGGTCTCATGAAAATAATCAAGAGGAATCATGGTGGCCTGTTAATGATGGAGTCTGATACAGACAAACTACATCTCCACATGGTGTTCATAATATAAAGCATGCAATTTGACAAGAATATCTGTTCACTAGATAATTACTACCTTTGTGTCTCTGTAGATTTAGCAGGATTCTTATGAAATACCAGCTTGGATAATTACATACAATATTCCAGCAAGAGGAATCAAACCTGTGTCATCAACATAATGATCTAACACTTTAACCAGAGGGCTAGTGCCAGTACTGATCAGGTAATGGTTGAATTCAGGTAGCCACTCACCCGGAACAGCCTGGGGAACAACTGGAAGGTGTTGAAGGTGTGGGCCAGGGACACCTCCCCCATCACCTTGGTAACATGGTTCTTCCACACCTCCTCCACCTCGTCACTTTGCAGGTTGAAACTCAGCGACTGCAGCTGGGAGAAGCTCGGTGATGACACTGATGATGCCAACTCCACGATGTCCGTCTCACTTGGGTTGCTGCACAGACTACGCCTGTAAGGATATGCAACATGGAGTTTTGTATTTGACAGTAACGGTATCAGTCTCATATCTCACAATGTCAAAAAAGACAAGGGTCCACTCACCATTCAAATTACATACCAAGAGAGGGAGTGAATGGTACTCTACATATGTAAGTACATGTACATTAAATCTGGACCAGACAAACCAGTGATTGGCAACTAATGTACAACTAAGTGTTGACACCTACGTGGATGCTGTGAGAGGGCTGGACCAGACAAACCAGTGATTGGTACAACTAATGTACCACTAAGTGTTGACACCTACGTGGATGCTGTGAGAGGGCTGGACCAGACAAACCAGTGATTGGTACAACTAATGTACAACTAAGTGTTGACACCTACGTGGATGCTGTGAGAGGGCTGGACCTGACAAACCAGTGATTGGTACAACTAATGTACAACTAAGTGTTGACACCTACGTGGATGCTGTGGCTGGACCTGACAAACCAGTGAGTGTAATGACACCTACGTAGTGATGCTACGTGGATGCTGTGAGAGGGCTGGACCTGACAAACCAGTGATTGGTACAACTAATGTACAACTAAGTGTTGACACCTACGTGGATGCTGTGAGAGGGCTGGACCAGACAAACCAGTGATTGGTACAACTAATGTACAACTAAGTGTTGACACCTACGTGGATGCTGTGAGAGGGCTGGACCAGACAAACCAGTGATTGGTACAACTAATGTACAACTAAGTGTTGACACCTACGTGGATGCTGTGAGAGGGCTGGACCTGACAAACCAGTGATTGGTACAACTAATGTACAACTAAGTGTTGACACCTACGTGGATGCTGTGAGAGGGCTGGACCAGACAAACCAGTGATTGGTACAACTAATGTACAACTAAGTGTTGACACCTACGTGGATGCTGTGAGAGGGCTGGACCAGACAAACCAGTGATTGGTACAACTAATGTACAACTAAGTGTTGACACCTACGTGGATGCTGTGAGAGGGCTGGACCTGACAAACCAGTGATTGGTACAACTAATGTACAACTAAGTGTTGACACCTACGTGGATGCTGTGAGAGGGCTGGACTTCCGTCGTCTCTCCAACTTGGGGTTGGTCACCACGATGGACTCAGAAACCGGTAGGTCCTGGGGGATGTCGTCATTGTCATCCATCGCCGAACTCTCCGACTGCAGGAGGGAAAACAATACATGTAAACAACTTCCACAAAAATGATGGTCACAGAGGCCATGTACTGTGAAATGTCAACTCAAACTGATGGGACAGGCATTTATTACTTTGCTGCTTTATCTAATAGTGACTTAAGTAGCTGAAATCATGACATCAAATGATTTATGTGATCTTCATGACATTGTACCAAAGCACTTACAAATTTATAAACCACTTGTTAGGGATATATTTTTTATCCATTAGTTTTGTTGGGTATTTCTTATTGGTGCATTAGTACAGATCTTCAACTACTTTATCACATGTAGACAGAGAACGTCCCTATTAAGCCTGCGTTTGTATCATAGCAAACTAAAGAATGAATGTATTGTCGTGTTATGGGTTTCCAGATGCCTATAAAATCATCCAAGTATTTACAATGTCTGTGATGCAACAGCCCTTGTATGCAGCACGAGTGAACACTGCCATCTAAAATGTATGATGTCTGAAAACCTATAATCCTGTGATGTATGTGTCACTGTTAAACACATGAGCAACTCAGTATGCAGAGATGCCAACCCTATTTTGGGCCTAAGTGTAACACTGGAGGTCAAAAAGTGTAATTTGGACCTAAAAAGTGTAATACTTAAAACACTTACATAGTGAAAAGGTGATAACTTTATAAAAATTACTTTTAAAAAGGCTTATTCACATGAATAGGAAAGATTCTAGACAGAAATACACGTGACCAATCATTATGCAGTGCCATACATCAAAAATTGTTGGTCAGGTGACACAAAATACTTTAATTCCTTACAAGTTAATTTGAATGAGTGCAATGCTAAGAGTAAGCGATTCCTATCGGTGTAAGGCCATTTCTGAACCCCTGCACTAGTGCGTTACGAAAAATATTCCCTGTGAAATTTTATCCACTTTATTGATTTTCGCAAAACGGGTAGAAAAGCATAATTTTCACAGATTAAGTGTAATGGCGAAATTTAATGGTCAAAATCGTAATAATTATGCCCAAAGCGTAAGGGTTGGCATCTCTGCAGTATGTGTGTCAGTATCTCTGAGACTCACCTCATCCTCGGAGAGTGTTTCCTTGACACTGAGACTCACCTCATCCTTGGAGAGTGTTTCCTTGACACTGAGACTCACCTCATCCTTCGGAGAGTGTTTCCTTGACACTGAGACTCACCTCATCCTCGGAGAGTGTTTCCTTGACACTGAGACTCACCTCATCCTCGGAGAGTGTTTCCTTGACACTGAGACTCACCTCACCTCATCCCTCGGAGAGTGTTTCCTTTGATACTGAGACTCACCTCATCCTGACTTGACACTGAGACTCACCTCATCCTCGGGAGAGTGTTTCCTTGACACTGAGACTCACCTCACTCGGAGAGTGTTTCCTTGACACTGAGACTCACCTCATCCTCGGAGAGTGTTTCCTTGACACTGAGACTCACCTCATCCCGGGAGAGTGTTTCCTTGACACTGAGACTCACCTCACTCGAGAGTGTTTCCTTGACACTGAGACTCACCTCATCCTCGGAGAGTGTTTCCTTGACACTGAGACTCACCTCATCCTCGAGAGAGTGTTTCCTTGACACTGAGACTCACCTCATCCTCGAGAGTGTTTCCTTGATACTGAGACTCACCTCATCCTCGAGAGCGTTTCCTTGACACTGAGACTCACCTCATCCTCGGAGAGTGTTTCCTTGACACTGAGACTCACCTCATCCTCGGAGAGTGTTTCCCTTGACACTGAGACTCACCTCATCCCTCGAGAGTGTTTCCTTGACACTGAGACTCACCTCATCCTCGGAGAGTGTTTCCTTGACACTGAGACTCACCTCATCCTCGGAGAGTTTCCTTGACACTGAGACTCACCTCATCATCCTCGAGAGTGTTTCCTTGACACTGAGACTCACCTCATCCTCGGAGAGTGTTTCCTTGACACTGAGACTCACCTCATCCTCGGAGAGTGTTTCCTTGACACTGAGACTCACCTCATCCTCGAGAGTGTTTCCCTTGACACTGAGACTCACCTCATCCTCGGAGAGTGTTTCCTTGACACTGAGACTCACCTCATCCTCGAGAGTGTTTCCTTGACACTGAGACTCACCTCATCCTCCGGAGAGTGTTTCCCTTGACACTGAGACTCACCTCATCCTCGGAGAGTGTTTCCTTGACACTGAGACTCACCTCATCCTCGAGAGAGTGTTTCCTTGACACTGAGACTCACCTCATCCTCGGAGAGTGTTTCCTTGACACTGAGACTCACCTCATCCTCGGAGAGTGTTTCCTTGACACTGAGACTCACCTCATCCTCGGAGAGTGTTTCCTTGACACTGAGACTCACCTCATCCTCGGAGAGTGTTTCCTTGACACTGAGACTCACCTCATCCTCGGAGAGTGTTTCCTTGACACTGAGACTCACCTCATCCTCGGAGAGTGTTTCCTTGACACTGAGACTCACCTCATCCTCGGAGAGTGTTTCCTTGACACTGAGACTCACCTCATCCTCGAGAGTGTTTCCTTGACACTGAGACTCACCTCATCCCTCGGAGAGTGTTTCCTTGACACTGAGACTCACATCCTCGGGAGAGTGTTTCCTTGACACTGAGACTCACCTCATCCCTCGGAGAGTGTTTCCTTTGACCTCATCCTGAGACTTGACACTGAGACTCACCTCATCAGAGAGTGTTTCCTTGACACTGAGACTCACCTCATCCTCGGAGAGTGTTTCCTTGACACTGAGACTCACCTCATCCTCGGAGAGTGTTTCCTTGACACTGAGACTCACCTCATCCTCGGAGAGTGTTTCCTTGACACTGAGACTCACCTCATCCTCGGAGAGTGTTTCCTTGACACTGAGACTCTCACTGGGTAAGATGGTGATCTCTGTCAGGCTGGGGAACCAATCAGCTTCAGATCTGGCACACTGCCGAAGTGGGGACGTACTGTTGTCGGTGAGTCTTGGAGGTTCAGGGAATGACGCCTATCACCGATTTGGGAGAAGAAATCCTCGGTCTATGAAACAGAAATCATCAATGAAATAACCTCCTTCATGTTTTCATATGGCACTCATTTGAGAGTCACAGAAAGCTGTGGTGCTGGAGTCCAAAGACTCTTCACAGTATGAATACAGAAATGTAAGAAACTGACTAATATCCTTACAAAACAATCTACACAATTTTGAAACCCAAGATTTCATTCAATGAAAAAATACTAGAGGCAGTGACTTGAATTGTTTGGACAACAAGACACTTTTACCAACATTGATTCCAACAGCAAATGAAGACCGTGTTGTTAAGTCCCTGCTGAGGACCGGCTGTGTATTTAAGCCCCTACTTAAGGGTAATTATTTAAGAAAATTCCAACTGAGTGCAGACTCCCCACTTACCTCAGACTCCTCCAATTCATTGTCCAGGAAGTCGAATCCCTTGAACGTGACCATCAGCTCATTGCCGCTACTGTCGTCCAACACGTTGTCTACAACACAGATACAACATGGTTGACAGTCAGTATCCTGCATGACTTATCTCAAGCTATACAACATCACAAGTCATTTACAACATCTTTTTAATATAATATTACTAACCACATCAACTGCCACTTTTATAGTGTCATCTTAGATATTATTTATTTATGCGTGAGTGAGTGAGTTGGGTTTTACACCGCTTTTAGCAATATTCCAGCAATATCACGGCGGCGGACACCTGAAATGGGCTTCACACATTGTTATTATTTATGAAATAATATGAATTTATAATAGCTTCATTACCAAGGTCAGCATTACATGTTCAGAAATTATTTACCATGCTCATGTTATGTATTCAGCAAACAAAATTCAACAAAATACTTCAAGATGTTATTATCCATGCTCATGTTATTTAGGCAGAAAACATAATTCAATAAAATACTACAAGAGCACACAAGAAAATGAATTTTGACAAACCTGTAGAGGTTATGAATTCTTGAAGAAAGTCCTCCTTGGGGTACACATAAGCATTAAAATGTCCATTTTACCAAACAAAAACTTGTTTTGTTTAGTGAGACCACCCCTACAGGGCCCCCCTACAGCCAAGAGCAGGTAACTGGCTGCTTACCTCGTACCTCACTTTTCATGCTGAACGTATCAGACAGAATGAGGGGAGGTGGGCAGCCGTACCCCAAGGAGGACTTTCTTCAAAGAATTCATAACCTCTACAGGTTTGTAAAATTCTTTTTCAGAAGAAGTCCTCCTTGGGGTACATATAAGCATAAGACGGGTCGGGTCGGGACCACGTGGTCCGCCATCTTGCCTGCCACACGGCTGGAAACAGCGAACACGTCGGCAAAGTTACAACAAATCATGAATGAAAAAAGTCATACAAAGATTCCAGCTAGCGCCCATGCGAAAAAGAAGGAACCATACATACAGAATTCAACTCTTTCTCACTTATTTTCTCGTAGATAAGGCGAAGACGTGTCTTCTACTGGACCATGCACAACCGTTCTTGACAACAACAGCATGAAAAGTGAGGTAGACATTTTAATGCTTATATGTACCCCAAGGAGGACTTCTGAAACAGAAACCTGGATACAGTGTCTCTCAGATTCATCAGACTTACTGGTTGAGGGGGCTTCAGGCAAAGAGGCTTCCTCTCCACTAGATGCCACACTATGCTGGTGGTCCAGCGTGTCACTTGATTGGCTGAATATGACCTGGAAGTAAATGTAAGGTCAGGGTTAACCCCAGTTGTATGTCAGTCATCCTTTCTCATTTTGTTTCTTCATAAAGTAATTATTTGCGACCATAATAATCCAAATATAGCTTACAACAGTCATAGTGCTACAGATGTGGAACGTGGCAAGAGTACGGAACTTGCAATGTCAAGCATGATCGATTACAATGACTAACACAATACCAGATCAATCTATTATCCAATCATCCCTGAATTATTATTAATTTATTGGTAATACTTATTCATACTTGAGATTCACTGAACAAAAATCATGTTATCAGTATTTTCAAGATGACAAGTACTTGTGTCGACACTGAACACAATCACACAAAAACACACTGCTGTAGAAATGTGCTGAATCTTCAACACAATATTTTTCCATAATCTCTAGTAAAGTACAGGTTTAATGTGAGAAATTGGGAATTTTGTGTCTATTCCAGCTACACTGGCATGTCAGCTTTAATTGTCAATACATTCTTGACAACATTCTCAACTTGGAAACCCAAATACAAGGATGTGTACCTCATGCAAGGGAGACAATTATGCCTTGGACCACTCGGCCTGTGCTCCTTAAAAGTTGGGATGTCACCTCAGTAATTCATCAGAAACTGACCCCATACCAAATGAATAAATGTGGTATCAATGTAAGTATCATTGGCTGTGCAAGATGAGAAATATCTTTAAAAGATTTGTACTTACTTATTTACAACACACAAAACAAAACAATTCTATTTCCATTTTTATAATAGATATTGTGAAGTATGTCATAAAAACCTATCTTAGACAAAAACAAGGGCAGAAATTGAAACATTTGAAGAATTAGGCCACATCACTGTAATCGACTTGTGTCACAACGTCATATATACCATCAATGTGAAAATCAGATATAAGCAATACTAACTGAACATTAAGCAAAACTAACAAGCAAAAAACACATTTATCATTATCTAACTGCAAAGTAATTTCATGGCTACTCATTGCTACATCTCCAGTCACGTAACCACAATGAGATATCTGGTGATGCAATATAACTACAGAGTCCATATACATGTACTATGCTTTATATTGGAGTATTGGAAATCCTCAAAGAAAACAACACCTAGCCCAGAAGACCCAGGTGTACATGGGGAAAACAGGCAATATACATCATAATGCCCCACTACTATGACCCAGTCAGACCAATGGGGTGTCTCCAAATGGGGATGATGGGATTGAGACAAGAGGAGGAAAGTTTCATGATGCAAATCCGTGCATCATCCAACATAATTAGGGGTCTCTGAAAGGGAAGGATGAATGCAACAGAATCATTAAAACGTGCAGCCACCGAAACCTGGCACCGAAACACACACCTGGCGCTTCCAGTGACTGGACCTAGTCTAGCCTGATCTCACAAACAGTGCTGCTTTGAACATTAGACTACTTTCACGTGGCTATTATGGAGACATTGCGTCTAACAGAAGAAAGAAATCTACTTGTCCATGATTCAATTACAAATATCATACATACGTATGATGAAACAGAACTATCATTTTCAAGTTTGTGCCAAAAGAATTCCCAAAATGTCAAAGGTCACAAAACAAAGACCATTTTCAGGGTTGTAGATCTGTCAGAAGCAGGGATGGTTTGAAAACTCGTAAACTGGTTACTTTTCTCACACTTTAACATATCCAAATAATAGTTCTGCATAATTATTCATTTTGTGAATATAATTTGTCCCCAAACTAAAATCAAAACAAGTGCCAAGGGGCATCATCGTTTAAAAAACAATGTACTGATTACTGTTCTTTGACCATGTGATCCGAATGAATGTTCTTACATGAAAATAACTGAAACATCTACAGTGCAGGAGTCCAGGCGATACTAGTTACTGTCCCAGTCACAGGAGGCGTTGTAGGAGAAGAGTGGGGGGGTGAGACACAAGCAACTCAATACAGGAGGGCATGAAATAACTGAAGTAGACAGATGATGGGGATGTCAACGTCCTAGTCGACGTCTTACCTTATTGATTACAGTGTCCTAAACACCAGGACAAAATGAAGTGACGTTAGTTTGTCAATCTCTCATGTACTCATGACATATGCTGTAGTTTACACTGGTGCTAGTGGGTGAGGGAGTAGGAAGTGCTGTCACTGTGGCCAGCAAAATCTCAGCTATTGCGGGGCAGTATCTTGCATGCATGCACACACACCACACATGCATGCGCACACACACACTGAAACTAATGTTTCCCTTAAGATCCAAAAAGGAAAGGGCAACAGAATTTCAAAAGGGGTACCCTTATTCCAAAATGAGCAGGCAATGACAAATTTCCAAGGATGTCAAGTTATTTATGCATATGATACTTAAAGACTCAAAGAGCAAAGTTATTTCACTTAACTTAAACATGAAATAGAAACTAAAAACCATGAAGTACTAAAATAAATTATTGTATCATAGAAGGGCAGGGCACCAAATAACATGGGGAGGGCGTTGCACCCTACTAAATATGCATAGGAAATCACTAGAATCACTCACTCATGCACTCACACACAGAAACACACACACAGACAACATACATACAACACACACATACGCACAACACACAGCATGCTCAAGGTAAGCACTACTTGACTCAACATGCATCAAGCCATAGTCAGCTAACTGAAAAGCTGAGGCTGAAATCTGACACAGGTCACAGCCAAGACTTCTTGGCAGATGAAGCTTGGCACTCATACCCACAATGTAGTACAGAGCACCATGTGTCAGAAACTATCAAACACATGACATTTCCTAGTCAAACACATGACTCTTTCTGCTGGGAAGGAACAAATGCATGCAGTTTCTAAATGTCACTATGTTGAAAAATGAAACAGAAAAATGCAGAAGTTGTAATACTGACTTTTCCAAAACAAAATATCTGCTTGTGCATTAGTAAAGTTCCAATAGATTCCAGTAACACAAGACACTCTGCATGAACAAACACAGACCCAAGGGAACACTGCCGACTTACTGATGGGCTCTTGAGTAGGCCAACACGTGGACCAAAACAGGTGAGCAGGTTGACGAGGCGCTCTCGGAGTTCGAGCCTAAAACACAAAAATAGCATAAAAATGTGAAAAATAACCTAACCAAAACAATATCATTAAAAGAGTCATCATTAGTGATATGTTAGCAATCTATTTCAGAGCAGATATTTCTAAGTTACATCATAAATGCTGAAAAAAATTGTTCCCTTGTATTTGTCTACTAAAACAAGAGAATATTAGATTCATTCACGTATGCCATGTTGCCACCACTTGTATAGCAGCTGATGTGGCTAAGTGTAAATGACCTTGACCTAGTTTATTCACTGACCTGAGAAGCTTGGGGTCTGCGCCACACAGAGTCAATGTCCTGGTTGTTGGATGGTTTCCTTGACAACGACACACCTGAGCTGCTTTGTATTGGGCCACCAGCAGCACCAGCCGTAGCACCACCACCACCACCAGCAGCAGCAGCAGCACCGCCGGCTGAGGATTGGTCATTGACAAAAAACTTCCTGCCGATGATGGGAGTCTTTGACAAGTCAACAGAGAAGTCCAGAGTGCGCCCTACAGATTAATATAGACTGACCATCAGTGTACGATGCATTGAACAGGATTTCATTGCCTAACATCAGCTTAACATTAACATTTGTGTGCAAGGGGACATCAAGATCACTGTAATCTGAGTGAGTTTTTGCTTTTGGCAATATTCCAGCAATATCATAGCGGGGGACACCAGAAATGGTCTTCACACATTGTACCCATGAATTGAACCCCGGTATTCGGTGTGACGAGCGAATGCTTTAACCACGAGGCTACCCCACTTCCCCGTAACCTATCTGAATGACCCTCACCTCAGAGCAGGTAACCGATCATAGTGTTCTCAATGATGATGTCCTACTAACAGTGTTCTTACACTGAGGGGAATGGTACAGTTTATGGTCGTTACAAGCATGTTAAGACCATCGCTAAAGAACTAACATTTTCCTGCTGCTTCATATCTGCTGCCAAAATAAGCATAATTAACAAACATGTGCTGACAGAAAATCTAATACATTTCCACACCAAGAAATTTAGTTACCATGGTCTGGGTATAATGAACTATCTTAGTGCAAACATCAGTTACTTCTACAGTGCTGTTTTCTGTAATAAAATCTGTAACATACACAAGTGTATATATATATATTGACCTGTCAATGGTCTAGAAGTTGGCAAGAGCATGTCTATAGGAGCAGAGCAAATGCATTATGTGACATATAAACATCATATGGATGTTGATGAGATGAAGAAAGAAGGTGAGGCATCAAGACCAAGGACACAGTGGCATAAATCCATCCACTGTGATGTGCCTGCAGTTTACCTGGCAGCTCCTTATGAATCTTGGTGTATATCTCCGCCTCAGCAAAGGAGGTGTGGGAGTACATGCTGAGCTCGGAGCTGACAGAGAAGCTGAGGGAGGGTGGGGCAGCGGCCAGGGTGGACGACCTCGTTACTGCCAGCTTCAGGATCTTCAGAGCCTCTTTCCAGTGGACACTCTGAACACATGGAATGGATAAAGGAAGTTTACATCAGAACAACAGAAAATTGGTCACAATAACAGCAGACAAAGGCAGAAGCCCAATGTAACATACGTCATATTTGGGATAACACTTTCTCAGTAAAGTACAGATTCTAGTACTTTTGCTGGGTCAAGTCCCTTCTGGGATTCGAACCAACACTCTCTGAGTCAAGCACTCAATCACCAGCGCACAAAGTCAGCAATCTAACCCACTCAGTCAGAGGACTGCAGTCACCCAGGACATGACCTAAACTCCGGTCTGCTGAAACACCTCTACTTGTGGAGAGTTGGAGACCCACTGACCTGAATGTACTTGGTGGCAGTGTGGAAGACCTCGGTGTTGAGGACCGAGTTGTGTGCCGAGCTGTGTGTGGAGTTGATGTCCACATAGTGGGTCATACAGTGCAATATCTGCAGTACGCCGGGCTGGTGGGAGGGGGGACCCTTCTCTAGTACCTGCAACATGTCAAACATTAAACATCAAGTACCTGCAACATATCAACCACCTGAAACATGTCAAACATCTAACCCACAACTCACACATCAAACATCAATCACTTGCAACATAACATAACATCATAATCAAAAATAAGATACATGATCATTGACTGCATTAACAAGTCCAACATAAGTCTGACTGACCTCTACAAGGAAAGTGAGCATGCTGACAGCGGCAAAGGAGTTGACGTCCAGCAGGTACTTGACCACACACTTGGTCCACTGGAGGCTGTCCTTGCCAAAGGTGCCTCGGCTGTACAGGGACATCACAGTGGCCAGGTTGGACAGTCGGTCGGTCTGCTGGGTGCACATCTGACACGCAAACAATATCCCATGATACTTATGTTGACAGTTATACAGTAGCCTCTACAGACATCCTAATTGTCTTTAGAAGTGTTTCCATTACAACACTATGGAAATATCTCTGCAACAATAGTATGTGTGCACATTGTTCCTGGGCTTGTCTGTATCGGCTAATTCATTCTTATGCTGCCCATGCAACCAATATGGTCTGACTAAACTGAGACGCTTTCACAGAGTTGTTCTTTCATTTGCTACCCACACTTAGCAATATTTTATCTATAGGTCGGCAGCATGGAAAATGAATGGGTCTCGACCAGACAATCCAGTGATTTATGAGGTGAGCAATCATCACCACCGTAGGTGAACGAAGTATAAGGTAAGTCTGACGATCAGACTTATTACATCCCTTGGGATGTGGTCCTGTGCTCAAAGCTCAGGTCACAAATCGGTAAAGTTAAGCTGCGTCAAGCTCGGAGAGTCCTTGGATGGGCGACCGTGTTTGGCAGCTTGACTCCTGAGAGTTTCTAGGACTTGAGCCCTGCCCCACAACGAAGCACATGTGACACATGTGGTCTCACCTTAGGCAAGTGAGTTGGTTCAAAATTGTTTCTGTTCACCCAGCAGGAAAAATGAGTACCCGGTGGACAAAAAGTCATATGACTATAACCTTCTAGCGTCTAACAGGCAGCTTGGTTATCCGGGGTAATAATGTGCTGTGCCTTGATTGTTAGCGCGATGAGCACACATGGTATGGAGTTTGGCGCTATATAAATGGACACATTATTATTATAAATTCCAACACAAAATCTGATGGAGGCTTTCACAAAGACATCAGTCCGGTATGGCTGAAGTACAATCTATGTCAGTCACAGAGTCATGATACACTTGAGAAACATGGCACTTGGAACGGGTAAGAGAGATGAAAGAGACTGACCTGTGCGATATGGTCGGATGCTTCACGACAGGTCTGGTTGGGGTTTTTATAGTTGGCAACCAGGTATGGCAGCATGCCGATAATGTTCATAGGGAACCCTGTACATACACAAAATAAATTCAAGAAAAACTTATGACACTGATTGTTTTGGAAAAATCGTTAACTAAAGGGTTGTGATTAAAATCAGGAAATGAGTTAAGTTTTGATTAGTTAGGAGATGGAATTACAGCAGACGAACCCCATTTGCCAGAGGGATCAATGACAGGTGCCTTGATACACAGGATGATCTTGGACAGCAGGGACCAGGTGGCTTCTGCAGTTACTGGAGATGTGCAGCCCTGGGGACAGAAGGTCAGTGTTAGTCAGTGACTTAGTGTTTACTGTCATGATCTGAGGCAGCCTAGTCTTACATTCAACAGTAGAGACATCAACAGGGGAAGTTGGGCCACTTGGTCTGAGATGGGCTATTCTCACCTTCAACAGGAGAGTCTGCAGCCCTGGGGAAGTTGGGCCACTTGATCTGAGATGGGCTATTCTCACCTTCAACAGGAGAGTCTGCAGCCGGGGGAAGTTGGGCCACTTGGTCTGAGATGGGCTATTCTCACCTTCAACAGGAAAGTCTGCAGCCGGGAAGTTGGGAAGTTGGGCCACTCTGATCTGAGATGGGCCGGGAAGTTGGGCCACTTGATCTGAGATCTTCAACAGGAAAGTCTGCAGCCCGGGGAAGTTGGGCCACTTGGTCTGAGATGGGCTATTCTCACCTTCAACAGGAGAGTCTGCAGCCCGGGGAAGTTGGGCCACTTGATCTGAGATGGACTATACTCACCTTCAACAGGAGAGTCTGCAGCCCGGGGAAGTTGGGCCACTTGATCTGTTGCTGCATCTTGTCCAGCTTCTCCTTCCACTCCGGGTTCTCGGGCTGCAGGTGACACAGGATCTTGTCGAGGAGTCGCACTGCCAGGAGGAACTCATACTCGTAGTCCGACTCCAGCAGTGATACTGCGATCCAGAACATCTGTGTCACCAGGGTCTGTTTATCCTCTGTTCCATTCTGGTCTAGGTTCTTCAGAGACTGAGCACTGCGAGATCGGCCCAGATTTGTCCGACGATGGTCAAGTTCAGTGCTTGCTCTGTTACGTGTGTCATCTAAGAAAATATTTAAGTAATTACCAAGATGAAAGAACAATGTTTTCTAGCTGCTTCTAACAAAATTCAAGCAATACTATGTGTAGATGACCTGACAAATCATACTCCTCTAGGACATAAGATGGTGAACATTTCAAAAACTTCACAGTGAACAGGGAACCAGTGATCACGGCATGTCAGAGTTATGTGTGAGGACTGCCTGAACTGATGCAGGTGCCAGATATTTACAGCTTTGGTAAAACAAACAAGTATGGCTATGGTGTTGACAAATATAGAAACAAAATCAGACTGAGATGTGGAATTTTGATCATGTTCGAAGACTTCTGGCATGCCTAAGGGACGCAACTCTGTACAGTCAGTTGCACCACATTAGATAAATGAGGGTACACCTACAGAATACCGGATACCTATCAGCCATATTGTTTAGTGTCACGTCAACCTAACCCTAACCCTAACCCTGTGTTAACTCGTTTGCTTTCAAAGATGGCAGGAGGTATCCGGTATTCTGTAGTCTTACCAAAATGGGTCACCCCTGCAATGTGACAGCAACATGTAAACAACTGAGTTTGGATCTCACAAAACATGTGATTGATATCATGAGCAAGGACTACACCATTGGGGCAACAGCAGCATCCCCTAATGATCTCACTGTCTATCGTACTTATTTGTATTTGTTGTTTACTGCAGCACTCAGCAATATTCCAGCTATATGGCGGCGGTCTGTAAATAATTGAGTAAACTATACATGACACTAACTGGCAGCGTGAGCCCTCTGTATGATGACGGACACGGAGTAGCTGGTGCTGCGGGCGTGGTGGGGCAGTGACTGTTTGGGGGCCGTCATAGCTCCACGGCGACCATCCGAGTCTTTGGCAAGATTGGGTGTTGACATGAACAGCTCTTTCATGAAGTCGATTGGTCGGAATTCAAGGTCAAGGTTATCAATGGCCGCTTCAAGAGTCAGCATTATTTCTGTCACATAGCCCTGGAAGGAAACAATGCATTTTAGTTGAGTAGTCTGTATCATTTGTGAGTATGGCCATCAGTAATCATCCAGATCAGCACAGTTCTCATTTTGCATGGTTTTTCTTCCATATGGGATTAAGTTTTCGAAATACCTGACATGGTACTACACTGTGTACCAGCCACTGATGCCGGGCTACTGATGCAGGCTGCCCATTTGTGTCTCACCTGCATGTCATCTCCTTGCTCTGCCACAGTCTCTACAAGTCGAGACAGAATATCAGACAACATCTGCGTAGATGGACGGATTCTAAGAGCTCGAAGTATCTTAAAAAGACAAACAAAGACACATCATAAATATTCTCTCAATAAGACTTAAAATAATGCCAACTTTTTTACGACCATATTTTGTATTTCCAATAACTAAACCCATCCCCAATAATTCTTTCAGCTACATTTTTGGCAGAATTTTGTTAGAAACAGCACAAAACAGAGTATATATGAAACAGTAACAGTGAGTTAGTAAATGTTGCTTTAAGCTGCATCAGCACTATTGCAGCTATTCATAACAAAGACCTCAAAAGACAAACTTTATGTGACAAAGCCATATGAATATATTCATTGGTCCATGTATGTCTGTCTGTCTGTCTGTCTGTCCATCCGTCCGTCTGGATACTCACCTGGAATGAGCGGCCTGCATAATGTCGGGAAGAGCAGGAGAGGGCAAGCTGAAGAGCTGTCTGTGACCACCGCTGTTCAACCAAGGCCAAGGGAGATAACTCCTTGAAGGACTTGACAACACACTTGAGGAAGTATTCCAGAAGGGAAGAGCTCTGGGTGTTGAGTGTCTTGGGTGTGATGTCTTCACAACTCCACAGGGACTTGCACTTCCTACAACACACCACAACCAACTGTGACCTCCAGTCTACTTATATCCCACTCTTTGACATACAGGTTAACTGTTGATAGTCACTAGACACCGAGTACAACACACTTCCTACAACACACCACAACCAACTGTAAGTCTACTTAAATCCCACCCTTTGACATACAGGCTGACTGTTGATAGTCACTAGACACTGAGTACAACACACTTCCTACAACACACCACAACCAACTGTAAGTCTACTTAAATCCCACTCTTTGACATACAGGCAGACTGTTGATAGTCACTACACACCGAGTACAACACACTTCCTACAACCCAACACAACCACCTGTAAGTCTACTTATATCCCACTCTTTGACATACAGGCTGACTGTTGATAGTCACTAGACACCGAGTACAACACACTTCCTACAACACACCACAACCAACCTGTACCTCCAGTCTACTTAAATCCCACCCTTTGACATACAGGCTGACTGTTGATAGTCACTAGACAGACACCTACAAAGTACAACACACTTCCTACAACAACCCCAACACAACCACCTGTAAGTCTACTTATATCCCACTCTTTGACATACAGGCTGACTGTTGATAGTCACTAGACACCGAGTACAACACACTTCCTACAACCCAACACAACCAACTGTAAGTCTACTTAAATCCCACCCTTTGACATAGAGGCAGACTGTTGATAGTCACTAGACACCGAGTACAACACACTTCCTACAACACACCACAACAACCTGTAAGTCTACTTAAATCCCACCCTTTGACATACAGGCAGACTGTTGATAGTCACTAGACACCGAGTACAACACACTTCCTACAACACACCACAACCAACTGTGACCTCCAGTCTACTTAAATCCCACCCTTTGACATACAGGTTGACTGTTGATAGTCACTAGACACGGAGTAAACTCTACTGAGGAAACCTCAAATCTTGAAATATCTACACACTTTGTATAAACTTTTCTATATCCCACTATATTGTTCCTTAACCTGGCCTCAGTGAAGGCAATGGTACATACTTCAAGCTATGTGTAGTCGTTATTCAATATCAGCACACCTTAGTATCCAGTCTCAATGAAAGTACATACTCCTCTACATGTCTCCTTACCTGGCCTCCATGAAGTTCAGTATCGCCTTGATAACCTCCTCCACTGAGCTCAGTGAGTCTGGGTCGGTGAGGTTGCTCATGGTGTCAGGGGTGATGGTGGCACTGCTGTCGATGCTGAAGGTGGACTTGCCGATGGACAGCAAGGTGTTGTTTGATATGTGGGTGGGTGTTTCTAAGAACACAAACAGTACCAATATACATTCATTGGTTCCCGTTGAGTGAGGGAATGTTGTTTCAGTCACCATTATTCCATGCATAGTGGTCTGTACACAATCAAATCTTGGGGACCAAGTAAGTGGTAGACTGCATTGCACATTGTGACAACCTGATCTTCATTTAGTAAACTCTTTAGACTTCTGGGCATTTACTCTATCTTTTGAGTGAGTGATCTTGTTGTAGCCTCTTTTAGTAAGTTTCAAGCAATATCACGTTGGAGGACACCAGACTGACTGAGGGACAATATCCAGAAAGGGCTTGCATGTTATACCCATGTTGGGATTCAAACCCTCGTCTTCAGCGTAATGAATGAATGCTTTACCCACAAGGCTATCCCACCTTCCCATTTTACCCTTGATTACAGGTTACCCTGAGAAGACAACAGCTCACCTGATGTGAGGGGCAAGTCTCTATCCTCGGAGTTGACCTTGACAGCATCTGCCTGGCTACTGCGATACCCCAGCAGCACCCTGGAGGTGTCGTGGTGGTCTTGTGACGACGCCAGCAACAACAGATTCTGCAGCAGTTTCTTGCAGTGTTCATACACCAGTGCCCTTGAGTGGTCCAGGCCTAGGTATGAGATATTTGCAATCATAAATCATAAGTTTGGAGTAGAGAAGGTCACCTAAAGATTGGAGTAGAGACCTCTCAGAGGTGACCTAAGATTGGAGTAGAGACCTCTCAAGGTAAAGATTGGAGTAGAGACCTAAGATCGAAGGTGACCTAAGATTGGAGTGGAGAGAGACCTATATGAAGGTGACCTAAGATTGGAGTAGAGAGAGAGGCCTCTAAGATTGGAGTAGAGACCCTGAGGTGACCTAAGATTGGAGTAGAGACTCTGAAGGTGACCTAAGATTGGAGTAGAAGACCAAAGTGAGTAGAGACCTCTAAGATTGGAGTAGAGACCTCTCTGAAGGTGACCTAAAGGCTGGAGTAGAGACCTCTCTGAAGGTGACCTAAGATTGGAGTAGAGACCTATATGAAGGTGACCTAAAGGCTGGAGCACTGACCTAGGAAGATGATGTGCAGCATGAGAGGAAGATGAGGGGACCAGTCGATCTCCAGGCCATCCAGGACCAGGTCAGACAGGAACATGACAGCAAGGTTGCTCCTGTGTACAAAGGGCAGCATAATGTCAATAACACACATCTGTCTAGGATTCATCTCATGTACATTGTTCACACACATCAAGGTAACTCCAACCTAAACCATTGAATACAATTGGATTCTACTCCACTTATCGTCTTGTAATAAGGTGGGCCCAGCAATGGTAAAGATGGTCAACATTCAGGATATCTAATGGTACTTCTAACCCTCACCTGTGAAAGCCTGGGGTGGGCTGGATGTCTTCAGGCAGGAATTCATTAAGTTGAGCAAAGTATCCTCCATATGCTGGCATGGGTAGAGGGTAGGGGTCAGGGGACTCACTGTGGGACCGCTCCCTGGACCTTGTGGGTGTGTGGCCCAGGCCTTCCTCCTCTGTGGGTAAATGTACATAGATATATTTAGAGCAGTATAGTTGGAATAGATCATAAACTGCCAGACCTACCAGAAAATCATTTAAGCATATGACTAAGGATTTCATAAATGAATAAAGAGTGCCAACTAAAATGCTGAGTTACATGACCTACCCTGGGGCAGAGTGTATATGACCTACCCTGGGGCAGAGTGTACATGACCTACCCTGGGGCAGAGTGCATATGACCTACCCTGGGGCAGAGTGAATATGACCTACCCTGGGACAGAGTGCATATGACCTATCCTGGGGCAGAGTCAATATGACCTACCCTGGGGCAGATTGAATATGACCTACCTTGGGGCAGAGTGACCTACCCTGGGGCATATGACCTACCCTGGGGCAGAGTGAATATGACCTACCCTGGGGCAGAGTGAATATGACCTACCCTGGGGCAGAGTGTATATGACCTACCCTGGGGCAGAGTTAATACCCTGGGGCATGACCTACCCTGGGGCAGAGTGTATATGACCTACCCTGGGGCAGAGTGTATATGACCTACCCTGGGGCAGATATGACCTACCCTGGGACAGATGATGACCTACCCTGGAGCAGAGTGTATATGACCTACCCTGGGGCAGAGTGTATATGACCTACCCTGGGGCAGAGTGTGAATATGACCTACCCTGGGGCAGAGTGAATATGACCTAATATGACCTACCCTGGGGCAATATGACCTACCCTGGGACATATGACCTACCCTGGGGCAGACCTACCCTGGGGCAGAGCATATATGACCTACCCTGGGGCAGAGTGAATATGACCTACCCTGGGGCAGAGTGTATATGACCTACCCTGGGGCAGAGTGTAATATGACTATGACTACCCTGGGCAGAGTGTACATGACCTACCCTGGGCAGAGTGTATGTATATGACCTACCCTGGGGCAGAGTGTATATGACCTACCCTGGGGGGTATATGACCTACCCTGAGCAGAGTGTATATGACCTACCCTGGGCAGAGTGTATATGACCTACCCTGGGGCAGAGTGTATATGACCTACCCTGGGACAGAGTGTAGAGTACCCTGGGGCAGAGTGTATATGACCTACCCTGGGACAGAGTGTATATGACCTACCCTGGAGCAGAGTGTATATGACCTACCCTGGGACAGAGTGTATATGACCTACCCTGGGCAGAGTGTATATGACCTACCCTGGGGCTATATGACAGACCCTGTATATGACCTACCCTGGGACAGAGTGTACATGACCTACCCTGGAGCAGAGGGTATATGACCTACCCTGGGGCAGAGTGTATATGACCTACCCTGGGGCAGAGTGTATATGACCTACCCTGGGCAGAGTGTACATGACCTACCCTGGGGCAGAGTGTATATGACCTACCCTGGGGCAGAGTGTATATGACCTACCCTGGGGCAGAGTGTATATGACCTACCCTGGAGCAGAGATGTATATGACCTACCCTGGGGCAGAGTGTCTGCTGTGGAGGCAGTACTTGCAGCACTCTTCAGTGAAGCGGAGGAGTTGGTTCTTGGAGTCCTGCACACACAAACACAGACATGTCAACCGCATGATAAACACACTTCACTGAGGTCACCTTTGCCACATTTGTGTTAATAAATAAACATTGCATACCATGACAATTTGGCATTAAAGCATAACAGAAAATCCTCCCCATATTCTGTTATAAAACATGTGATGAATGTGAAAATGTTCTAACTCTATGTTCATGAAATACAGTAAGTGTCAAAATCAAGTCTTAAGCAATACAGGATGTGTGCAACCAATTATGTGTACTATTATATTGATGAAACTATGCTTTTACTCGTTAATGTTTCAAAAGATGAGATATATATCATGTTCACCTGTATGAAGACTTTTGTTTAAATGATGTTGTTTTATTGTGATGACAAATGATGTATGAGATTACTCCTTGATTTGGTCTACAACATTAAGAAACACTAAAAGCAAAATCCAGAAGGGAAATATTGGCAAACAATGTATTATAAATTTCTAATTAACGTAATGTGAGATATAATAAGAAAATATTTGAGAGCTTGTGGAGAACTTTTGTGAAATGTGACTACATGTGCATTAATACTATATTTGTTACATGGTTTTTTAGTCAAATTGCTGTGAAATAACAAAGGACTGAAAAGATACAAGTCCAGCAGAGTACAACAAAGATCAGCAAGTTGGTCACTTATCCACATATATACACTCTATACACACATCTTTCAATTTGTAATTCAGGACCCAGTAAAGTAGACAGATAGACTCACGCTTCACTAGGCAGATCCTCATTGGTGCTGTGTCTCTTGGTGTGGAGAACACCCTTCTCCAGTTGACAGTCTGTCGTCTGACACACCAGCTTCTCGTCATCGGTCGTGTTTGGGGTGCCACCTACTTTACGCTGAGCAGAGAGGCGATAGTAAGGAGGGGTCTGGGTCCTCTCAATGTTCATGTTGAGTGTCTCCACTGTCTGGAACAAAGCAACAACACTGCATGTATAGTACCCCAAACATCCTCTATATGTCCACGGCTTGCATTTTGGCAACATACACCATTCCCTGGATCAATTCCTGTGGTTCTCATGATGAAAGGCAACAAAAACATCCCACCTTTGACGTTCTTTAGCTAGCATCAGCAACAGATAGCAAGTTCCAGTTAACCATTAACTCTGTTATTTCTCAGCCTGTTGTACTGACAGAATACATGTTTGATTGGCATTTTAGAAGTTGGTGAGGAATAAGAAAGTAAGATTCTTTATGGATAACAACTTCTTTATTATATTACTTTCTTATGACAGAATACAGAAGTAACAATCTACAATTCTCTTACTTGCAGCTCATTCATCAGCTCGTCCACCAGCTTCTAGGGCTTTGCTCTACCCAAGTAGCTGACCACTCTCTTGACCTGCAACACACAGGTGAGCCAGTCAGCCACATCTCTCAACACTTAAACTATGACACATCCAGGCCAGATCAGGTTATACATCACATGAAGTTGTTGTTTCTCTGAGATGGATCTTTCTGGTATTGCTAGATTCATGGTAGTTCATAGCAGCAGTATTGTAAAATCAGAACACTGTAGTTTGTGAATGCTTATCAAAATGCTATCAGCACCACATACAAGGTTAAACTTAGATCTTGCATTCATCAGGACAGAATGAACACCCTCCCTTTCCACTTCAGGTCCACAATGGCTGTCATATCAAGGGTTATATCATGATCTGCATGTCTGTCACAATTTCCAGAATTGTTCAAAACAAACAACAATGGGTGACGTCATGTCAAGGGGAGGTAACTCTATTGGTTAGGAGGGATACATACCACTAGGGATAGCTATGACTTAGGATTAAAATTTTCATTTCATTTTCTGTATTTGTCTGTGGAAACCACAGAATTAAGGCAACCATAATCCAGAGGGAATGTTTACACTATAATTACATATTTTATTCTTCTGACCAATTTTGGAATCAGGCGATCTATATTTCTTTCTTGAACAAAATTCAATGTTAGAAACAGGATGTGATTTTACTTACAAATGAGAGTAGATGTGTGGGTGCAACATTAGTGATGACGACGAGGTAGCGGATGACGACCTTCAAGTTGTTCTGCCAGCACACCATGAGAGCCGCCCAGAGGGCCTCGATCTCCACTGGATGCTCATCACCAAACTACAACAAACAGAATATGTCACAAACAACAGCTCATCACCAAACTACAACAAACAGAGTATGTCACAACCAACAGCTCATCACCAAACTACAACAAACAGAGTATGTCACAAACAACAGCTCATCACCAAACTACAACAAACAGAGTATGTCACAAACAACAGCTCATCACCAAACTACAACAAACAGAGTATGTCACAAACAACAGCTCATCACCAAACTACAACAAACAGAGTATGTCACAACCAACAGCTCATCACCAAACTACAACAAACAGAGTATGTCACAACCAACAGCTCATCACAAAACTACAACAAACAGAGTATGCAACAACAACTGGACATACTTCACAACCACCAGCTCATCACCAAACTACAACAAACAGTGTATGCAGCGACAAGAGGACATACTTCACAACGAACTGATGAAACCTTCAATGTTATCACTGTTACACACTACCAGCTAGAGGTTCTCATGGGCGAGGCATAATGGGAGAAGCTTAATCCAAGACAGACACTGACCAGCCTTCAGGCATTTAAGTTGACTTTAACATAATGATTATCATCAAAAGAAACTTTTCTAAACATTATTTCCTACAGTGCGTGAATGATAGAGTGAGCACTACTTTGCAATACTTTAGCCTGTCTGAACCAGACAGAACAGTGTTTGGACATCGATGACATACAATCAACCAAAACACTGAGCGTGATCTATTTGGTCGTTCCTTGTGATAAGCACAGGTTGTTGGGGATGATGTCTAACTAGGAATACCCAAAGAGATTATTGTGGTTATCACCTTGACTGTGATGAAGAAGAGGTTGTTGAGGACCATCTCCGTAGACTGGGTGGACCCCCATCCTTCCCCTTTCAGTGGACAGAAGATCTGGCTGTCCTGGAGTCTGTTCAGGAAGTTAGAGATGGGGTTGGCAGGGGGCACTGCCGGATCAACCAGTTCCATGTTGTGTAACCATGGCAACAAATACTTCAGTAAAGTCTGTCGCACGGAGGGCTTGGCTGTTTGAAACCTGTGAGTGATTTCTGAAAAGATAACAGAAAATTATAAGCAAAATCAGGTACAGTGTAATTAAGGTAGTAAACAAGAACTTCTCTCCTGCTATCCATCCTCAAGAACAATAATGGTTCTGGTGTGTTCTGGCTAGCGGTTCAGACACTCACCTGAGAACATGGGCATGATGTGGTCCAGGTGTATTCAGGCTAGCTGTTCAGACACTCACCTGAGAACATGGGCATGATGTGGTCCAGGTGTATTCTTGCTAGCTGTTCAGACACTCACCTGAGAACATGGGCATGATGTGGTCCAGGTGTATTCTGGCTAGCTCTTCAGACACTCACCTGAGAACACATTGGCATGGTGAGGTCCAGGTGTATTCTGGCTAGCTGGTCAGACACTCACCTGAGAACATGGGTACTGTGAGATCCAGGTGTATTCTGGCTAGCTGGTCAGACACTCACCTGAGAACATGGGCATGATGTGGCCTGGGTGTATTCTGGCTAGCTGTTCAGACACTCACCTGAGAACATGGGCATGGTGAGATCCAGGTGTATTCTGGCAAGCTGTTCCGACAAGTACATCTGAGAGTGGCAGTAAGACACAGCCAGGAGGATGTCATTGAGAGGGAGCTGTGGTTGGTGGATCTCCTCGGAACTGTCAGTGAACACTGGCTCCTCCTGGAAGAAGCGGGTGTCCAGCAAGTGGAGCAGCTGTAGAGCTGTATCATGAGTCTGGATGCGGGGGTTGCCCACATTCAACACAGCCAGGTTCAACATGGCCACATGGTCACAGGGGTACTCTCGTCTGACAAACACAATAACAGTCACAAGTTGAAGCCTGGTTGTAGTGTTGCTTTACATTACAAATTCAGTACAGCAGGTTTAAGAATAGCCTTCCGCAAAGTCAATCATATATGCTTCTATCGTCTAAATAAACCCATATGGAATCATTATGCCATGATCATCATCGACTGCCATTCCAGAAACATGGTTAACAGTTTGTCCAGTATGTAGTCTCCTGTAACAGTACTTCATTAGAATTACCCATCTATTTGATGTAGAATGCTTAGCGCCAATCATACATGTAAACCGTCACCATATAGAGGTGGAAAGCTATAATGAGACCTAACATTACAGTGGTTCTGACCCACCTGGTTTGGAAGACTGCAGCAAGAGCATTGAAGCAGCCATCGGCCACTTCATTGGAGCCGGTGTAGCACCTGTCGATGACCCAGTCCAGCAGGCCCTGGACATCAGGGTTGAAGTCCAGAAGGAGGTACACAGTCTCCTTTGCCAGGTAGTAGATCTGAAATACAGTGAGAGATGCTGGAGAACGGACCTTCGACCCCCCCAAACATCCCCAACAACACCTGCAACATCCCCCTACATCACCTGCAACATCCCCCTACATCACCTGTAACATCCCCCTTCCTCACCTGCAACACCCCCATTACATCACCTGCAACATTCCCCTACATCACCTGTAACATTCCCCTACATCACCTGTAACATCCCCCTTCCTCACCTGCAACATCCCCCTACATCACCTGCAACATCCCCTTCCTCACCTGCAACATGCCCCTACATCACCTGCAACATCCCCTAAATCACCTGCAACATCCCCCTACATCACCTGCAACATCCCCTTCCTCACCTGCAACATCCCCTACATCACCTGTAACATCCCCTTCCTCACCTGCAACATCCCCTACATCACCTGCAACATCCCCTACATCACCTGTAACATCCCCTTCCTCACCTGCAACATCCCCCTACATCACCTGCAACATCCCCTACATCACCTGTAACATCCCCCTTCCTCACCTGCAACATCCCCTACATCACCTGCAACATCCCCTACATCACCTGTAACATCCCTGTTCCTCACCTGCAACATTCCCCTACATCACCTGCAACATCCCCCTACATCACCTGCAACATGCCCCTACATCACCTGCAACATGCCCCTACATCACCTGCAACATCCCCCTTCCTCACCTGCAACATCCCCTACATCACCTGCAACATCCCCTACATCACCTGCAACATCCCCCTTCCTCACCTGCAACATCCCCCTACATCACCTGCAACATCCCCCTTCCTCACCTGCAGCAGCAGCTTATACACACTGTCCCTTCGTTACTGGCGCCAGACTGCATAATTCACGACCATTATCATGCTAACTTTAAACAACCATAAGCTCAGTTGAAAACATTGCCATCTTCAGGTATTGTCTTAGAATACTAGAACCTCCATCTTCATGACCTACTGTTGTATTAATTGTAGCCATTAATATTATCTCAGCTCTCAAAATCATGATTATGTTACCATGGTAACTAAGCAGTTGTATTAACCTAACTACAAACGCCAAGCACACTGAAACTCAATGTTCTGAACAAGCTGACTAAAGCTGACTGACACAATTCTGGGAAGAAATAGTCCACAGTTTATTACTCAAGATGAGGCAATAAATGACAGCACAATAATTTATGCCAAGCTACTAAAAACAAAAGGGGCACAAACATATATGTAGCTCACCTACTTCAACACAGTGACCAGGTGTATGAGAATATTGTTGAAGCAATTAATGATGATAGGAAACATTATCAGTTGAATAATGAACGCCCTCAAAGCATCCCACATAATTTGTACATTCAGCAGAAGAGGTTCACTAAATTGTCTAACTGGACCAGGGAAACTGGATGATGTCTGCTGATCTGTGTCAACTTTTTCTGACATACATATTTCTGACGTTACTGGGTATTTCTGACAATACTACACCTGTGAAGATCCAGGTTAGAATTGATCTTCAGTAACCCATGCCTGTCGTAAAAGGCGACTAACGGGATCGGTTGGTCAGGCTTGCTGACTTGGTTGACACATGTCATCGTATCCCAAATATGTAGATCGATGCTCATGTTGTTGATCACTGGATTGTCTGGTCCGGACCCGATTATTTACAGACCACCGTCATATTGCTGGAATATTGCTGAGTGAGGCGTGAAACTAAACTCACTCACTCTGACATTACCAGATATTTCTGACATTACTTGACATCACTAGGTATTTCTGATATTACTTGACATCACTAGGTATTTCTGACATTACTTGACATTACTCGGTATTTCTGATATTACTTGACATCACTAGGTATTTCTGACATTACTTGACATTACTCGGTATTTCTGATGTTACTTGACATCACTAGGTATTTCTGACATTACTTGACATTACTAGGTATTTCTGATATTACTTGACATTACTAGGTATTTCTGATATTACTTGACATCACTAGGTATTTCTGATATTACTTGACATCACTAGGTATTTTGAATATTACTTATGACATCACTAGTATTTCTGTATTTCATGATTTCTGATTACTTGACATTACTAGGTATTTCTGATATTACTTGACATCTACTAGGTATTTCTGATATTACTTGACATCACTAGGTATTTCTGACATTACTTGACATCACTAGGTATTTCTGACATTACTTGACATCACTAGGTATTTCTGACATTACTTGACATTACTCGGTATTTCTGACATTACTTGACATCACTAGGTATTTCTGATATTACTTGACACTACTCCGCATTTCTGACATTACTTGGTATTTATGACATTACTTGACATTACTAGGTATTTCTAACATTACTTGACATTACTTGGTATTTATGACATTACTTTACATTACTAGGTATTTCTGATATTACTTGACATTACTAGGTATTTCTAACATTACTTGACATTACTTGGTATTTATGACATTACTTTACATTACTAGGTATTTCTGATGTTACTTGACATTACTAGGTATTTCTAACATTACTTGGTATTTCTGACATTACTTGACATTGCTAGGTATTCCTGATATTAGAAGGGGATCAGTGTTCATGTTACTGTGCTTGTCCAACAAACTACCATGTCATCTGCACACTTTACATAATGAAAATCCTTGGCAATGTCAAATTTTACATGCACATATTACCAGTAGAATTTAGCTTTGTAAATATTCCATCCACATATGTACAAGTCGCTTAACAACAATAAAATATCAACATATCAATTAGTGTAATTTTGTGAAGTTGGTTTTAAAGTTTAGTTATTTACCTACGATACTAATTAGCTTTGTCCATTGAAAAAATCACAATAAAACAAGTTCCAAGGCAAACACACAGGAAAATGCAAAAGTATAGATTTTATAACCGTAACATAGCTTGAGATTCTATTTCCTATTTGACACAACCCATGCTTATACAGAGACCTTGGAAACATATACATGTACACATATTCGAAGCCAATCCATCTTTCAACAAGTTTGAGTGAATGAGAGAGTGAGTGAGTGCTAAACGCTGCATCAGCAGTCTTGCATCTATCTATTCATGGATGTTTGATGTTAGATGTTGATGATGTTGATGAATACAGACAATGTACCTCCATCCAGTTCAGCCTAATCCTTAGGACCAAGAGAACTAAATATAAATTTTGATCTGCTCATTACAAAATTTACAAAAATATAATGTTCAGTCAGCACACAAACTCAGCAAAATATTGCATGCAAATTGAACCTAACTGAATCACTGGTGAGACACACTCAATAAACAATGTAAAACAACCATCACACTCTGCGTCACTGTCACAATATCTAACATTGTGTTTGGGAGGGATAAACAACACATCCAAATAATCCTGCACTCGGTTAATAAAGTCTACTCACTATCACACCATAATCCAACAAAATATGTACAAGACGTACATTTATGTTCTTTAAAAAATGTCAGAACAACATGCACTTTTAAACGTCACCAAGATAAACATTTCACCCCTGATCGTATCTACTACAATATGGTGTGTGGCAAATAGTATGTAGATATATCCAACTTCTAGCGGAACAGACAAGGGAGATAATTACATTGGTGGGGAATTAGAGACTGTTTTAAAGGTATATAGTCTCACAGCATCATTCTTGTTCAGAGGAGCAGAATCTGGAAATGTTTCCATGATAACATGCTGAACGGGTTCAGATAACAAGAGCGTTTTAATGGATCAGAGATTGTACTTTGGTGAATATGGAAGCGTTTGTATCTGGAGGAAGTTAAACGTTACATAAGCTATTTGACATTCAACTTTAAATGGTGACAATAATAATCACGTTCAAGACGTTGGTCGCTATATAGAAGATATGGTATGAATCCTTTGTGAATGTTTATAAAATAAGACAAATGCAAATGAAATCATAACAAGCATAATACCGCAGAACACTGACTGAAAGACACTGTTAAACACAACCTTGTCAAATTAACTGTGATCCGAAAACTAGAATCATATACAGGTCTGGCTTATAATCATATCAATTCATGTAGATTTAATATTTCATGACAATATAGACTTAGTTCTATCATTTGTTATCTGCAACATCTCAGGTGTTAATTAATTTAAATGAAATTCCTCCGTGCCTTTAACAGTGCTTTTCAGACTAACAAAAGAAGGGAAATATTGGCCACAGAATGACAACACTGAAATTAAAGTGGTTCCTCTGATATCTAGCCTCTTCTCTCTCAATCAGTAACAATACTTACATGATACTACCCTACCCTACCCTTCGCAGACTATAGGAGACACATCCACCCCTACCCGACGCCGACTGTAAGAGACACACACACCCCTACCCTACCCCGACTGTAAGAGACACACACACGCCTACCCTCCACAGACTGTTAGAGACACACACAACCCTACCCTTCGCAGACTGTAAGAGACACCTACCCCTACCCTTCACAGACTGTAAGAGACACACACACCCCTACCCTTCCCCGACTGTAAGAGACACACACACCCCTTCCCTCCACAGACTGTAAGAGACACACATCCCTACCCTCCGCAGACTGTAAGACACACACACACCCCTACCCTTCGCAGACTGTAAGAGACACACACACGCCTACCCTCCACAGACTGTTAGAGACACACACACCCCTACCCTTCGCAGACTGTAAGAGACACCTACCCCTACCCTTCACAGACTGTAAGAGACACACACACCCCTACCCTTCCCCGACTGTAAGAGACACACACACCCCTTCCCTCCACAGACTGTAAGAGACACACATCCCTACCCTTCGCAGACTGTAAGACACACACACACCCCTACCCTTCGCAGACTGTAAGAGACACACACACCCCTACCCTACCCCGACTTTAAGAGACACACACACGCCTACCCTCCACAGACTGTTAGAGACACACACATCCCTACCCTTCGCAGACTGTAAGAGACACCTACCCCTACCCTTCACAGACTGTAAGAGACACACACACCCCTACCCTTCCCCGACTGTAAGAGACACACACACCCCTTCCCTCCACAGACTGTAAGAGACACACATCCCTACCCTTCGCAGACTGTAAGACACACACACACCCCTACCCTTCGCAGACTGTAAGAGACATACCCACCCCTACCCTTCGCAGACTGTAAGAGACACACACAACCCTACCCTACCCATACCGTAAGAGACACACACACCCCTACCCTACGCAGACTGTAAGAGACACACACACCCCTACCCTTCCCCGACTGTAAGAGACACACACACCCCTTCCCTCCACAGACTGTAAGAGACACACATCCCTACCCTTCGCAGACTGTAAGACACACACACACCCCACCCCTCGCAGACTGTAAGAGACACACACACCCCTACCCTACCCGACTTTAAGAGAGACACACACACGCCTACCCTCCACAGACTGTTAGAGACACACACATCCCTACCCTTCGCAGACTGTAAGAGACACCTACCCCTACCCTTCACAGACTGTAAGAGACACACACACCCCTACCCTTCCCCGACTGTAAGAGACACACACACCCCTTCCCTCCACAGACTGTAAGAGACACACATCCCTACCCTTCGCAGACTGTAAGACACACACACACCCCTACCCTTCGCAGACTGTAAGAGACATACCCACCCCTACCCTTCGCAGACTGTAAGAGACACACACAACCCTACCCTACCCATACCGTAAGAGACACACACACCCCTACCCTACGCAGACTGTAAGAGACACACACACCCCTACCCTACGCAGACTGTAAGAGACACACCCACCCCTACCCTACCCAGACTGTAAGAGACACACACCCCTTACTGTCATACAAATCACTATGTCACACTTACCAAACCTACAGTAAGTCTAAGAGCCACGCCTATCCCACACTGACCAACCCCAGAAACCAACCAATATCTGACACTGACCACACAGACTGTAAGAGTCACTGTAGTCAAGAGAGTAGTGAGACTAGATACCAGAGTGAGGGATCCAAGATGGCTGCCAATGAGATTGCACTACATGCAGTAGCGACTGAGAGACGGTTGTGACCACTTACCTTCGGCTTCATCTGACATCAGAGAGACAAGAGATGGTCATCAGAGACACAATATCAACTAGAGCTCGGACAGAACCATATGGCTGGCTCTTGTGTGCCAGCTGCACAGATACCATGCCATCCCTTACTAACTGAGAGTCACCAAACCTTTCACTGACCTTGCCTGATTGTATCCTCAGTATCAGGGCTGTCAGTTCACAGGTCTGACAAATAAATCACTTAGGTACAAGGGTCCAATTAAGTTGAATCACTGACACATCCCCTTGCCATTTTCCATTCCCTCAACTACGGTTCTACCATTATGGCTGTACAGTAGCTCTCCTCGAGAATTCTTGTATGTAACACACTGTCAGAAGGTCAAGTTTACAGTGCATTTTCATACCACTTGGATGTTTTCATGAATATATTTGTATTTTTTCATAAGATGTTAAAAAGTATCACACTGCACAAAACCTGTGACGAGTTTATCACCTTCTCCCCTGTGCCTTGCTGTAACATCCAGGGAGAAGGTCCAACAGCATCTTCACACAGGTACCAGCATGGCAACTTAGTTGGTAGTTGAGGGTGTTGTAGCAAATTATAACTGAATCTCAATGACGCCCAAACCTTCATGAGTGATCGAGTTGGGACAGTATATTTTTTTATCATGGTATGTTAGCTAAATGGAAGGAAAGCCTGAAGTGACTTTAACAAAATATACCCCAAACATACTGAATCAATCTAAATGTCCATCACAAAAACCCACATGTAGATATTACTGACAATAAGCTGTTTATCACAAGCACTGGAACTGATTGGTTATGGCATTCACTGCTTCATGTTTCAACAGTCTCCAGCAGAAAAGGCTACAGTACACGGTTATGGCATTCACTGCTGCATGTTTCAACAATCTCCAGCAGAAAAGGCTACAGTACACCTGCAGCTTGGCACACACAATTGATTCCATACCATATGGTTCTGACAGTTCATTCTATGTCATTCTACACAGAATTCATTTCTTTCATGCTAGAAGTTAAGGAAGAACTTTGCACTACAAGAAATCAGACTTGTTTTCGTTCACATACTGCCAGTTAAAGTTCATGACTACTCGAAGTCCTCAATGCATGAAATTTTCATACATTTAGAAAGTGGCTATTTTGAAATTTGTTTGCCCAGGACTACAGGTTGACATTTTTCATGCATACAGAGAACAGAGTATTGACACAGTCTACAAGTCTACAACTAACAGATACGTGGGGAGATGGATGGCCATCTTTGTCCACAGTGCACTAGAGACAGCAGGAATGTAGAGTAAGACTCACACCTGGGTCAGAGTGACTGGTGCATTTCAAATATTCAGTAACAAATGCTGTAAGATGTCCAGTCAAGCATAAGTAGGATTGATATGAAACACAATGACAAAGAATCATTCTGTTGCTCATGGAATGAATATCATGAATCACAGAACATCCAATCTGGTTTTCAATCTCTGCCATCCCTGATTATTATGTTAAAACTTCAGCATATTCTTCTTGAGGTCTATAATGTATTCATGTATGACAATGTTAAAGGATTAATGTGAAACAGTGAGATGTATGTGATAAAGCTGAAGCTGGTTGAATGATAGATGGTGAAACTGTATGGAAAGTTTCACACATGTCTAAGTTCAAATCCTTAACATTAAAGGGGGATAACTCTAACCAACCTTCTCATCATGGGAGCTGAGCAGGGTATCCAGCCAGGAATAGATGTATCCGTCGTCTCCGAGGCCAGTCAGGTCAAACACAGGTCCACAGCACAACACAGCCGACATGGCGCGGACGGCCGACAGCTCCTGCTCATTCCAAGCCTCCTCCTTTGAGAGTCTAGTACAAGACAGTTGAGCATCATCAGCATGGAGTGGAACCATTAGACAGATGCATCAAACACTAAAGATATGCATGGGTGAGAGAGTGATTTGGGTGTTTGTTTGTTTGTGTTGTCAAACACAACACTCAGGAATAATCCATTTATAAGACAGTGATATGTGAATCATCCAGGTTGGACCAGACAAACCCGTGACTAACATCATGAACATCAATGTGGCAATGCATTGAGAGATGATGGATGGCATGCATCAAACAAGTCAGTGAGCCCGATCACCTGATCCTCCTAGTACAAGCTTGGACTGCTGGAAACCAATTTTCAGTAAGAGTCTGGCACAACTGTATTTCACTGTATTTTAATTACAACAGTGACTGACAGCATCAGAAAGACGTAAGTGATGCAGGTTTTACCTGGTCACCACGGTAACCCATCAACATGGCATGGTGCTTAGAGACCAGTGATCAGAAGCAGTGTTTCTGTGATTCAAACCAACAATCATCTGATCCTGGCACTGATAAGAGACACAATCTGAATCTCATTGAATCTTACCTCCTATCCAGGGCTCCAAAGGTGTGACTGAAGTGACCACTCCAACTGGCAAACAGATGGAACAGCCCGTACCTCAGGTCCCGCGACAACAGGGTCTTCCTCAACTCCACTACAACGTCACGCACATATGATTACTACCACAGTTGATTACCCAAGGAAACATTGATACATGATTGAGTTTCATAAATACAGGTACTTGATCATCCATCAACTTAACTGAGCATAAAACTACACACTACAAATACTGTAACATCCTGGTTGAAATTCTAATCCACATCTAGGTCTAATATCAGACTCATGGCCTCAACTACAGATAACTTTACATAACCTCCCTAGGACTAGGACAAGGAACTATGTTATCTTGCTTGTTTGTTGTTAAAGGCCCCTTATATTCTAGCTCTATTACAACAGCATGTATAGTCCGTTTGGCTCAAAAGCGGACCAATGAATTGGAATCTAACTCGAAAACTAATAAACATATAATACTCAATGAAACGCTGATCATAATCAAAACATCACACCAACTCTGTGATTTATTTGCAGAATATATGTACTAAAATAAAAAAAGTTGTTGAACAAACTATCTTTAAAATTTTGACACAGTTCACTATTTGTTACGAGGGAGGAGTGCAGAGAAAGGGACAGCCAGGTGTTAGAGAAGCACAGGCACAAGTGCCGACAAAGCTATTGATTCATTAATCTGTGCTGTGCCGTCTCCATCCTTTCTCGCACACCTGGCTGTCTCTCCTCTCCCTCGTAACAAATAGTGAACTGTGTCAATATTTTAATGACAGTTTGTTAAACAACTTTTTTTATTTTAGGACATAAATTCAGTTGGTCTGAGATTATGATCAGTGTTTCATTGAGTCTGTTTATTAGTTTTCGAGTTAGAGCAATTCATCAGTCACTTTGAGCCAAAGACTTCATTTGTAGCCAGAGAGTCAAGTGACTGAGACTAGCAAGTCACTGAGCCAAACAATTCATTTGTAGCCTCTTCGGACCATCATAGTTTCTAAACCAGAATGCCCAAGTCAGTGTGTGCCATCTTACGTGGAGTGTTGCAGATCAGATTCTGTATGAAGCCACTGAAATGAAGACGGATTTCCTGCAAGATGGGCAGGTCTCGGTCATTCTCCCCTTCCAGGTACTGCCGAGCTCCATCGATGTAGTCCACAAACATCCCACTCAAACACCCACGGTCCTTGTCGATGATGCCGGACTCACTGCCCACAAAAAGGTTAAGAACTCTTAGTTTACAACCTGAACAGCCCCAAGTGCATAAACTGTATTCAGAACATTATTGATTGATGTGTTGAAAAAGACAATAAATGATGCATCAATATTTCTCAAATGAATAGACTTTGGTGTACCTCTGTGCAAAGGTTTTGTTTTCTGCCATCAGCTCAAATATATGTGCCAGCTGGACTCGCGCAGAACGTCTCTCTTGCGGCGACGACGCAGGTTGTCCTGCTTCTTGTCAATGGCCTCTTTCAGGAAGGGTAGTAACTCTTCAGCCAGTTCCCTGCATAATTAAGACCATACTAACATTTTGGGTTGATGATTGGCGCTATCTGTACAATTACAAAAGTATTGAGACAGTTGTCAACTACTGCAACAGTACTGCCAGAGTGTGAATCCAACTTGAAGGCTTATTAATAATATTAATCTATGTCATAGAAATGAATCGAGTATTGCTGACAATAGCAAAGTAAACATTTTCCTCCTGCTACTGGTTAAACCAAAGGGAAGTAACCCTATTAATAAGTTACCATAATCCTTGCTAATCAACACATGATAGTATTTATAATTTGACTGCATTTTGTAAATTATCTATAACAAGTTGCCACTACTGAAATTATCAACAATCACAGGGAGTGCAATTGCAGGTGTATAATGCAGCACTCAGCAATATTCCAGACTCTGATATGTAATCCGGACCATACAATCCCGTGATTGACATCATAAACATTGATCCAGACAACTGAGATATGATATCATGCAACAACAAAGCCAGCAAGCCTGACCACTCAATCCCGTTACGTCTCCTCTTACGACCAGCGTTTGTTGCTAAACCGGATCTTTACAGGTTCAAACTGCAATACATCAATATTGAAATCAGTCTTTCATTCTTCAGTCAGATGTTGACACTCACTTGAAGACGACAGGGTTACAGTATCCCAGTCCATTGACCACGGTGTCCCTCATGTCGGAGTTCTCACACTTCATCAGTGGCACCAGGAGACGGAACAGGTTGGTGGCGGTGCTGTTGCCACTGTTCTGGCGGGACTCCCCCTTGTCGGACCCTGTTGCACTCTCTGGGGACGAGCTCCTGCAACATTAATCATTTCTAACATTAATTGTTAGGATGGTATGTAAACAATCTAGTCATTTACATCATGATCGTCAATCTACAAATTTCAGAAACAAAGTCAACCTTATCACCGAGCATGGTGGGGTATGACTGTCCTTTAACAACAGCTCTGGTGATGAACATTGGTGGGGTATGACTGTCCCTTTAACACACCTACCCTAACTCTGGAGATGAACATTGGTGGGGTATGACTGTCCCTTTAACACACCTACCCTAACTCTGGAGATGAACATTGGTGGGGTATGACTGTTCCTTTAACACACCTACCCTAACTCTGGAGATGAACATTGGTGGGGTATGACTGTCCCTTTAACACACCTACCCTAACTCTGGAGATGAACATTGGTGGGGTATGACTGTCCCTTTAACACACCTACCCTAGCTCTGGGGATGAACATTGGTGGGGTATGACTGTCCCTTTAACACACCTACCCTAACTCTGGGGATGAACAGCGGTGGGTATGACTGCCCCTTTAACACACCTACCCTAACTCTGGGGATGAACATTGGTGGGGTATGACTGTCCCTTTAACACACCTACCCTAACTCAGGGATGAACATTGGTGGGGTATGACTGTCCCTTTAACACACATACCCTAACTCTGGGGATGAACATTGGTGGTATGACTGTGGGGATGAACATTGGTGTGACTGTCCTTTAAACACACCCTAACTCTGGGATGAACATTGGTGGGGTATGACTGTCCCTTTAACACACATACCCTAACTCTGGAGATGAACATTGGTGGGGTATGACTATCCCTTTAACAACAGCTCTGGTGATGAACATTGGTGGGGTATGACTGTCCCTTTAACAACAGCTCTGGTGATGAACATTGGTGGGGTATGACTGTCCCTTTAACAACAGCTCTGGTGATGAACATTGGTGGGGTATGACTGTCCCTTTAACAACAGCTCTGGTGATGAACATTGGTGGGTTAGACTGTCCCTTTAACAACAGCTCTGGGGATGAACATTGGAGGGGTATGACTGTCCCTTTAACAACAGCTCTGGTGATGAACATTGGTGGGGTATGACTGTCCCTTTAACAACAGCTCTGGAGATGAACAGCGGTGGGGTATGACTGTCCCTTTAACAAACCTACCCTAGCTCTGGAGATGAACAGCGGTGGGGTATGACTGTCCCTTGCTGGGCTATGCTACAGGCCAGGACAACATAGTTCTGCCACAGCTGCATGTGTACGTCTCGCTCAGTGGTCACCTTCTTGCTCCCTGACCGCAGGATGGACGATGCTCGGTTCTCATTAGTCTGAGTACTGGAAGCGAAAACAAGGGCATGTTGTATATGCATGTAGTCAGCTAGGTAGTGAACCTGTAGAGTCAGTGGGGGGCAGTAATGTGCTCTATTTAGACTTCTACTATAACTTCATAGGCATCTCCAGTGGTGCTGACAACAAATTAAAACAAGCATTGTCACTAAGGTGACATAATCCCCCCCCCCCGCAAATTATCAAATCAAACTTATGATGTAATGAAATTTTAAGTTAAATGTCAACAAAAACATGACCAGTCAACCTCTCTTGATGTCTTGCTCTCTAGGTGTTCAAACACACACATACTTTCAAGACTGACTTTGACATGAATGTCATAGTGTATGAAATATGCAAAAATAGTACTAAAGAAATATCTTTTTGAAAAACATTTAAGGGAAGTCTTGAAAGTCTTTGAAGAAGATCCAGTGAACTGTTTTTGAAATATCTTGCTGACAATTCAGGTTAACATGCTCAAATCTTCAAAGTGTCTCTGTGACCTTGAAAATTAAGTGAAGGTCACCAAAATAGACTGGGCCCTGCGCCTTACCTAGATAAAGCTTCGTATTGAACATGAAGATAATCCAGTGAACGGTTCTTGAGATAGCTTAACATGCGGGTAAAAGCGTTAAAGTCCCCTTGTGACCTTGAAATTAAACTGACATTGCTAGGATCAATCTCATTAAAACAGAGAACGGTTTTTTACTCTGGGTTCAAATGATGGGACCTTCAGTGGAGGGTCATCTTCCCGCTTGATCAGCTGAGAGGTGGAGCATCAACAGTGAAAGATCCGACTTTTATGAGACTGCTTTTGGATGGGCAGATAACAAAATATTGAATGTCTTCCTAGCCACTTGATGTTGGAAGTGTTGCTGAGATATTGAATATTGTTGATTACATTGAATATCTCTGTTTGTTGGTTTCACACCTAGTTCTTAATATGAACTGTCTCTGGCTTGACTTTAAGTCACTTATGCAAACATCTTAAGTCTAATTGTGAACAATTGGGTATGGTTTTTGATGCTTTTAGAACTTTTCTTAAGTAAGGGTGGGAGATACATTGTACCCATGCTGGGAATCAAACTTTTTTTTTTTTTTTTTTTTTAAATGTTTTTATTTCCTATCAGAATGTTGTACAATCACATCTCAGAGTCGAATACAGTTTTTACATGCTATAGAATACAGTTTTTGCGTTACACACCACTTTCGAGCAGTATACATATCACATGTTACAGTATTGGTTTATAATATTTTCAGTTTTATAGACACAGTAGTATGTGTAGTAATAGATCTGCGTACTTGCAGTAATCATGAAGCGTATTCGCTGCTTAGCTGATACATAATAGGGACACTGTTCCGTATGCATACATACACTTGGGAATCAGGCGGCCCGGCTCCACCCAGGCCAGGTCCAGGTTAGAGAGGGACAGCACCACGGGCTACAGAACACAGACATGGATATTACACAGTGACTCCAGTGAGGATATGGGGCACAGAACACAGGGACAGGGGTATTACACTGCGATCATCCATCTTATGGGTTCTTTACATAGCTGATGATCTTATAGTTCTCATCGATGTCCGGAGGAGGAGGTCCATGTTATGCATTAAGAACTACTTGGCTTGAAAAGTTGGGCAGATGTGGTATCTGAACTGCGTAGCTTTTCTGGAAATGCATCTAGATTCTGTGGCACTGCATAATCCGAGGTCCCCGTCGAAACTTGGGTCAGCCAGCATGATAAGTAAATTCTTAAACCATGAGGCTACCCTACTGCCCTAGGTGTCATTGTATGTACTCTGTGAACTGTTAACTAATACACATGATGAACCTGGTACAGGATGTATCTGGACTTACTTTGGATCGACAAGAGGGAAGAGGGAGTTGAGCTTGTTGTACACGAAGCGTCTGGGCCAGGCATGAGCCAGAGCGTGGGGACAGTTGGTCAGAGCGTAGTCCGGTGACCTCAGGTTAGAGAGGGACAGCACCACGGGCTACACAACACAAACAAGGGTATTACACAGTACTCCAGTGAGGATATGGGGCACAGAACACAGGGACAGGGTATTACCTCGAGTGAGGATATAGGGCACAGTGAGTGATGGATTGGGCTGCACAATACAGGAACACAGGGACACAGGAAGTTGAACAGAGACAGTTATCCTGCATCATCTGCTTGTTGAGACATCATAATCTTGTCACTGGTTGGGTAGCCAGTTTTGAAATGAACCTGATCATATATGCTGGTTGTGGGTTGTGTTACAGATCTCACCTTCTCCTGGGCTGGCAGGAAGACTTGCAGCTTCTCCAGGATAGCGGGACAGGCTTTGTCTATGACATCTATCAGACACGGTGTGCACATCTACAACACAACCTCAAGCTGCTATCAAATCAAACAAGTCACAAACTGAAATAGACTTGAATTTTATAACTTCTTATCCATTAGCTTTAACCTTAGGGCTACATCAAGAACCCTTTTACATTCATTCTGAATATTGTTCAACCATCTGAATAAAAGGTAAAACATTGTTCATCCATCATCTGTCAGATGGCACAGGGAGCACAAATCAGGACCCAAGTTCACAAAACTGGATGTGCGTGTCAATAAAGAAACATGTATTCTGTGTATACCTGGTGAACTAAAGGATATGTGTACAGACCTGAGAGACACGGTATGAGTTGAAGATGTTGCGGACCTCCTTGAGGAGATGGACGGCGAGTTTGCGTGTGACGACCCTGCAGCTGCACATCATGACGAGGGCGAGTCCCTCCACCTCATGCAGCACCCCGAGACTCATCACCTGACTGGCCAGGTGGTTGGAGGTCTGCTGCTCCCCAAGTGGTTTGTCCTGCTGCAACACACAGCGTACCAGGGCGTGAAACACAGCTGTCATAGTCAACACACAACGTACCAGGGCATGGAACAACGGCTGTCATAGTCAACACACAACGTACCAGGGCATGGAACACGGCTGTCATAGTCAACACACATAATACAACATACCAGGGCATGGAACACGGCTGTCATAGTCAACACACAACGTACCAGGGCATGGAACACAGCTGTCATAGTCAACACACAGCATTACCAGGGCATGTGAAACACAGCTGTCATACTGTCATAGTCAACACACAGCATACCAGGGCATGAAACACAGCTGTCATAGTCAACACACAAGCGTACCCAGGGCATGAAACACAGCTGTCATAGTCAACACACAGCGTACCAGGTGTCATAGTCAACACACAACATACCAGGGCATGAAACACGGCTGTCATAGTCAACACACAACGTACCAGGGCATGGAACATGGCTGTCATAGTCAACACACAACGTACCAGGGCATGGAACACGGCTGTCATAGTCAACACACAGCGTACCAGGGCATGGAACACGGCTGTCATAGTCAACACACAACGTACCAGGGCATGAAACACGGCTGTCATAGTCAACACACAACGTACCAGGGCATGGAAACACGGCTGTCATAGTCAACACACAGCGTACCAGGGCATGGAACACGGCTGTCATAGTCAACACACAGCGTACCAGGGCATGGAACACGGCTGTCATAGTCAACACACAGCGTACCAGGGCATGGAACACGGCTGTCATAGTCAACACACAACGTACCAGGGCATGGAACACGGCTAGTCATAGTCAGGGTGAAACAAGGCTGCTATAGTCAACACACAGCGCATTCAGGGCATGGAACACGGCTGTCATAGTCAACACACACGCACCAGGGCATGGAACACAGCTGTCATAGTCAAACACACGCAAAACCAGGGTCAAAACACAGCTGTCATAGTCGTACCATACCAGGGCATGGAACACAGCTGTCATAGTCAACACACAGCGTACCAGGGCATGGAACACACAGCTGTCATAGTCAGTGAAACACAGCTGTCATAGCCAACACCAGCGCATCCAGGGCATGAAACACAGCTGTCATAGTCAACACACAACATACCAGGGCATGGAACACAGCTGTCATAGTCAACACACAGCGTACCAGGGCGTGAAACACAGCTGTCATAGTCAACACACAACGTACCAGGGCATGGAACACAGCTGTCATAGTCAACACACAGCGCTGTCAGGGCATGAACACGGCTGTCATAGTCAACACACAGCGCATTCGGGCATGAAACACAGCTGTCATAGTCAACACACACGCATACCAGGGCATGGAACACGGCTGTCATAGTCAACACATGAAACACAGCTGTAGTCCAGGGCATGGATGGAACGCGGCGTCATCATAGTCAACACACAGCATTGCCAGGGCATGGAACACAGCTGTCATAGTCAACACACAGCGTACCAGGGCATGGAACATGGCTGTCATAGTCAACACACACAGCTGCATAGTACCAGGGCATGGAACACGGCTGTCATAGTCAACACACAGCACGCACCAGGGCATGGAACACGGCTGTCATAGTCAACACACAGCGTACCAGGGCATGGAACACAGGCTGTCATAGTCAACACACAACGTACCAGGGCATGGAACACAGCTGTCATAGTCAACACACACAACATACCAGGGCATGGAACACAGCTGTCATAGTCAACACACAGCACAGGACATGGAACCATGGCTGCATGGAACACGGCTGTCATGGAAGTCAACACACAACACACAGTACCAGGGCATGGAACACGGCTGTCATAGTCAACACACAACGTACCAGGGCATGAAACACGGCTGTCATAGTCAACACACGACGTACCAGGCAAACCACTTTAACCTCACCTCACTGCCCATCCCGACATTAGTCGTCACCTTCTGTGCATGCACGTCTTTGCCGGACTGATGGTTGGACTTCCACTGCACCAGCAATTGCATCAACATCCGCAGCACACCATCAACCAGATGGGTGTTGGTGTCTGAGATGTCCTTGTGCACAAACTGCACAAAACCTGTACAACACGGAAACAAAGCTCCACAACACACATGGTTAACCTGTACACATTGTAAAGGTACTGTGAAAAGTTTACACTGCTGTCAGCTAAGTTTAAGCTCTATAACATAACAAGTGATTGAGTGAATGTTTATGCTCCTGTCAGCATTATTCCATCTATATCATCAAATAAAAATCCCAGTTAGACCTGTCCTAAAAGGCAACAAATGGGATTGAGTGGTCAGATTTGCAGACTTGGTCAATGCATGCCAGTGTATTCCATTTGTGAAGATTGATGCTCATGTCAATCATCGGATCGACCACAGTCATGTAGCTCAGATATTGCCATCTTTGTTAGCTGGATCTACAGGATACTGGAGAAATGTCCCCTTAGTTGATAGGGAATCACAATTGTTATCAATTTGTAGTCAAATAGCACCAGGAGGTTTTTGATACCTCTCACAACATAACTGACAGACTATGCATTTCAATAGCTTTCTTTACTACTGATAAGCTATCATGGTCTAACAGTCATCAGCTTGTCATCAAGCAAGTTATCAGTCTATATGTAAACAACAGTCAGTAAAGAGGAAACATCTTTACAACAAAATGGACAAGTACAGATAGATAGATCAGCCAGATTGCCCCAGCACACTCACCATGTATAACATGTTCCTTCCAAGCAGGGGACTCCTGCATGAGATTCTGTAGACCCTGGAAGGCCAACCTGCAAGAAGAATGGAAGCCATGACATAGAGTTACAATCTACAGGTTACAAGCATATTTTAGGTTAACAGGTAGCAGATTCAGTTTTGTACAATCGATCACACTGACAGTGACAGTAGTGAATAGCTTCTTCAATTCCTCACCCACATGGACAGTGAGCCCAGTGACCTGCCCCATGAGTTTTTCATCCACATGAAAGGGAAGTCTGGTGACTTACCCCTTGAGTTCCTCATCGGTGAGTCTGGTGGATCATGGACAGTGAGTCTGGTGACTTTACCCCTTGAGTGATCTGCGCTGGATGGTGAGTCTGGTACATGGAGTGAGTCTGGTGACTTCTTACCCCTTGAGTTCCTCATCTACATGGACAGTGAGTCTGGTGAATTTACCCCTTGAGTTCCTCATCCATGAAAGGGAAGTCTGGTGACTTACCCCTTGAGTTCCTCATCTACATGGACGGTGAGTCTGGTGACTTACCCCTTGAGTTCCTCATCTACATGGACGGTGAGTCTGGTGACTTACCCCTTGAGTTCCTCATCTACATGGACGGTGAGTCTGGTGACTTACCCCTTTAGTTCCTCATCTACATTGAGTCTGGTGTTTCCTCATCTACATGGACGGTGAGTCTGGTGACTTACCCCTTGAGTTCCTCATCTACATGGGCCCGGTGAGTCTGGTGACTTACCCCTTGAGCTCCTCATCTACATGGTGAGTGAGTCTGGTGAGCACCTACCCCTTGAGCACCTCCACTATTTCCTGGCTACTCATCCCATCAGGGATCAACCGAGGAATCGCAGCAATGCAGGTCGAAACAGATCAATCTTTGGCTTTACGATCACCCCTGTAATCAGAAACATTATTCATTTAATCTTTTCCTTAAATCGTAACATAGTTCCCTAAGAAAGAAATTCCACAATTTATCGCATATTTTCTAGTCTTATGTAGAATATTGGCTTCTACCAGAAAAATCTGAACACAAGGAGGCTCCAGTTGAAATTGCACATGACCTATCCCCTAACACTTAACAAAATTGAGTTCCTGTAGAGGACTTACACAATCATCTCATCCGCTTCCTTGTTGGCGTTCTCTGCCTTGGTCAGCAGGAGAGGTCGACCCACTTGGAGGTCAAGAGCTCTCAACATGGCATCAAAGGTCTTGCTAATGTGTGGGTAGAACTGGTTTAGGCCGATCGACTTGGCTGTGGTGTCTGACAACATCTTGTTCAGGAACTGTCGCTTGACCCTCACTGTGCTTCCAGATGGGAGGGCCCCTGTCGACTGTGGCATTGGTGGGTCGCCATCTTTCTGCTGAAGACTGTCAGCAATCACCAGGAAGGCTCGCAAACCGATACTCATTCTCTGGAGACAGAAACACATAGTTTTCAAAAACCTCCTTATAATCATTTTAAGATCAGACAATACATCAAGCAATGAAAGAATGTTTTGAGGTTTAATTGTGTGGAAATAAAGAAGTAGATTCAGTCTGAATCAGGCAAACCAGAGTCATGAACGATCCACTTCTCAGGACATAACAAGTCACAGAGCTGCCCACCAGAAACACTTAAGTCAACCCATATGATCAAAGACAAGAACAGGTTGCTGGAGACCACTTCTACCCTGGGATCCAGCTTGGTATTATACAGACAGTACATCAGACAAACAGACAAACATGAGGCTGCAGTCATTTAATGGTTGATGGATTGGGTTGTTTAACGCCACACTCAGCAATATTCAAGCTATATGGCGGCGGTCTGTAAATAATCAAGTCTGGAACAAACAATCCAGTGATCAACAGCATGAGCATTGGTCTACACAGTTGGGATACGATGACATGTGTCAACTAAGTCAGCGACCCTGACCACCAGATCCTGTTAGTCGCCTCTTACGACAAGCATGGGTTACAGAAGGCCAATTGTAACCCAGATCTTCAAGGGTGGGTCATTTAATGATAAAACACACAAATCTGTACACACATCATTATCTGCCACAATATTTAGCTGCAGCTAGTTAAGCTGAGTAAGATAAACAAACTGACAATATACAAGTCAGCACAAATCCTCAACCCAGTAGTTCTGTTTCTTTAAGTTGCTATCACAGGTAGAAGTGAATCCATACCTCTGGAGTCAGAAACTTGAAGTTCCTCCCGACACAGAGCAGATCGAAGATGATGTCTCGCATGGCAAAGTCAAGCCTCTCCTGTAAGGAGAAATCCAGGTTTAGAACACCAACACATAAATCAGAACACTTAATGATTTAAAGAGACTTAAACCTTGTACATGGAGTACTCTTATGTCTCTCCAATGTCTGGTATACTTTCCCACAGTGAATTCATGTGTCTTGAGATATGTGCAATAAAACGCAATGAGACAGCACTCATCCAACGAACAGAGTGCTGTAATATGGATACATTCAGTATTGTGATGCTGATCCATATAATAATAGACCAATGCCACAACTTACTTTGGCAATAAACTGGATGATCTTGACAAAGATATTGAGTGGTGTCTCTTTGGGGGTGACCATCTTGGATCCCTTGGGGAACAGACTGTTGACGATGCTTTGTAATCTGCTCTGTGTGGCCGTGTTGCTCTCACACTTGATCCTCACCATGTACACCCTGGCAATGTAACATTCCATCATCAGTAGGCTATAACATCACCATGTACACCCTGGCAATGTAACATTCCATCATCAGTAGGCTATAACATCACCATGGTAACATAACATTCCATCATCAGTAGGCTATAACATCACCATGGTAATAAACATTCCATCATCAGTAGGCTATAACATCACCATGGTAACATAACATTCCATCATCAGTAGGCTATAACATCACCATGGTAACATAACATTCCATCATCAGTAGGCTATAACATCACCATGGTAACAACATCATTCCAATCATAGGTCATAACATCCACCATCAGTAGGCTATAACATCACCATGGTAACATAACATTCCAACATTCCAGTAGGCTATAACATCACCATGGTAATAAACATTCCATCTTCAGTAGGCTATAACATCACCATAACCATCATCATCTCATTCATCCATGGTAACATAACATTCCATCATCAGAAAGCTATAACATTACTATGGTAACATAACATTCCATCATCATTAGGTCATAACATCACCATGGTAATATAACGTTCCATTTTCAGCAGGTCATAAGATCAGTTAGCAACAGTTCATTCCACCTGTGGGTCATAACATCACCATGACAATAAAACATTCCACCTTCAAGACATTATAACATCACCATGGCAACATAACATTCCATCCTCAGTAGGTCATCACATCACCATGGCAACATAATATTCTATCAACAGTAGGTCATAACATCACCATGGCAACATAACATGCCATCATCAGTACATCATAACATTACCATGGCAACATAACATACCACCTTCAAGACGCTATAACATCCCCTATCAACAAAACATTCCACCTTCAGTAGGTTATTACATCTGCCTAGCAATACACCACACCACCATGGCGACATGAACCGAAATCACACAAAAATCAGCTGTAATGTATCACTGACAGTGCTCTGCAGAGGTTATAAATGACTAAAGCTGTGCACATACCAGAGCAGTCTGTAGAGGGACTCAAGCGCAACTCGTGACATCTTGGTGTCCTTGTTCTTCAGCTGAGACAGACACATGGTAAGGAAGTATGGCCAGTTGTTGAGGAAGAACTGCTTGTGGCTGACACACAGCAGGCAGGTCACCAGTGGGAACAGGTGCTGAAACATAACACAGACATGACACTCACAAACACAGACATGACACTACGTTATTCATACAATCCTTAACGACAAGACTAAAAGATATGTATATTCAAACATGGTGTGAAAGGATATCCTTATCAAATAAATGCACGTATTATTCATTGTTTAAAAATGCCATAGTTCTTGAGTCATATCTATCCTGTGTTAATGTTAAAAAGTATAGAATAGCACTGGCACGATTCAGATGCTCTTCTCATGATTTGTTGATTGAAAGAGGCAGATATATGAATATAAAAAGAGAAAATAGAATATGTACACTTTGTAGTTTTAATGAAATAGAAGATGAATTACATTTTCTCCTAATATGTCCATTTTATGACCAGTTGCGAACAAAATATATTAAAGGATATTACTATGTCCATCCAAATGTGATAAAAGTCTCCTCACTGTTAAGTAGCAAAAATCCAGTTCTTCTACAAAATATTTCAATGTTCATTTACTATGCTATGATTACCCGATCTAAATTCCTCTCAAATGTAACATTACTTTATGTACTATAGGCCTGTGGCCTTCTCAGTGCAAATAAAGATTATTATTATTAAAACAGAGGATTCACACAGAAACACAATGGAGGAATAACACTAAACGTATACATAGTAACAGCGATACCCTACTCAATGATTTGCAATGATTTACTCACCAGTGTGTGTTTCCTCTTGGTTGTCATGTCAATAGACAGAGTGTACAACAACTCTACAAAGTTCTTCAGCACTGGGACATTCACCTCGTTCTTGGCAGTCTGGGGACAAACAGTGAGTGTAAGGCCACAAAATACTGAGAATCTTCAGAGATTGGAAACCCTTTGTAAGGATGACAAGCTAAAGAGCCAAGTGGCTAACTCAGCTCCCCAATTAATTATAGAATTATGTGGTCACAAATCAATTGCATTACATAAACAAGGTTACAAGCAAACATATGTACAGCAGTGTTGCCATTCCACACAACTCATTACACACATCCTCATATATGCCACTCACAGCTGCTACAGGCAGAAGGATCTCCACGAACAGTCCAGCCAGGGCGTGTCTGATGTCTCGGTCCTTCACCTCCACAAAGTAGTGGCCCAGCTCTTGCAGAAATGACACACACGCCTCGAAATCCTCTATCGGGTGCATCTGGAACAAAGGGAGGGACATGGTAGCAAAAAATGTAATTTTTAAAGTAAATTTGATATTTTTATACTTATCCTGACTCATGATCTTTTGCTTATCTCCCTTTCCCTTTCGAATGGTAGTGGAACACTTGAATCCCTTGAAGTTCCCGCAGCGGACGTATAAATACACTCACCCACGAGTTACCTCCCTTTGCCCTTTCCTGCACAAAACAGTCAGGTGACCTGCCTTACTTGTCACTCTCTCCTGATTTTCTGCCCATGCACTTGGATCTGCTGTGAAATCTCAAGTGTCTTCAATGGGGAGGTTGGGAGGGCTTCTCGTCATGAGTTACTTATCCTGACTCATGATCTTTTGCTTATAGAATCCGACAGTATGGTGGTGGGTCAACTGGATTCAACAGCTGTCCTTAGATACGTCCTGTATCCCCCATGGGAACTGCGAAACGGCATTTCCATGATCCTATTCTTCTAACTTCCGTTATAACTCGGGGGGACCACTTTCTTGTCTTACTTCAATCTCAGACAAGTTGAATCATGTTGATTCATGTGGCTATAGATAAACTAGTATCTTCCTATTACTAGATATCTTATAACAACCCATAGATTATGATAAGATCTTAATCATAAATGAGATGTGACCCCTTCACGTACAGGTAAGATCTTTACACGTACAGGATCTTTAATCACTCATGCTAGCCTGTCTTAGACTGTGAGCATGGACTTTCAAACTAGTACTTTTCCTTAGTAAAAGTTATCAACAAGTCAACGTGATAAAGGGTGAGATTTTCCAACTCAGCGCCTTTGAGGAACCGTTAGTTGCTGTGCTACAACGAGAGACCCAAATTGGTGAATGCCTGAGTCGTCTTCAGTGGAGGTAGTGGTTGGCAAACACCGTGTCCGACTTCCAAAAGCAGCCCTCCATAATTGTCGGTATAGAGCAATTTCCGTGCAGAGCCAGTGTTGACGCCAGTGTGGGTTGGAAGCTCTAGGAGGTTCTAGTCCTGCTGCTTTATAGGCTCTCAATATAACGGCTCTCATCCAGAACGATATGGTCGTTCTGGAGACTTCTGCTGAAGTCTCTGTTGATAATGGGATGAACAGGCGCTTGAATTTTTGTCTCCTCGTCTCAGTCTTTTGAAGATATATCTTCAGGGCTCTGACCGTACACAAGGATAAGTCCTCTATATCCTGTGGACCGAGGATTGTAGACAGCGCTGGTACGTAGAACTGTCTATCTGGTTGACCAGGTAGCTGGTTCTTGGCAATAAAGTCCCATCTAAGTCCTAGATGAACTGAATTATGTTGCTCTCTGTCGAATCTGGTTCGACCAAACTCCAGCGCAGGTATCTCCGATGACCGGTAGCTACACCAAAGCAGGAACAGCTGCCGTGGCTAAACTAGTGGCAAGCAGGAACAGCGCTCTTCTGTGTTAGCAGCTCAACAGTGTAAGCTGATCTAGTGGTTGGTAAGACTGACATCACTGGTAAGATGATGTACAATTACATTTAGATCCCAGGCTGGAGCTCTGAATTTCTTTGCTGGTCCTCCAGCATATAGGTTAATCGAAAAGATCTCAGCAAAGCAAGTACCTCGTGGCAAACAGGTCTATGCAAGGGGATCCTATCTCCCTTATGTTCTATTAAGCTCTCGCTGGCCAACGCAGCGATGGAGCATCCATTCCGTAGGTGACGGGTGCAGTGGTCTTGAGAGAGCGTTTCTGCCAGCAAACGTTCTTGGCTTCCAAAGCGCTTCTGGATGGAGCATCCATTCCGTAGGGTATGTGACATGCTCGCCTTTATCCAGAAGTTTGCTTCCTGTGTTATCTGGAACAACTGGAATGTGAGTTGCAATAGGCTTGGAGACCTTGTGGATCCTTGCCGGTTTATGGAGAACGCCACTGTAGACTTGTCCGTGTGGATCATCAGCATTTTGTTGTTCAGCCAGCTAGACCATAGGTGTAAGGCGTTGATCACTGCTTTCATCTCCAGCAGATTGATGTGAAGATGCTGCTCTATTTTGGATCACCTTCCTGATGCAACTTGATTGTTGAGATGTGCACCCCAGCCCTGCATCGAGGAGTCTGCATAAAGATGTGTGTCGAAGGCCGGCTCTTGTAAATAGGTCCCTCTGCAAACATTCGACCTGTGCGTCCACCACTGTAGATACCGCTTGTGGTTGTCTGGCAGCAAGATAGGGTCGACGCTGTCTAGATGTTTTGTCAGGAACCGTTGCAGCGGCCTTAGTTGTAACCGTCCTGTGCGAGTCAAGTCCTGCGCTGAGGTTAGTAGACCAAGTAGAACTTGCCATGATCATAGTGTTAATGGAGAGATGACTGCTGGTGGAATCATAGCTTGTATCTTGACCCAACGATCTTCTGGGACGACAATATGATTCTGTGTTGCGATAAACCTTATCCCCAGAAATTGCAGATCTTGTTTTGGTTCCAACTCTGACTTCATAAGGTTCACCAGCCATCCTAGTTGAGTGAGCAACTTGATTGTGAAGTTCAGCTGCAGTCTGAGTTGACTTGCATCTTGGTGAACCTGAATTCCGTCGTCCGAGTAGAAGGCATTGCGTAGACCTCGATGATGTAGATATGCGACTATAGGTTTGGTTACTCGTGTGAATAGCCACGGAGCCGAAGATATTCCAAATGGTAGGACGTTCCATTGGAAGTGCTGCCCTCTGAATAGGAATCGTAGATACTTTCTTGATTCCGGATGTATGGGGATGTGTAGATACGCATCCTGCAGGTCTATGCTGGCCATGTAATCTGCTGGACGGACGAGTAGTCTGAGTTGAGGTAGGTGGATCATTCTGAACCTCTCTGGTTTCAGTAGATAGTCTTTGTTGAATTTGCGCATGTTGTAAATCAGTCTGAACTTCTCCTTGGAGTTCTTCTGGGTACTAGAAAAATTGGGGAATAGAAGCCTGGAGTGAGATGATGCTGATCTATTATCTCTACCGCCAAGTGAGTAGTGAGTCGATGGCTTCTTGTAGTTTGTCTGCCTGTTCCTCTGCATAGTTGAAGACCATCGGGCTGAGGGTTGGCAGAGGTGTTGCCTTGAGTTGTACTCTGTATCCTTCTCATAGTACTTGGGAGACGTAGTCGTCCTCTAGTATTCCCCAATTCTTCCAGTACCTTTGTAGACGTCCACCCACTGTCGATGCTTTTACAGGAACGGCTGGGGGTAGAAGACTCCAGTCGTTCCGAACCCTGATATCAACGTCTAGTTCCTCTGGATCCTCTGGGAGTGTGGCCTCTCCCTGAGTTTCCTCTGTAATTTACAGATGGGCGACGAAAAGATCCTTTGCCGCCTCTGAAGCTGGAGTACTTCTTCTCTTTTGCCTTCTGTATGCCGGAATATTTGGACTTGCTGTTATACTTTTGCGAAGTATTACGGATAACGTTGGCCAGAGTATCTATGGATTTTATCATCATCACTTCTCTAGAGTCGTGCGTAGCTTCCTTAGCTGCATCCTCTATTTGTCCTCCAAAGATAGTAGGCGCCTCCCATGGAGCTCTCAGTAGCGGTAGGGTGAATCTGTCACTCCATGAACAGGATGCAAGTAGCCCTTGTCTGCGTAGTAAAGTGAGACCTGCAAATATAGATGCCAGATGGTCCGATAAAAAGTATTGGTCCTTCTTCTGAGTATTGAGTGCCTATTTATATCATTCTGTCCTCTTCTGAACTTGAGTTCTGGAATTTATTGATCAATGCTTCATTGATAGCTCTGGACCTGGCCAACCCCGAAAAAGGACCCCTTGTAGCTGTATCAAGTTGAGATAACTTTTTATCTTCTACTTTATACATCTTGTTCCGGGAATCGTTGACTAACTTTATGTTATCATCCCATTCAGGCGCCTTTGTAAATGGATCCATATGATGTAGAGGGAATCTCTTCGCATTAAATGATGGCAGATGCTGACTCTGGTACTTGGATGCTTTCGCGAAAGCTGTGCGAAGGTTGGCGGGTACCCTAGATATAGGTTCAATCGGAGGGATTGTGACGGAGTCAAAGTCGTCGTTACGCATCCTATAAGTGTAGACTTCATCTTTATCCTTAGAAGGAGACTCCAAGTTCAACCCATTAGCAATCCATGCTGTAACTTCTGAGTCTGGGAAGACAAAGTCCGTTTGCAAGTCCGAAGTCTCCTGATTATTAGAGCTAGGTCTCAACAATTCATCCATCTGCGAACCTGTTTCCCTTCTCGAACCTTCATCCTCATCCAACCCGTTGGCAATCCAAGCTGTAACCTCTGCGTCTGGGGAGACGAAGTCTGCTTGCTCATCCAGTGTCTACTGATTATTAGAGCTAGGCCTCTCACGTATCATCCATCTGCGAACCTGTATCCCTTGTCGAACCTTCATCATCCTTTCGCAAACCTTTGTCTGCAGATTCCTCCCTACGCGAACGTCTATCTTGAGAGTCCTCTCTTCGCGAACCTCTATCTGTAGATTCATCTCTTCACGAACCTCTGTGATGTGAGCTTTCTCTTTGCGAATGCCTGTCGCTAGATGTATCCTTTCGCGAACCTCTGTGATGTGAGCTTTCTCTTCGCGAACGTCTGTATCTAGATGTATCCCTTCGCGAACGTCTGTGATGTGAACCTTCTCTTCGCGAACCTCTGTCTCGTGATGAGTGACTTCACGAACGTCTGTGAGATCTCGATCTAGAGCAGCTAGGTGTAGGAGATGGATCCTTCGATGTTCTCCAAAGTTCAGGGTTCGCAGATGTAGAATGATGAGTAGGTATCTCATGTCTTCTATCCTCCTCCAAGATGACAGAGTCGTCTGACTGTGGAGACCTTCACAAAGGTGTACGTTGCCCAACGTAGTCTTGAGACGTAGTTCTCTGAGGAGTAGGTTCGCACAGGTCAGCAGGTTTGCGCACGGTGTCGGTAGATGAGAGGCTTCGTCGGGCCTTCGCTTCTTCCTCGAATCTGCGTTCCATCATGGTCATCATCTGGTTGGTGAATTGTCTCATAAATTGATGAATTGTCTCATAAATTCACCCAGGTCAAAGTTCTGCGTTGGTTGAAGCTACTGCGGGTTAGAAGCGTTCGCGAACGCTGATGAGTTCTGTGCCTCGACTTCACCCCGTTGAGAAGTAAGTGGTAGTTTGTCAAACAGCTGTCCTGCTGTGACCATTGCAGGAGATGATCTAGTAGTTGTAGATGTCGATTGAATCGCTGATCTCGTAGGCATTTCAGGTAGAAGTAGTGGGGAATCATCAAAAACGTCTACTTCATGTGGAGGTAATATCTCTTCGTTGAAGGATTTCTGATGCGTTGACTTACTAGCCCGCGTGGATTTGCCATCCGATCTGGTAAAAGATACTTTCTTCTGCGTTGTAGAAGAGGATGACGTCTTTTTCTTAGCTTGAGTCGGAGTCAACTGCGTTGTAGCCGATCTCTTCTTAGCCCCCGTACCAGCAGACTGCCCCTGCAACGTACTCAACATAGCACCAGTATTATGAATCTCCACAGTAGCAAGCAACATACGGATTGCAGGCTGATCTCCTGTTTCATCAGCCGTGACTTGAGATGATTTCCTCACCCGATCCATGGCATGTCTTTAGATATAAGACAAATATTGATTAAATTTTAGATTTGATAAATCAACACAATAAGTACAGCGTAAGCTGGAAGAACATGGTTTTATGCACGAAGGGCATTGGGGGTGAGGATCAGCCACGGATAACCTGTGCCTGTAAACACTGCAAGATTTCATGAAATGTAAACAAAGTTACATAACGATGAAATTATGACACAAATACAAATAATTTTTACAATTTTTTTACATATAATACAAAGTAGTTATTGCCAAATCCATACACAGCGTAGTTTTGAAGAATAGGACCTAAATAAAGTATATAATGCCGTATATGGGACTCCAGTGCTCGCCCAACCATCCACTTGGGCGAAAAGGGAGAGAGTGACAAGTAAGGCTGGTCACATGACTGTTTGCGCGGGAAAGGGCAAAAGGGAGGTAACTCGTGGGTGAGTGTATTTTTACGTCCGCTTCCGGAACTTCAAGGGATTCAAGTGTTCCACTACCATTCGAAAGGAAAAGGGAGATAAGCAAAAGATCATGAGTCAGGATAAGAAAAAATAATCATTTATAACTCTCATAACATAAAAAACATGATACAATTGCAAATTGTAAACGATACATAAACATATTTAAACCGATACTTTCAAAACTAAATATCAATACAGTTTTGAAAGCATCAATAATTGTATCGTCTTAGAGAAAGTATCGATGCATCGATGTATCAATGTATCGTGACATCCCTAGTAGGAAGCCTCACCTTAACCCTGAAGAACTTGAGTCCCATCAGGAGGCTGATGATGCTCTGGGCTGTGTAGGGAGTTTGGTCTCTCAGCTTAAGCTCCTTCAACTCACTCAGGAATGTCTTCCTCACGGCCTGGAACCTGGCAATACATCGGCAAACATTCACAACGGATGACGAGTATGGTGCACACACAGACTTGGCAGTAGTAACAATTCAGTCACCATAATGCTACTTTCTGAAACTTGGACTTCAGAGCCATCTGAAGATATTTTAAAATCTCATTCACATTTCTAGATATATTACTTGACTAAACAGAAGGACTTGAGACCAAACAGAAGGCCTTGAGACTGTGCATTCAATAAGAGCTGGTGTTTATTCAAGCTAGATACTTATTATCTTCATTTAAGTTTCCATTGAAAGATCCAAGTTTCAGCAAATATGCCAGTTTCACATCTGTATGTTGACATTCTCACAAACTTACACCAGAACATTTGACATGGGAGCATAATTTTACACCTTGTGAACTGGTATTTTTGAATGGCAGGTGCTTACTCGAGGCAGGTGTTCATTCAAAGAACTCAAAGTCAAAGAAGAACTATGATGAAATACATGAATACTGGCTTACCTGGACTGTGCCAGCACTCCCACCACCTCAGAATAGAGGTCTGCTATAGTGTTCACATTGGCAGCATTAGGGTTGGTCTGCAGGCTGAAGGGAAACAGATTGTTGGCGTCAGTTTGTCATATCATAGCATCCTGTAAAATATCTGAACTAGTGATTGATATCATGAGCACCAATCCATACCATCACTGAGGCTGACCACAACATGCATTTAGTGCGTCCAACGACTAGCACAGAATGTTGGAGAACAAATGTAACCTTCAGTATTATCAGGACTAGACACATGATGAACAGGAATGATATTTTATGGATAGACAACTTCTTTATTGCAATGGAAGCAACGTTTCAGTGTATATGCTAACACAGTATCAAGCAAGCGATGATGATAATGGTGTTAGCATCTACAGTGAAACGTCACATCCATTGCAATGAAGAAGTCTATCCATAAAAACTTGTTCCTGTGCATCGTACCAGTTTCTAAACGAAGTTACCCATGAAGATCTGGGTTAGAATTGATCTTCAACAATTGATCTTGGGTTAGAATTGATCTTCAACAACCCATGCTTGTTGTGAGAGGCAACTAACAGGATCCGATGGTCGGGCTTGCTGACTTGGTTGACACACGTCATCGTATCCCAATTACATAGATTGATGCTCATGCTGTTGATCACTGGATTATTTACAGACCGCCACCATATAGCTGGAATATTGCTGAGTGCAGCGTAAAACTAAACTCACTCACTCTAAATGAAGTTAGACACAAACTCCCCTTGTAGCACAAGCTGGAAGAGATTCATTATGTTGAATTTTCCTCAACTGCAACTTTGGGCTATTTGCTATGTTTCCACAACTTTCAACATTTTCAACTCAAGTGATAACACAAACATATTTCATTCATATCTCAGACAAGACAAATGTAGCTCAGTTACATGCAGGAATAATATCAACTCTGAAAACACTTAAGTCTATTCATAAAATTGAACTAACCTGTAGAGGTTTAAGATTCTTTGAATATATTCCTCCTTGGGGTACTTATAAGCATTTAAATGTCCATTTAAATTCCCTCGACAGTTGTAACAATATTTGAATAAAATATTTACAAAACAAAACTTCGTTTTGTCTTGTGAGACCACCCTTACAGGGCCTTCCGGCCCCTACAGCCAAGAGCAGGTAACTCTAGGCCGTAACCTCGTACCTCACTTTCCATGCTGAGCGAAGTCAGACAGAATCTTGCGAGGGAGGTGGTAGTACCCAAGGAGGAATATATTCAAAGAATCTTAAACCTCTACAGGTTAGTTCGATTCTTTTTATATATTCCTCCTTGCAGGGTACTTATAAGCATAAGACAGACTCCTAAAGGCGGATCTCAGGGCGGCATTCTGTCTGCTTAAACACCCCGACAAAAGTGGAATTTCCCAAGCTAATTATAGCAGAAAAGGCACACTTACCGGTCCGTGTCCACCAAAGCCAATCAGGCGGGGGCATGAGCCAGGGTCAGGGAGTAGCGATATGCAAATTTGTCCAGCGAAACCTAAGCTAATGCAGCGAGCGAGACACACCCTCCCTCCTTCCCGTAATCTACCGGAAGTGAAGATAAGGGTCCCATAATAAACCCAGAAGCGAAATGCGGAATATGAACAGCAAAGTTTCCAAGGGCAGTTTAGTCTAGAGCTTCTCGGTTAGAAAGCAAGAGACATGGGAATAAAAAACCAGCACCACATAAAACCCATCACCAAGGGAAAAATGTAACAAGATTTGTAAAACCCAACACCAGTGTTAAAAATTGGCAGATAATGGTTCACACAATAATGTTTTTAAAAACCTCGAAAGCTCAATCGGCTAGAGAGGTGGAACCATGCCCACTGGAGAGAACTGACTGACCGAACCGAGCACGCTCACTGGAGAGTCTGTCAAGTTGGTAATGGCGGATGAGCGTACTCGGGCCGGCTCCAAATAGCAGCGGAGCAGATCTCCTCAATGGGCAGGGCTGCAGCGTAAGCTGTCGATGTAGCCACTGCCCTAACCGAATGAGCTTTCAACCCAACAGGCGGGATACGCCCTGTTTGAGTATAACTCATATGTATGGCAGAGACAAGCCACCGAGAAATGGTCTGCTTGGTGGCGGAAGACCAGCCTGAACCCGCCATAACAACAAAACAATTGGTTACCCTTACGGGTACCCTTGTTCGTTTGATATAAGCCTGAAGTGTCTTCACGGACATCTAAGGCGTGAGCACGTCGTAGAGAGGTACCCGGACAGGGAAGGCTGAGTGAAAGCTGGGAGCTCAATAGGCGCCGTCACATGGAAGGGACTATCCTTCTTAGGGCCGGTAAGTCTCAGGCAGCGAATGCTAACTCTGTCTTTGTGAAAAACAGTAAAGCGGGATCGGCCGACATTGCATGAATATCGCCAACCCGCCTGCCAGAAGTCACCGCCACAAAAGCGCCCGTCTTCCCGTCAACAGCTGGAGGAAAGAGCCGACAGATTGTGAAACAGTGGACGGACAGCCAATCAAGAGCGATTGACAAGTCCCGCGGGGACTAATCCGTCGGACAACGGGCGGATTCTGTCCACGCCTGCTAAAAGCTGTACAAGAGGGTGCTGCCCCAAGAGAGCACCGTCAACAGGAATATGAAGCGCCAGAAATAGCCGTAGAATATCCCGAACAGTGGAAGCCGCTAGACCGGCTTCCAGCGAACTGGAGGAATTCCAACACACAGACTAAATCTGTAGAAAGGGATCAAGAATCCCCTGTTGACACACCAGCGAATAACAGGCCCATCTATCCTCATATTGAGCGTTTGCCGAATCCCTCCATGAAGCCAGAATTGTGTCTGCAACTGGTGCAGGAATTCGCTTCGCATGGAAGCGATCCCGGATAGCGGCCAAGCCACCCACTGAATCCTGGGATTGGTGGAAGCTCCGTTCTGGGATAGGAGGTCGGTCGAAAGGTAATAGAACAGGAGGCTGAGCCAGAAACCTGAAATTACGGAAACCAGCTTTGTGCCGACCAAAGGGGTGCCAGAAGCACAAGTAGCCGAGCTGGTTGTGCGGTCAGCTCGCGACAGGACCCTGGAAATCAGTGGTATCGGAGGCATACAGTACCCTGTCCGTCAATCTAGCTGAAAGCGTCGTTGGCTAGCGCACCCGGATCGAATCCGGGAGCAAAACACAGGAATCTGGTTCGTCACCCCAGGCGCCAAACAGATCCACCTGGAACGACCGAACAACTGGGAGATAATCGAATATCTCGGTCGAGCATCCACTTTCGTGTGGGGCTAGTATCGCCGTGAGAGAGCATCTGCGGGCGTTGTCTACCCGGAGATAAACAGGCAAAACCGAATGTTGAACTGATCGCACCACAGTAGAAACTGCCGCGCCTCCTGAAGGGCGGCGGAGACACTGTGCCGCCTTGCTTGAGAATGTAAGACATGGCGTTTGATTGTCCATTTCTAGGCGAACCACCGCGGCCCTGCACCAACACCCTGAAGCACTTTCGAACACCCTGCGGACTGCTCTCAGTTCTAACACATTGATGTGTAGGCTGACCTCCCGCTCCGACCAGAGGCGGAGGCTGAGTGCTTCGCCCAGGACCCCCAACCTGTGAGGGCGTCGTCCGTCTGAACTGAAGGGAAGGTGTCGGGGTGTCGAGGGGATCCCCTGGACAAATTCCGGCGTCCGTCCACCATCGCAAGTGAGGATTAACCACTCTGGCGTTATGAGCATAATCTCGTAGCCCTGCGAGTGGGACCACAGCTGAGCTAATGCTTGCTGAAATTGGTGCATCCTCAAGCGCGCCGCGCCAAACCCGTCCACTGTCGCCGCCATGTTGCCGAGCAGCGAAGCCATGTTAGGGCGGCCTTAGCGGGTACTGGAGGAACTGTAACACAGTCCCCGGACTTTGGCGATGCGGTCGAGCAGGAAACAATCCCTAAGCGCCGTGTTGAATCTGGCTCCCAAGAATATCAGATCCTGCGTCGGAGCGAGGTCTGATTTCTTGAGATTGATAATCCAGCCCAGTGACACCAGAGTATCCCTTGCGCACAGTGTGGAGGCTCTGCTTAACTGAGCCCTAAGGCCCGTAGAAGCCAATCGTCCAGATGCGGGTGACAACACCTGCCCGAGACCTGGCTAACTGAGCTGGGATTAGCATAAGTTTGGTGAACACCCTTGGCCCGTGGAGATGCGAAGGGAGCCGCGAAACTGGTAGCCGCGTCCCGTCGAAGGAGAACGGAGGTACTTCTTGAATTGGGGTGCATTGGAACATGGAGGTATCGTCTTTGAGATCGATTGGCGTAAGCCAATCCCTGTCACCGGCGGAGGAGATCACTGACCTGAGTGTCTCCATCCTGAAGAGCGGCACCTCCAGTAATTTGTTCAGCCCTCTGAGATTCAGAATGGGTCTGAACCCTCCGTCCTTTTGGTCACGAGGAAGTAGGTGGAATAAAACCCCTCTTCGCTGACTCACAGGAACCACCTCGATGGCGCCTTGGTCAGTAAAGACTGAACCTCGACGCGCGGAGGACTTCCGCCTTGTCGCGGGGAAGTGCGGCACAGGCGTGTGCGAACCCCGGAGAAGGACGGAGGATGGCGCCTCCACTGTGGCAAATGGCCATCCCTGGCGTGGACAGGACCCAGGGATTTGAGGTGGCTGCCTCCCACTCCCGGAGGAATAGGGACAACCCGACGCCCGACAGGGGCGTGTGGCAAGAGGCAGTGCACCCCCACCGTCGGCAAGTCTCCGCTTGCGTGAGTGGGGGCAACAAGGGCTCTGGGGAATGAATCAGTGGGAAGCGGGGCTGGCTTCCCCTTGCCCCGAAAAAGACTGCTGCGCTGGAGCAGGCTTGCCCCTACCTCTCGTCGCCTGCTCGCTTGGACTGCAAGGGGCAGCCCACTTAACATCCTTCGCCCGAGGCAGAAGGGTAAGCGGGCATAGCGGGGAGGGCGATGGCGAGGCGGAGGGCTGCTCAACAAAGGCTTTGAGTCCTTAAAGGTAGAGACAGCCTCCAGCGGCCTCCCGTACCACCTGCAAGGCCCCAGGGAACAGGGAAGATCCCATGGTATAGGGCAATGACAGTAGAGCTTGCTGTGTGGCGGCGAATGCAGCGCCACAGACAGCCACAGGCGGCGCAAGCCCATGGCGGCTCCCATCATCTGGCTGGCACAGCACGAATGCTGTCGAGCCAGATGCGAGTGTCGTCCGTTAACTGCGAGGCGAGCACCGACTCCGATGGTCGGCACCGCCAGCGCTGTGGGCCACCAGCTGTCCCTGCAGCGCCCGACAGGTAGGCTGAATGGACTGCTACTTTAAGTTGCTGAGCGGCGCACGGTAACATTCTTGAATGACCGGTAGGCAGACTTCAGCGGCAGTGGCGTACTAGCGGAAAAGGGGAGGCGCCTGCCCTGCCTGGCGAGGCCAGGGAAGGCGAAAGCGACCCTCCTAGCGTGACTGAGGCAAAGGCGCATTGCGTCCACCACTGGTGGTTGGCGTCTCCGCACCTAACTGGTACCGCCCGGCCGACTTCAGGCAAATCAAAGCGATCAGTACCAGCCAGGGGCGGATTCACCACCTCACTGACCAGTGATGGGAGAATGCGCAAAGCGTGCCTCTGCGACCTGGTTGGGTGCAAAGCGCCTCCCGGGGCGAAACTCCAGCGGGGTCGGGTGCGGGGCGGGAACAGCCACCTGCGGCAGGACTTGGCGATTTTCTCCCGAACCTGCGCGGGGGCGAGGGCAAAGTGCGGCACTCCCGCCTCCGATTCCACCGTCCCTTCCTCCTCCTCCATATCGACCTCGGCAGAATCCTCGGCCGCCATAATCTCAGACTCCTGAGAGGCGCCGAGGAGGCGCCAGAGCAGAGACCAGAAAAACTCATAAGGTCAAGAGGAGCCAGGGGAAAAACATCAGCCCTGCGGGAGGAACCAGCGCCAGGTCGCCGAGTCGCCGAGAGGAACCTGCGCAACAGGCTTCCCGGGCAACCCGACTGGCTGCGGCGGGCGAGGTATCCCGAACTGGTGGCGCCTGGCGACCGCCAGTCGGGACACCAGGCAATGACAGGGGGCAACCCTGTATCGCCCGGCACCAGGCACCTGTGACAGACCAGTGCATAAAGCCAGGTCGTCACCAGGCGCCCGAGGGCATGCCGTCACCAGGGCGAAGCCAGGATCAAAGCGCCCGAGTGGCGTTCTCGAGCGGGCTCGGGCGCAATAACCCCAGATGTGTCAGCCCGCCCCGGCGACCCGGCGGCTGAGCTCCTTACGGAACCCGCTAGCGCGCCCGTATCAATCAGGGACTTGACTGGCGACATCTGCTCCTGGAAAAAGCGGTTAGCGAATCAACAGGAACACTTTTACAGGTGCTGAATCAAGAGGGGGTGGCGGGTACAGAGGCGGAAGCAGTAGGAGATGCAGAAGGGGCATGAGTGCGTGAAGGCGAAGCCGCCTTGGTAAGCCTTAGCTTTCTTGGGAGCCGGCTCAGCGTGGGAAGCGGCTCCCGTGGACCCTTTTTACTATGGGGGCGCTTGGGCCGGGGATCCTGTGCCCAGAGATCACCCCGCCCGAAGCAAGTTGCCGTAAAACAAGCGTGTCTATCCGCCTCGCCCGAATGGTTTGGGGCGAGAACTTGGCACATGCCGCACCCCTCTTCCTCATGTTCCTTCTGCACTAAACAGCGTAAGCGAACCTCGTGGGTATCCCGTGCGGGAATTGCAGCAAAGGCGAAGTACAGGGTTTAAACTGCAACAAGTAAAAACCTGTGCAGCAATCTACCCTATACCCACATACAAATACATGTAAAAGGCGCGCATAGGCGACACAACTAATCGACAAGCGTGGCATGCAGTTGACAACCTAGTACATACTGCAGCATAACTAACAATTCACGGTTTTAGCGTAATATAGAAAATGCGAGCAGTAGACATCGCCCTACTGCGTACAAAGATACAAATAAAAATCACTAAAACCACCTGTAACATTGAAAAACCACAGGGAAACCAATGAACAGGAAGGCTAGCGAAGGCACCTGTCCGCCATCTTGCCCGCACTAGCGAGCCGACCCGCGACAGGTACCAAGTTACAGCGAGAAATTATGAATGAAAAATTCAGAAAACACCTCCAATTAAGCCCATGCGGAAAAAGAGAACCATACATACAGTTGCGTTTCTGAAACACTCATAACTCTCTTAGTTAGCAAGGAAAAACCTTCTGGTATGGACCCACGTCTTGTCGGTATTTTAGCGACAGCATGGAAAGTGAGTGCGAGGTTCACGGTCTAGAGTTACCTGCTCTTGGCTGTAGGGGCGGAAGGCCCTGTAAGAGTGGTCTCACAAGACAAAGCGTAGTTTTTGTTTTGTAAATATTTTATTCAAATATTGTTACAACTGTAAGTAGGGAATTTAAATGGACATTTAAATGCTTATAAGTACCCAAGGAGGAATATATAAGATCAATTTTTGGTTTGCTGATATTCAGCAGAGCATCATGTATTCAGTATGCATTTACGCTTCATGATGTCCCACAATATTTAGTGAACTGTGACACTGATTATCATCATGGTAAGCTTATTAAGATTCTGAAATAACAAGGAAAAGTCTTGGAAAACTTACATCTCTCCTTTCACACAGGAAGTCCTTACTCCTGGAACAAGAAGAATGTTTATTGAGGATTTTGACCAATTAATGCATTCATGAACATTGACTTACAAGGTATCAACTGAAGTCTGGTGGCAGGGTACATTGTAACAATATAATTCAGCAACTAAGACACTGTACATAATTTATGGCTAGGGGGGTGATTTTGATTTGATGATTTTTATAGAGAAGCATGTACACTGTGAATGACCCCACTACACGTTATGCACAAAGTGACTTCCTTGCATGTCATGTACAAAATCAATGACACACATCCCTTAGTACATGTGTACAAAATGATTCCCCCCCCACGAACAAAACTGGTGACCCCGTCCCCTTTTAAAGTCATAACCCCCATCCCTTACCCCTATCACACCTAGTTACCCCCTTCCCCACCTACCCCTTGCTCCTGTGTCGCTGTCTCGAGTCCTGCTGCATGGCTTCATCGCCGCGAGTCTGACGGTCGTACCAGCCAAACAGAGTCCGCAAGATGGATGGCAGACTCTGTTCAGCAACGCAGCCCAGAGCACCGAGGATCTGAAGCATACAGGTTGTGTTGAAATCTTTCACAAACAATTCATCATTAAACCAATAACAATATTTCAACAACAGATTATCATTAATTATAACTCTCTCATTAAAGCATGAAGACATCTGTGTTTTGCTTCGAAGGATAAAGGGACCTTTTCTTCATAATGTCAATACCTCTTGTAGACCTTTCAGTGTGAGATCAAATGCATACAACATAGGTGAGGTGAGGTGAAAGTGGGTTTAACGTCGTGCTTGAGAATATTTCGCTCATATGACGACATGCATGCGTGTGTATGTGTATGTGCGGCTGCTTGTACTAGCCCAGTCTTAAGCTGGTTTTATAGTGCTAGCCCACTGAGATACCATGCCGCAGTGAAGCATGAATACCCCACTCAGACACATTATACTGACTCGAGCCGACCAGTCCTTGTTGTACCCATTAATCATTAATGCCGCGCGCCAGGCAGGGACCAACAAGTACCATATTTTATCGTCTTTTGGTTTGACGTGGTCGGGGATCGAACCCGCGACCTTCCGTTCTCCAGGCAGACGCTCTAACCACTACACCACGGAGGTGGTCGCGCATACAACATAGAGTAAAACATGACAACTCACAACAATCACAAGTACTAGGTACCACACACAAAACAAGTTTTACACGTACTTTAAGATGCCATTATACACACCAACCTTAGCGCTATGACTGTTTTAAGTCTATGTGAAGGTATTGTTTTTAGGGTCACTCAAGGATCACTTTGTACAATGGCACCCCCTTGGATATGACAATAAAGTTCTGCCAGCATCATGTGTTTCCAAGATATACCTGATAGAGGTTTATACATTACCAAATAGACAGAGTTCCAAGTTATAATGAATTATCAACATAGAGGCAACCTGTGAAGATCCAGGTTAGCATTGGTCTTCAGCAACCCATGCTTGTTGTAAGAGATGACTAATGGGATCGGGTGGTCAGGCATGTTGACTTTGTTGACACATGTCATCGTATAACATTGACATAGATCAATGCTCATGCTGTTGATCACTGGACTGTCTGGTCCAGACTCGATTGTTTACAGTCTGCCATCAAATAGCTGGAATATTGCTATGTACCAGGATGCGGCGTTAAACCACAAACAAACAAACAACACTGAGGTGACTATGGTACTGTAACTGACCCAGGATCAGGTCCAGCTACCAAAAGAGGATTGGAGATTAACCTATACTTAATTAAAAGTAAAAATGGTAGTCAACAAGACCATTTCACTGCTCCTTCCTAATTGCACCAGACCAGACTGAGACCAACCGTAATGGATATTTTGAATCACAGGTACGATCCAGTCACACCTACCTGGTCAAACAAGGCATCCTCCCCCCTCCGTAGTGAGTTGGACAGAGGACGTTCCTGGAAATACAAACACACTTGAAACACTGAACCCATCAGATGGACAATGACTGACATTAATTTCTCTAACACCAGACCATGTAGATGGAAATGTTCCTGCGTGTGATTTCCTTGCCGTGCCTATGCCAAAGAAAATTTAAAAGCTGACAAAATATTACTCGAGGATATCAAAATAATAGTTAATGTTCAGCACAACAGAACGAAACAGTTCTGTCATAACAGAAACATCCCCCAATCATGCTTATCACAACTACTGTCAATGAACATGAATTTAGAGGCAAACGGCATGCAACACGATTCTTAGGTTTGAACACCAGCTCTCTCTGTACATGATCTTAGGAAGGGTGTCACTTACCAGTGGTTCCGCAAGAACCTGTTCAATCTTCTTCTCTGACAAACGACAGAATTCCAAAAGAGGCTCCGGAGAATATACTCCCCCGGTTTGCCTTCCTCTGTACTTGTGTTGTTGGGTCGCCATGGAAACTTCAGCAACAAGTCCGATTCCATTGGTGGCCTAGCACCATCTAGGAATGAATATACAGCAATGTCTACAAAATGAAACTTTTCCATCATATTGATAGTATGACTATAACCATGGCAACGATGACACTGTCTTACTGACTGTTTGCACACATACTCCAAACAGTATGCCAAGATCATTTAAACCATCACAGGAATAACCTAATTTAATCTCTTAATCTTTATAGGAGATTATGACTCACACAAATACAGTGATGGGCTGGACAGCTAAAACAGATAAAGACAATTATATCAAGCTGCTAGCTCAGCTGGGACATGAATGTTGTAATGACAAACCCTCACTTATGAGGCGTTATCTCAGCCTGCACCGCACAGTTTCTCTATTGTTGGTCTCCAACTGAGGCATCCAATCAGACATAACTTAATAAGCTCACTGTAATTGCATCATATGCAATTTCGATAAACGATGTATTCAGATAATTCAAGGAACGTTTGACATTTCATCATGCATGCTTCCTCATCAGTAATTAGCTGCAACAAATATCGGCTGATTAGGAATGCAAGGCTGGCGTTTCTGAATCATTTGTTGTATCTGGAATGACCAGGCCTCCCTCATGCGGTTAGTGAGTGAAGCATGTTCTACTCTGCCCAAATGAGTCATATCACTTCAGCAATGATTCATACAGACATGATCGATAGTATGAGCAATGATTCATACAGACAGGATACAGGCATGAGTACTTGTCATGTACACAATCTGTAATAGAGACAAGAACCAGTGACTGATAGTGTGAACACAGATCAATACAAACACTATAGGAATGACTGCTTTTAAAGTAATCAATAGGTATAGAACACGTGATCAATAGCGAGAGCAACATTCAATGAACAGTATAGACAGGCTATGATTCAGTGTGAATGATGGGCTGAGTTTGACACTGCTTCAATACACTTTGTCTCATAGTAGCATGACATGTTATCCTGGGGAGGAAAGTATGATCTCTCTGATGATCATCATAACGGACATACAAGAATCAAGAATTCTACTATGGCAATGAAGAACCCATGATTCTATGGGTCAAAATGACAAAACTGTCCGATATTTAGACTTGTCACACACAAACCTATGTGTACACTTAGTCATATATACTGATAATTACTGACAACAATGTAACGCTACTGGCGCTTCGTTCCAATTTAAAATAAGGATACTTCATATGTCTGAAATATCAAAACATGGCTGGTTTACCTTCCCCAAAAACAACAGCAGTGGCTCTAAGAGATACAACTTAGCTAGAGAAATGTCTTTGGGTACCACCACTGCTACCACCTTCATATGGATATTAGTTTTTTACAGACAAACTGCTGCAATTATGTTCAAAACATCGATGTGATCACATGATTTTGTCTGATTGTTTTATGTGAATGATATATTAACAAGAAAAAATTGTGTCCAGGGACACGGATGCCCCCGCTGACATTCATAAGACATATAAAGATCAATAATTGAACAAAATTCACGAACAAGTTCAATAAACATCTATGCAACTATGACATGCACACCTTTCGAGTCTCAATGAAACACATGTATAAGCTTAATCAATTCTGTTGAGCATTTTTTGTGGAGAAGTTGATAGACTTCATCCCCTATAACACTATATTCAGAGAGAAATTCAACAAAATTTATTCAAGTTTAAACGGCATAAAAATTGGAAAAATAAATAAAATCTAAAATCAAAAAATGTTGAAACATTCAAATTATTAACAATGCAAATAACCTCAGGAAAATGGAAATATTTACCAATACAATTAATACAAGATGAAAACTAGACAACACACTACAGGACGCTATTGCAACATTGAAGCATGTGCCAGCATGAAGATTATGAATACACATTATAGAAACACAAGACACCAATGCATGTATATGTCACGTCCAGCGTTTTACCAGGCTACCATGTTGCATGCTGAAGCATTAAACATCCTTTAAACATAGCAATGTCTTACAGCACTTTGTCAAACTGTTCTTTCTCCGTTTACAAAGAAGCTTGGCTGCCATGGCTTCTCGTGTGAGTACATGGATTGTGTATCTAGGTGATGGTCATGTCATTCTGCTAAGTCACACACTGATGTGACTGTAATAATCGAACAGTCACATACACCAGTCTGCCATGAGGCTCTACATGGCTGGGGCATTTCTTCTAGATTTAGTATGTTACCTTTGATATTAAACCTGTTCAGCATTGTTTGTCAAAAAATTTTACCAATTGACAAATTCGGTTTTATTTATGATTATTGTAAACATCATTTTCTTATTAATCATCTTAATAAAAGACACACCTTCTCCATGACCTATCATGTTTTGGTAAGTATATACATATATATACAGTTGTCGCAATACACCAGTGTATTAGTTCATTATGAGAGATTGATTACATGATACACCCACTAAAGTACCAAATCACAGTTTTATTCCAAACATATTTCATAACGTAATATCAACAGGTTCTTACTAAAAAACTGGCCTGATATAGACTCAGGCTGGTTGAAATGTTGTTGTAAGTTGGAAGTATTGAAGACACAATTTTGCCATGATTACTTTATCATAAACATTACTGAAGGACATTTTAAGTAAAATCAATATACTACATTATGAACATAACTCCAGATATGCAAAGAACATGTTTTATTCAGGGGTGAAAATAACCCATTGCCCGACGTCCGAGTCCAGTGTTTTTTTCTGTCGGGCAAGCAAATTTGTATATCACACTGTACCGGTGTCCAGTTGACTTTCCAATGTTAATTATGTTGTTTATTTAAAATATCAACAAGAAAACAGCCGGTATAGTGGGAAAATTATCAGGGCAAGTGATTTTACATGTGCCACTGTACCCGAGTACACTAGCAATTTTAAAGTTATTTCCACCCCTGTTATTACTTGATAGTGTAACAAAAGGATTAACTTAAGTAATTCAATACAGATTTGTTAATACTCTATTTCCGATGACTGATCACGACCAGAAGATGTACCGGCCTATGCACTGAACGTAACATTTTCATACTGATTTTTTGGGTCAAGTTAGGACGTCGGCTAACAATGAGATCAGCTGATCTACGGTCATAGGTGATAACCACCAAACAACATATAATAAATACGTTAAATCTGCTTGAATTATACTACAAGAATGAACCTTAATTAATAGGGGTGGGTATTGCAGAGAATTTTCATATTGCGATATATTGCGATGCGGAAGCATATATTGCGATATGTATTGCAATATATTGCAAGAATTATTTTTTTAACAAAAACTATTTATAATCGAGTTAATGCTTGATTATAAAGCAAAAACACAACAAAATCACTATGATTGATTAACCTTTAATAAAAACTTTTAATCATGACAAAAGAAAAATGTAAGTAACATTTAGCACTAATGAAACAGGGAAAAGAACAATTAAAAAAACGGAAATATCCGAAGATTTCCGAGTGTTACGAAGTTTTCCGAATGCATGTCAAAATACCGGTTTTCGATCAGCGTATCGTAAGACGTATCGTTTTCATGTCTGAACCGGTAAATACCGGTAAACCGGTTATATTGCGCAGCCCTATTAATTAACTAGTCAGGTCAATCACAAACTGATTCATGGCAACAATACTTGTTAACTGGGCCAAAGGTAATGTGGAAAACATATATTATAAAATGTTTCAATGAGGCTCCGCCCCCTCATGTGGAGCCTCTCACCACCTGTGCTGCATCTGGTTCATGGTCACTCTTAAAGCAGGAGCTCACCACACTCCGATTCACAATCCCAACAAAAGCTACTTCGACCTCCATGCCAGACGTTTTTTCAATCAATATCAGCAGGATATGGATAAATTCAACATGGAAGTGAAACCAGTGACAGTATACACTATGATACTAATGGACACAAAGCACAAGATGTTTTACAGGTAAGAGCTAGCCAGTAGATGTGTTGATAATAAGTGAGTGAGTGAGTTTAGTTTTACGCCGCTTTTAGCAATATTCCAGCAATATCACAGCAGGGAACACCAGAAATGGGCTTCACACATTGTACCCATGTGGGGACTCGAACCCGGGTCTTCGGTGTGACAAGGGATAGCTTTAGCCACTAGGCTACCCCATTGCCTCTGTTGATAATAAGGAAAAGCCAAATATTCAGCTGGAACAGCTCATACAATGTGCTGGCTACACTTTAAAGTCTAAGGTCTTACATTTTACAAATATTCGGCTATTGTCCAGGTTAATATTACCCGGATATGGCAACTTACCTTCGTGCAATTCTAATTCTGCCCTATTATGACATCTATCATGTTTGATTTTACTCTATAGTAAAAATATCTCAATAGGTGTTGAGCAGTCAAGCTAAAATGTCAGACTGACCCTATCAGAAAAGTCATGTGACCCATCGTGAGCAACTTCTTCACAAGAAGAACATGGTTTCCACGAAGAAAGGGGTGTTTTCTAACTTGTCACACCGGAAACCCCTATGCAGTGTATGAAATAAGGCCCGTCCGACCGCCCAAGACGGGCTAGATTTGTGACGGACGGTCTAAATTTACAGCTAGCCAGCCCGATGGTCTGGTACAAATTTTAGATAACATGTTCCATACATCTGAGTAAATTCACCATATCTTAAAATCTATTTTTCAAATTGAGCGTTACATTTAGACTTGACATTAGTTGTCAATTACTGTTTGAAAGCTACCGATACGCGGACTTCTGAAAACTCAGAGTCAGATTTCTTTGTAAATGGCAGTTGTGAATTAACTGATCGACAGAAAATACATGTCTCAGGTTCATTAAAGAATTCATTGTAACTAAAAATTGCAATTTCTTGGATTGTCTGGTCTGGTTAAACCCAGCCAGACATCAGGGCTGGTAACTTCAAAATTTTACCAGCCCTGATGTCTGGCTGGGTTTCTGGCTTATTTCTAACACTGCCATCTGGTGTGTTTTGGTGCCCCAAACCTCCTGAACAGGTTTAACGCAACATTGAGACTGCAATACAAAATGCATCCCGATGACAGAGGTGCAATGCGACTCGTATCCCAATATTTAGGGATGTTTGAAAAGATCAGTAATCAGAAATATCTTTGATGGGAATAATTATCAATAACTATCAATATGAAAATTGTGTTATCAGAAATATCAAGAACTGTGATGAAATAACGGTTTAATTTACTCCGACAATACACAAGGTTAGATCTAAATTCATGGACTGCTTCTACAATATGTCCAGGATGGTGAGTCATCCAAGCCTAAATATGTCACCACTGACCAGTGATGTAAAACATATTGATTTCATTCAGATCTATATAGATAACCAGTCTTTCTTTAATTTCATAAGTTCATATTCCCTGCATTTTCATCGGTGAATCACATTCCTGAAAGGGAATGGCGTTAACATAAGCAGTAATGCTTGTTTAAACCACATTACTTAATCATTTGGGGTTTTTTTATTTAAAAATTGTAAAATATGAAAGATGGGATATTGTAGGTGGAAACATATAAGTTGGGGACACTGTGAAGACTCTGCTATTCATAGCCAAACAAGAAATACTAGAGAATATGCATACACTTGTTCTTGACCATTTTCTGGTATCATTCACAGTTGTTTTACATTGGTATCACTTGCAATAAAATTTTATGTATTGCAATACAGGCGTTGTGAATGGATCATCCAGACTTGATTATCTACAGACTGTCATCACGTAGCACAAATAACGTTGTGTGCAGCACAACACAACAAACAAACTGAATCCATCAAGCCAATAACTAATATCAGAATGATTGCTTACAGAAAAATAACAATTAAAATCTTATTGGGATTTTGAGAAAATAGAATAAGGTTTTCTGGCCAAAGTCTGAATTTAAGCCAGAACCAAAGGTTTGGCAAAATAGTGCTCGTGCTATCAACCAGCGGTTTGCCAGACCAAGATTTGATCAACATTAAGTTTTGGTCAGGGTTGTCGAGTTTTACACCTAACCAGCCCTGTGGTCTGGCTGAAATTTTTGGGAGTTTCATACCCTGGTTTCAGACACTAGATTCTGGAGCAGGATATCACAATGACACAAACATGATAAATCACCAACGACCTTTTCAAAAATCCTATCAATACATTTAATTCTTACATAGCATAAACCTTTGAAATTGAACAATGTCTGTATCGGTCATATTTTATTTAATTCCATGGTTTATAGTTTAGTTGCTAACCAAAAAGATGCAGTGAAATAAAAATACTATATTCCTACTCATTTGGAATAGTTGTACTTGGTTGATCAGTTTAGTCTGATGACCATGATGCCATGGCTGAGAAGCAAAATTAGAAATAAGTTTGTTTAGGATGGAATATTGCTGACAGTGGCAATAAACAGCAAACAAACATACTTCTGTTGATTATAGCTGAGACCATATAATAGATAATATTTATTATATGGTCTCTGATTATAGCTTTATTCTCTTTATGAGCAGTTCAGAAAATCTATAGAAACACAATTGATCATTTATCATCATTACTAAAAACCTTTTGGTTAAAATTCTTATGATGTATATTACTATTTTTCTAATCCATCCAGTAGTGTAATCTGGCTGGCAAATGAAAATATAAGCCCTCTTATTATCCAGATAGTTCATCTACAAAAATTAACAAATACACAAAACTGGAGATATTTGATATTCAACAGCACGACTTAGCACAGTATGAACAGGGTCCTATTCAGCTCTGGGTCTGCATAGTGATATGCCATGCAGCTTCAATTTCAGTACAACATGCTGTTTCCATGGTAACAGAACTAACACCAACAGAAAACTGTGTAATGCAAAATGGTAGGTGGGGTTATTTATATAACCAGCATGTAATGGTGGCCCACATTGTTTAATTGTGCCAAATAAAATGAGCCTGTGAGTTTAGTTTTACCCAGCGTTTTGCAATATTCCACCAACATAACAGACGGGGACACAAGAAAATAGGCTTCACACATTGTACATAGGAGTGAATCGAACCTTTGGTGAGACAAGCAAACACTTTAACCATTAGGCTAACCCACTGACCCCAAGATTAAAACCTCACCATAACACATGCCCACTGCCCCCACGATTAAAACCTCACTATAACACATGAGTGAGTGAGTGAGTTTAGTTTTACGCCGCACTTAGCATTATTGCAGCTATATGGCAGCAGTTGTAAATAATTGAGTCTGGACCAGACAATCCAGTGATCAACAGCGGGTTCATAGATCTCCGCAGTTGGGAACCGATGACATGTGTCAACCAAGCCAGCGAGCCTGACCACCCGATCCCGCTAGTCGCCTCTTACAACTATAACACATGAAGCAAGGAGGAAACTGCAAGTTCCTATGAAAGATGCTGGGGAACTCTCTACTTCTAACTCATTACAGCATTGTATACTGTTTTATGTATAAGAATTGTTTTCTGCTATTTGACACATCACAAGTTAGCTACAACTTTCAATTTGGCAAAGATTTCAGTTTCTAAACACAATTTATTATTCATCACATACACATGTGATCATAACTGATTTACAGACAGACAGTTTATGCAGTATTTAATGGTTTAATGGCCCATTGTACAGCTATAGATCATAGTAGATAATAATTTATGTCAGTATAAATCCTGAAACACTGAAAGATGTGACACATGTTCGTCACATACCAGCAGTTAGATTCACAGCATTCATATTTATTTGTTGCAACTGCGGACACAATACACAGATGTTATCATGTCCTTATGAAATTGTAAAGAACTGCTACCAGTGTGGGAAATGGATCATGGAATATATATACACTTAATGACTGACATGTGCAACAACCCTTTCCCTTGACGACTGTTGACAGTTTATAAAACACCTATCTACCTTTGGGCATAATCAATAATTATTCTTATCCAGATTAAAATTTTGAAAAAATATCTGCATTTAATGTTCAGGATTTTATATACACAAATACTTGAGAATGTTCTGAAAGAGATTTATATCTTGTTCACTTAATTTGAGAATTTAGTTTTATTTAGCTTGATCAGGGCCCACTTGCACAGAACAATCTTAGCGCTACAATTATTGTAAATCTTAGGCTATGGCTACAGTTGCCATCCAATTGCACAAAGCAATTGTAGGCTAAGATCATTGTAAGTTACAATAATTGGTCCAAACCAATTGTAAGAAGCTAAGATTATTGTAGACTGTGACAAAGTGGCATTCAAGTTAGTGTGTGTTTCACACAAATAATCAGCTTTATGTTTGAAGACTGCTTTAATATTGCATAAAACTGATTCACCTCAATACTTCAACAACACATATTTTTTTTTTCGGTCATGTTCGTGTCATTGATTTTGTCTTAGTTTATCATTAAAGGTCACATGCAACCAAAAAATCAAACATAATTAAAACACAGCTATCACTTATTCATGACATATAATATACATTGCATGATTATGAAGAAACATCTAAACAAAATTATAGGCGCACAATCGCAAATCAAAGTGCAATATTTTGTACTTGGGTTTACTTCCCGAAGCAGCCGGGATACCGAACCCAGTCAGAGCGGGTGAGTGTGCACTCAAGCGTAACCGCTGGTTCATTTGCAGATGCCCTCACGGCTCATTGTGTGTGTGTATATATAGAGATGTTGGGTTTTGTAAATACATGTTCATTTTTTGTGTATAACATTTTTCAATCAACAGACATCATAACATGTCATATGTACAAGTATCACACCTGCCTGTCTGTGTAATTACATAATGTGACAGAGACTGAACTCGGGCCATATATCAATGCGTTTTCTTTATGGTGTATAGCCTGATAGGTGTTAAGTTCAAATTGCATGTGGTCAGTGATAGGTGTCAATAAAACAGACATTGAGTTTTGTCTGTGACAACAACATATCTATATCACAGTTAGAAACTCTGTCAGCGCTAAATAATGACATTGCTTTTAAGTATCGAACTGAGAAAGTGACTCGGTAAGAAGAACGTGTGGTGAAATAGACAAATGAAATTATATAAACAGTTAAATTGGTAATCTACTGTCACAACATATAAAAAGCTCGCGCCTGTGCAATATCAACAAAACATTAGAAAAATAGCTCGCACCAAAGCTTTCACTGAGTATTCACCAGACAACCCGCTTCCAAGCTGTGCGAAAGTATTTCACTGCGCATGTGCTATGAGCGCAGCCCAGCTGTTGAAACCACTCTTCCCCCAAGCGCTTGGGGAAAACTAGTGAATCGTTTGAACTCCGATTTCGCGCGGTTGTTTGCATCACGTTATTTTTCAACTTTATAAGTTGAATTTGCATTTTTGATGATTTGTATCGGAAGTCCACACCGAAAGGTATCCAAATCTGCAAAGTTGTGTTGTACGTTGCATGTGACCCTTAAAATAATCAACAATTAGAACAAGTTTCTTTCTCATTCTTAAATCTAAAATTGAGTCATACAAGAGACGAGGGTTTTAATCTATACATTTTAGATATAATACAAGTATTTTTTTGTATTTCAATATTTTCATAAAACAGGGGAAGGTATCTCTGTGGTTACACTATTACATTCTTAGTTCATGAATCAAGACAGTTAGAATGTAGAAAAATATATGGTATCATCCACGTAATCGTTTCCTTCAAAGATTTGTTGGAATGTTTTTTCATGAAAATTCTGCAAGGTGCGATTGAGAGAGGTATGTGTTGTGTGCAGTAACCAGTTCCACTTTATATTTGTGCAAAATGCCATGCGCACTACCAGGCAACTGTAGACAGGTGTCGAGTTTAAGAAATTCATACCTCCAACGTTGAAGAGTTCGATCTTAGTTAAGATGGCGATTTTAAATCCATGTCGTCTTACAATCGTGCTAAGATCGGCTTTGTGCAAATGGATTAGGGCAAGTGTATGGTGATTGTTATGTTGATTGTAAGGCCCTAAGATTGATTGTAACTAAGATCATTCTGTGCAAGTGGACCCAGGAGGTTAAATTGTCCATGTACAAGGTGTCTATACATGTAGGCTCGGTGTGTCCAACAACTTTCAAATATCTTTCTTTTTTCTTAATTTGATGAATGGGTTGCATGGTTCATGATGGTTGCCAAATTTAGTAATTGAAGGCTTTTAAATCTTAATATTTCTGAAGTTCACCTGAACTCTGTAGTCTAGCCTAGAACTGTTTGCTTTCTTTGTTTGTCCCTAACCATTTTAATGTCTCACTCTAACAATATTTGATTCTTCAAGTTACTTTACTACTGGACTTTACCATTGCTTACAGGACCCACAGGTATATCAGTTGGGTTTAATACCACTCTTAACAATATCCCAGCTATATCAAGGCATGACGGAGTCAGTTTAAAGTGGGAGGATCGTCAAATGTTTCTAGGGTGCCCAAGAGACCCCACCTCTGCACAGTCAAGTGTGTTGCCTTAGATCTCTGGCATGCCTGTGCCTCTTTGCAGGATAGCTTGGAAAGACTACTAGAAATTGTTTGATTAGACAACACTTAATACTAATAATAGATTCATTTGCATTATCACAAATAATTAGTGTCTGTTTATACTGTTTTCATGATAAGGATCCGAGGGTTAAGGATAGAGTTGGGGCTAGCCTAGACATGCTAGTCATGGTTCATGTTGACAAATACACTCTATGACAATGACAACACAGATCTATAAAAATATCTGCAAAATTCTTATAAAAATAAATAGTGATGTTCTAACATATAATATAATTGCAAAAATCATACTTGGTGTAATATAATCATGTGATGATACACTGTAACCATGGAAACATCTTTTAAAAGAATCTGAGTAACTTTGGCAAATATGGTAAATGGATGTGTTGCAATATGGCCCTAAATGAAATTGTGTATGCATCCTCACAAGTATTAAACAGTGAGATAAGTTGCATAACTTGTATAATGTTGCCAAGGCTCCTTATGGCACTGTCACTGAACGGCATTGTTCTCAGCTCATTTTGCTTTATGAAAAATATCACATAAATATTTAAATTTAAGCAATTACATGACATATTTGATGTTTTAATGTTTTGATATTAAACATAAATTTATATATTCGTATTTGTTACAATATATTCGTAAACATATCATATTCACCTCATTGTGTATTTGTTGCAGCTCCAGTGCTGGTGTCTTGGTAAGCGAGTACTAATTATTTGTGACAGCCCCTGTGGCCCCATATCTAAATGGGGGCAGTGGGGTAGCCTAGTGGTTAAACTGTTCACTTGCCCGCCAAAGACTCGGGTTCAATTCCCCACATGGGTACAATGTGTAAAGCCCATTTCTGGTGTCCCCCTCCTTGATATTGATGCAATATTGCTGAAAGCGGCATAAAACCAAACTCACTCACTCACCTATGTCTAAGTGTTGGCCAATGAGATTAACTCAGGCATAGCTTCAAGCTGACAGTCAGTTTGATCCTCAATGCTGCACAAATTGAAATCCCTAAATAGTCCACCAAGTTAAGTGCACTACTCCCAAGAGATTAACTGTAGCAGTTATCATGGGACCCTCTACTATCACGGTGCTAGTGGGATTATAAACACCTATGGACATTTGACATTTATATTTCTTCAGTTGACTGATGTTTAATCTTAATTTCTGTTGCAAATAATGTGGCACATAGTCGCAACTTATTCAATATGATCACAGCAATCCTGATTGCCTCATTTGACCCGGAAATTGAAGCAACTCCCTATCATAACAGTATTGCTATTTTCTTGCTATAGCGTGGTAAAAGAAAATGACACTGTCAAATGTTTACTTAAGACAAGTAACGAATCTTAATAGTTCATATGTTAAGAATTATTCAGGAATTTCTTTACGATTAGTAATACCATCATGGTTTTAACCAAAACATCTGCAACTTTTATTGATTTGTATACAAGGTAAAAATAACAGAAATTATTTTTTGCCCTCTTAAAGGGTGCCATACCATTTGCTGCCATGTGCAGGGTGAAGTTACACAATAAGTCACTCCTGTTTTAGCTTTTGGACCGAAAATATGCAAATGATGTTATAGATGTTGCAGGATTACTCTTCACGAAGTAAGATTTGACTCATGCAAGATGCAATGTCATCTTTCTTTCAAAATGTTCCAGAACTTACTGCAAAGATGAATACCTAAATATTTCTACGATTAGACATGACATTACATTGAAATAAATCCCTTTTTCAACAGCGATGAATTTATTTTAAGTAAATCGCATATGTAAACAGCCGATCGCGATGCGGGAGTGGTGTTTCTGCTTTCCCGATGTTTTCACGTGCCGCAATAATAAGACAGCCCTCGGTAATAGAGAGTAATATGCCACAATTTCTTTACATTTTACAAGATAATCACATAACACACTTTAAGTCTGTCTACCAACCTCTGTCACTTGGAGCCGAGGGTTGCATCTTCAATCAGCAACGAGAAATGTGGATGCAGAAGATAAATCAGATGATTTCTAAACACATGTCATGTTCAACATTTCCGATGACAGGCTAAAATTCTCAGTTTGACAGATGAAAAACGTGCTCGCTGCCTCTCGTATTTTACGGAGAAATCAACGTCAGTATCACTTATCTATGTCTGATTTACATCCATGACACTATAAAATATAGACAGAGGCTCCGAATTAACGTACAGAGTTGTAAGATATGCAATTTATCATCATTCAAGTTATCTCTGGGCAGAATTATTTACAGATAACCTACTTCCTGTTGATATTTGCCAAGCATGCGTAAATGTCATTTCCGTTTCTTTGTAAAGTCGGATTAATGTTAACCGGACTCAATGTTAACTCCATAGTCTCTTTTGTAAAACAATGTATTCTCTGGGGGGACTTGCGAAAAAAAACGCCACTGGATGTTCAAATCTATACTTCTTGCTACAATCCCTCCAAATATTCCACTAATCCTATTGTTCATATAACTGAGAAAATATTGCCCAGCCGATTATAGGAAAAATAAGTCCTTGGTAAAAAAGTACAGGTAAAAAAGTCCTTGGTAAAAAAGTCATTTTGTAGTAAAAACTGATTTCGTTATTTATTTGACAAGATTGACAAGGGCCAACAACGTGTGCGAAGGCTGGAATACGAAGGTCTTTAACTTAGTCGGTCATCACCACCCATCTGTCTGGAAGACCACTGAATGTTTCCAGAAGGAGCAGACGACAGTAAGAATTGTAATTGCCCAGGACGCCATTGGAAATGTCCATGTGAAGAAAACCACAACTGTCTTCCTCTGCACAAACTGTGTAGTTACATTGCCGCTAGAAGTCCATCCCCGATGTTTTTCACGGTGTGGCAGTGAACATCCGACTCATAAATATCAGTAGGCCTAAACTATCTCACGTCATCATGTGATGCATTATGTAACTTTAAATATAACGTATAATGCTAATTGTAGTCATTTCGTATCTTTTTTATATCAACATTTCAATACGTCATTATGTCATAAGACCTTTACATTTGTTGTGTGTGTGACGATGAAAAAATATAAAATAAAGAAGCATTGATTTTCTACAATGAAATGAAAAGGGGCCTTTTTTACATAGACAAATTTAAGACTTTTTTACCAGTACTTTATAACCGAAGACATATTTACCAAACACCGCCCAGCCGGACCAAACACTGTTTTGATAAGCGTTTCCAGCTCGTTTAGTTACATGTTGTGTGGTTTGTACCATTTTGATTGAGAGTTATGATGTATAGGTAATTACGGAGGATTTTTCACGAGTTTGTTTACTTACATGGGAAATATCAATTGAGGCTAATCTAATCTGTTCTAATCTGATCAAATGGCTTGGGGAGAAGAAATACTGTTTTAATATGATATTTGTATGTTTATGTTGGATCTTTGTTTCTGGGAGGAGGAATTAATTTCAGCAAGAAAGGTGTACAGTGTTTCACAGGATAATAAAATGTGTAATTAATTCACGTTGGACATCGCATTTGGAGAGAAAGAGTGAGAGAGTGAGTTGGGTTTTACGCCGCTTTTAGCAATATTCCAGCAATATCACGGCAGGGGACACCAGCAATGGGCTTCATACATTGTACCCATGTGAGGAATCGAGCCCAGGCTTTCGGCTTGACGAGCGAACGCTTTAACCACTGAGCTACCCCACCGCCCTTGGAGAGAAAAAAAACGTTTACATACATAGATAAGAACATTTGGATCACTCTCGTCCCATTTCTCAATATTTCTGTCATAGACTGACATTATTTGTGAGTCCGATATTTTATTATTTACATATATGATGTGCAATGTTTACAGATAACATTATGTAAGAATGCTTTACTTGCTCCGATATATGTCGGGAATCGATATTTGAACCCACCTATCAAGAAGATTGCTCCTGAACAATGACAACCAGGTGATATTTTAAAACTGACATTTCAGAAATGTTAATGTAGGGAATAGTTTGTTGGCTGTGGTAAAAATGAGTAGCAATATTCGATGAAAATTATTAAACCAAGAGTATTTTTTAATTAGTGAGAAGGAACAGATTGTTTGATGATGCTCAGGAAGTAAATGGTGTGTTGGATACAGCTGGGGAAAACATAGATTGTTCACGAATACATGACACGTTTTTTTTATCTTTACTCGACGTTTCAGAGCTAATTCTTGCTCCTTCATCAGGTGAATTAGATTGTTCACGTTTATGATAAGATTACCCCCACCCACCCTTTCCCACCACCACTACCACCATCATACAATTCAAAAGGTCGCTCACTCAATGAGCAATCAACTTAATCATTTTCAACTTTCAAATCACGACAGACAGTTTTATATAGCTCTATTTCTCGGCACATGTGCACTCCGGAATTGTCCGTATTTTAAATGCAAACCCACTTCCGTTTTAAGACAGCGGTGAAATTAAACATTTTAGTCTTCTGTTCAGATAGAGAATCTGCGATTAAGTTCTATCTATAATGGCGAAGAAGATGAACGGAGTGCAGGATGTTGATATATTCAAAGCAGAACGGGAGGGAAAATTGAGAGAAGTTGGTAACCAAGCAGTATGGTCTTTGTCATCGTGCAAACCAGGTAGGTTCAGGGAGTATCTGGGCCAGTGCCCCTGGCAGTGGCAGTGGGTGTTTGGGTGTGTGTGAGGGCGTTTGTCGGGGGAAGTGACTTGGTGGTGATAGGGTGTTGTATAACAATTTTTTGCGAGGAAACATTTGGCTCCAAACATTTGTTTAAACCGTTCAACCATCTTTTGTACCTTAGCTTTTGAGAAGTGTATTTCTGTATGCTTACACCAGAGATCATCAGATTCGCATCATTTATCATGTGTTTATATGAGGTTTTATAGCCGTAATAACTTTAATCATTGAAATGTGAGTTCTCTAGTAACTGTTGTGTTAAGTTTTCTTAATAATTTTAGTATATTTATAAATATTATTTGGGATGGGGAACGGGAGGAACTCTTACCGCAAAATCTTGTGTATGATTATTGGGGATGAGTGTTATCAGGCCCAAAATACACAGGGATTGCAAAAAGGTTTGAAGACTAAGACACAACCAGAAGAAACCACAGTGGAAACCCCTGTGGAAACCCCTGTGGAAACCCCCTTGCTGACATTGTATCATTAGTACACCACCATCCTGCAAAAGAAACAATTTGTTTAAGTAAATATTGCACAGTCTTTGGTTTTGTTACAGCCTACAGCCATGTTCAGGAAATGACAAATATGTAGCTGTAAGATGCTGCCTTTAAGATGTAATGATCATGATGTGCCAGGAAAGCTTAACAATGTTGAAATTCCACTCAGACTGTGCTAAAAGGAAAACTTCTCAGTCAGTCACTTCAATATTTTCTGTTTTCGGTAACTTTTAAACTTAGGATTTATACGACACATGAAAACTTGTCATGTGTGAAAATCAAAACCTGTAGATAGCTGTGATTATTTTACAGGATTTGGAGTGGATCAGCTTCGGGATGAATCGTATGAAACCTTCTGGCAGTCAGATGGACCTCAGCCTCACCTTGTGAACATTCAGTTCAAGAAGAAAACAACAATACAAGACATTTGTCTGTATGCAGATTACAAGGCAGATGAAAGCTACACTCCAAACAGGTATACTGTATAATTCATGTACACACTGTAGATTGATTTGCACCAAGATCATTTCACACTAACATTGTCACACGAGGGAGACATTTCAAGAATTATACTATTACTAATATACCCTGAAGAAAAATATGCGGACAGAAGCACTTACTCTGGGTCAGTTTGGTTAATGTCTGTCCCGAAAAGTGACCTCAATATGTATAAGAACAGAGTGAGAGGCTACCTCTGATCTTGTACATACTGGTAGACATTTTTCAGTCAAGAACATTATAGTGAGCTCCAGAGACCTTTTCTCCAATATATTTCATGAGTGTATTTACTTATTCGATTGCTTTAGAAACTGGCAACTTATTAATACTGTGCGATATGAATGTTACAGAATATCCATCCGAGCGGGCAACCACTTCAACGACCTGACCGAGGTGGAGCAGGTGGAGATGAGTGAGCCGGTGGGCTGGGTGTGTGTCCCACTCAAGGACGTTAATGACAAGCCAATCAGAACATTCATGATCCAGGTCACTGTGCTGTCCAACCACCAGAACGGCCGTGATACACACATACGGCGGATAAAGGTCCGTTCTCCCACCCACTGTTCAGACAATGCCATGGTGAGGGCACAACTTCACAGCGTTAGAGTTCACACAGTAGTTGATGACAATGCCATGGTGAGGTGTACAAGATAGTGACGATGATCTTCTGTCTCCATCCATTAGAGTTCATACAGTTTGTCATCTGGATTTCAGTCACAAGATAGTGACGATGATGATCTTCTGTCTTCCATGATATTCAGTCAGGTGTACAAGATAGTGATGATGATCTTCTGTCCTCCAGGAGTTCAGTCAGGTGTACAAGATAGTGATGATGATCTTCTGTCCTCCAGGAGTTCAGTCAGGTGTACAAGATAGTGATGATGATCTTTTGTCCTCCAGGAGTTCAGTCAGGTGTACAAGATCGTGACGTTGATCTTCTGTCCTCCAGGAGTTCAGTCAGGTGTGCAAGATCGTGACGTTGATCTTCTGTCCTCCAGGAGTTCAGTCAGGTGTACAAGATAGTGATGATGATCTTCTGTCCTCAACAGTACTGGTGTTGATAGTTCTAGTATCAACAGTACTGGTGCTGTCAGTTCTAGTATCAACAGTACTGGTGCTGTCAGTTCTAGTATGAACAGTACTGGTGATGCCAGTTCTAGTATCAACAGTACTGGTGCTGTCAGTTCTGGTATCAACAGTACTGGTGCTGTCAGTTCTGGTCTGATCACTTCTGCAACGTTGGTGCCGTCGGTTCAACATCAACCAGTACTGGTGCTGGTATCAACGGTCAGTTCTGGTATCAACAGTACTGGTGCTGTCAGTTCTATCAACAGTATCAACAGTACTGGTGCTGTCAGTTCTGGTATCAACAGTACTGGTGCTGTATCAGGCTGTCAGCAGTTCTAGGGTATCAACAGTACTGGTGCTGTCAGTTCAACAGTACTGGTATCAACAGTACTGGTGCTGTCAGTTCTGGTATCAACAGTACTGGTGCTGTCAGTTCTAGTATCAACGGTTCTGGTATCAACAGTACTGGTGCTGTCAGTTCTGGTATCAACAGTACTGGTGGTCAGTTCTGTATCAGTACTGGTGCTGTCAGTTCTGGTATCAACAGTACTGGTGTTGTCAGTTCAGTATCAACAGTACTGATTACTGGTGCTGTCAGTTCTGGTATCAACAGTACTGGTGCTGTCAGTTCTGGTATCAACAGTACTGGTGCTGTCAGTTCTGGTATCAACAGTACTGGTGCTGTCAGTTCTGGTATCAACAGTACTGGTGCTGTCAGTTCTGGTATCAACAGTACTGGTGTTGTCAGTTCTGGTATCAACAGTACTGGTGCTGTCAGTTCTAGTATCAACAGTACTGGTGCTGTCAGTTCTAGTATCAACAGTACTGGTGCTGTCAGTTCTAGTATCAACAGTACTGGTGTTGTCAGTGGTCAGTTCTGGTATCAACAGTACTGGTACTGGTGCTGTGCAGTTCTGGTATCAACAGTACTGGTGCTGTCAGTTCTAGTATCACTGGTGCTGTTCTGGTATCAACAGTACTGGTGCTGTGTATCAACAGTACTGGTGCTGTCAGTTCTAGTATCAACAGTACTGGTGCTGTCAGTTCTGGTATCAACAGTACTGGTGCTGTCAGTTCTAGTATCAACAGTACTGGTGCTGTCAGTTCTGGTATCAACAGTACTGGTGCTGTCAGTTCTAGTATCAACAGTACTGGTGCTGTCAGATCTAGTATCAACAGTACTGGTGCTGTCAGTTCTAGTATCAACAGTACTGGTGCTGTCAGTTCTAGTATCAGTACTGGACAGTTCTAGTATCAACAGTACTGGTGCTGTCGGTTCTGGTTCGAATCCCACATGGGCACAATCTGTGAAGCCCATTACTGGTGCCCTGCCATGATGTTGCTGGAATATTGCTAAAAGTGGCGTAAAACCAAACTCAGTCAGTCAGTCTAGTATCAACAGTACTGGTGCTGTCAGTTCTAGTCAACAGTACTGGTGCTGGTGTCAGTATCAACAGTGGTGCTGTCAGTTCTAGTATCAACAGTACTGGTGAATGTTCTAGTATCAACATTATGTGCTGTCGGTTCTAGCATCAACATTACTGGTGCTGTCAGTTCTAGTATCAACAGTACTGGTGCTGTCACTTCTGGTGTCATTCAAAGTGTGGAGAATGTCATGTACAGCATGTAAGGCATCTTGAATGTTGCAGTTCTGGTGCAGGCATGTATGTCACAGTGTTGATAGAGTATGACAATAGTCTTCTAAAGTGTGACATAAACATTAGCTTTACTGAATATATCTACAACAGTTGTTTTGTGATAGTGCGATGGAGCTCGTGTTGGTGTTGACAAGTGAGAAATAAAACCTATCGTTTCCCATATGCATATTTTCCTAATTATTAACTAATTCTTTATGCCATTTCTTCAAAAACCAAGGTTTTACACTGTCTGACAATTCTTCACATAATGTACATCTCTTGGAGGAGAATTTTCTACTTAATGTTATTTACGCAGTAACTACACAGTTAACATGAGAATGTCTGGTAACATGGCGGTATATACATGGTTGGTTCCCACAGTTGGCATGAGAATGTCTGGTAACATGGCGGTATATGCATTGTTGGTTCCCACAGTTGACATGAGAATGTCTGGTAACGTGGCTGTATATGCATTGTTGGTTCCCACAGTTGACATGAGAATGTCTGGTAACATGGCAGTATATACATGGTTGGTTCCCACAGTTAACATGAGAATGTCTGGTAACATGGCGGGATGTACATGGCGGTTTATACATGGCTGGTTCCCACAGCTGACATGAGAATGTCTGGTAACATGGCCGTATATACATGGTTGGTTCCCACAGCTGACATGAGAATGTCTGGTAACATGGCCGTATATACATGGTTGGTTCCCAGACTTAACATGAGAATGTCTGGTAACACGGCAGTATATACATGGTTGGTTCTCACAGTTAACATGAGAATGTCTGGTAACATAGCGGTATATACATTGTTGGTTCCCACAGTTGACATGAGAATGTCTGGTAACATGGCGGTATATACATGGTTGGTTCCCACAGTTGACATGAGAATGTCTGGTAACATGGCGGTATATACATGGTTGGTTCCCACAGCTGACATGAGAATGTCTGGTAACATGGCGGTATATACATGGTTGGTTCCCACAGTTGACATGAGAATGTCTGGTAACATGGCGGTATATACATGGTTGGTTCTCACAGTTAACATGAGAATGTCTGGTAACATGGCGGGTATATACATGGTTGGTTCCCACAGTTAACATGAGAATGTCTGGTAACATGGCCGTATATACATGGTTGGTTCTCACAGTTGACATGAGAATGTCTGGTAACATGGCGGTATATACATGGTTGGTTCCCACAGCTGACATGAGAATGTCTGGTAACATGGCGGTATATACATTGTTGGTTCTCACAGTTGACATGAGAATGTCTGGTAACATGGCAGTATATACATGGTTGGTTCCCACAGCTAACATGAAAATGTCTGGTAACATGGCCGTATATACATGGTTGGTTCCCACAGTTGACATGAGAATGTCTGGTTACATGGCGGTTTATACATGGTTGGTTCCCACAGCTGACATGAGAATGTCTGGTAACATGACAGTATATACATGGTTGGTTCCCACAGCTGACATGAGAATGTCTGGTAACATGGCGGTATATACATGGTTGGTTCCCACAGTTAACATGAGAATGTCTGGTAACATGGCGGTATATACATGGTTGGTTCTCACAGTTAACATGAGAATGTCTGGTAACATGGCGGTATATACATGGTTGGTTCCCACAGTTAACATGAGAATGTCTGGTAACATGGCCGTATATACATGGTTGGTTCTCACAGTTGACATGAGAATGTCTGGTAACATGGCGGTATATACATGGTTGGTTCCCACAGCTGACATGAGAATGTCTGGTAACATGGCGGTATATACATGGTTGGTTCTCACAGTTAACATGAGAATGTCTGGTAACATGGCGGTATATACATGGTTGGTTCCCACAGTTAACATGAGAATGTCTGGTAACATGGCCGTATATACATGGTTGGTTCTCACAGTTGACATGAGAATGTCTGGTAACATGGCGGTATATACATGGTTGGTTCCCACAGCTGACATGAGAATGTCTGGTAACATGGCGGTATATACATTGTTGGTTCTCACAGTTGACATGAGAATGTCTGGTAACATGGCAGTATATACATGGTTGGTTCCCACAGCTAACATGAAAATGTCTGGTAACATGGCCGTATATACATGGTTGGTTCCCACAGTTGACATGAGAATGTCTGGTTACATGGCGGTTTATACATGGTTGGTTCCCACAGCTGACATGAGAATGTCTGGTAACATGACAGTATATACATGGTTGGTTCCCACAGCTGACATGAGAATGTCTGGTAACAGGTGAAAGTCTTGTTCTGCAGTATATACATGGCTGGCTCACTGCTTCATCTAAGAACTTAAAGGCCCCATTAAGTGTCCAACACCAGTGCTACCATATGTTCCATCACCTGCAGGTGCACCCCATTAAGTGTCCAACACCAGTGCTACCATATGTTCCATTACCTGCAGGTGCACCCCATTAAGTGTCCAACACTAGTGCTACCATATGTTCCAGTACCTGCAGGTGCACCCCATTAAGTGTCCAACACTACTGCTACCATATGTTCCATCACCTGCAGGTGCACCCCATTAAGTGTCCAACACCAGTGCTACCATATGTTCCATTACCTGCAGGAGCACCCCATTAAGTGTCCAACACTACTGCTACCATATGTTCCAGTACCTGCAGGTGCACCCCATTAAGTGTCCAACACCAGTGCTACCATATGTTCCAGTACCTGCAGGTGCACCCCATTAAGTGTCCAACACCAGTGCTACCATATGTTCACCATATGTTCCAGTAGGTATGTTCCATATGTTCCACCCCATTAAGTGCATGTTCCAGTACCTGCAGGTGCACCCCATTAAGTGTCCAACACTAGTGCACCATATGTTCCATTACCTTGCACCCCATTAAGTGTCCAACACCAGTGCTACCATATGTTCCAGTGTCCAACACCAGTGCTACCATATGTTCCAGTACCTGCAGGTGCACCCCATTAAGTGTCCAACAGTGCTACCATATGTTTCCATCACCTGCAGGGCACCCCATTAAGTGTCCAACACTAGTGCTACCATATGTTCCATTACCTGCAGGTGCACCCCATTAAGTGTCCAACACCAGTGCTACCATATGTTCCATTACCTGCAGGTGCACCCCATTAAGTGTCCAACACCAGTGCTACCATATGTTCCATTACCTGCAGGTGCACCCCATTAAGTGTCCAACACCAGTGCTACCATATGTTCCATTACCTGCAGGAGCACCCCATTAAGTGTCCAACACCAGTGCTACCATATGTTCCATTACCTGCAGGTGCACCCCATTAAGTGTCCAACACCAGTGCTACCATATGTTCCAGTACCTGCAGGAGCACCCCATATGTTCCAGTACCAAATGTTGCACCTGCAGGTGCACCCCATTAAGTGTCCAACACCAGTGTGTCCAACACCAGTGCTACCATATGTTCCATTACCTGCAGGTGCACCCCATTAAGTGTCCAACACCAGTGCTACCATATGTTCCATTACCTGCAGGTGCACCCCATTAAGTGTCCAACACCAGTGCTACCATATGTTCCTACCCAGGAGCACCCCATAAGTGTCCAACACCAGTGCTACCATATGTTCCATTACCTGCAGGAGCACCCCATTAAGTGTCCAACACCAGTGCTACCATATGTTCCATTACCTGCAGGAGCACCCCATTAAGTGTCCAACACCAGTGCTACCATATGTTCCATTACCTGCAGGAGCACCCCATTAAGTGTCCAACACCAGTGCTACCATATGTTCCATTACCTGCAGGTGCACCCCATTAAGTGTCCAACACCAGTGCTACCATATGTTCCATTACCTGCAGGAGCACCCCATTAAGTGTCCAACACTAGTGCTACCATATGTTCCAGTACCTGCAGGTGCACCCCATTAAGTGTCCAACACTAGTGCTACCATATGTTCCATTACCTGCAGGTGCACCCCATTAAGTGTCCAACACCAGTGCTACCATATGTTCCAGTACCTGCAGGTGCACCCCATTAAGTGTCCAACACCAGTGCTACCATATGTTCCATTACCTGCAGGAGCACCCCATTAAGTGTCCAACACCAGTGCTACCATATGTTCCAGTACCTGCAGGTGCACCCCATTAAGTGTCCAACACCAGTGCTACCATATGTTCCATTACCTGCAGGAGCACCCCATTAAGTGTCCAACACTAGTGCTACCATATGTTCCATTACCTGCAGGTGCACCCCATTAAGTGTCCAACACTAGTGCTACCATATGTTCCAGTACCTGCAGGAGCACCCCATTCCAGTGTCCAACACCCCAGTGCTACCATATGTTCCATTACCTGCAGGTGCACCCCACTACCATATGTTCCAGTACCTGCAGCACCCCATTAAGTGTCCAACACCAGTGGTACCAAATGTTCCATTACCTGCAGGAGCACAGGTTGTCAAATCATCTAAGATGGTGAAATTCACTGTCCATAATGCATTGCTTAGGTGCGCCAGAAACCAATGATCATGGGATTACAAATCCAGATACACCCTTATGATGTTTCTCATCACTTTCGTTCCTCCAGCAGTGCTTGTGGGTTTCACAAAAATGGCTCCATCAAGTTGACACAAGCGTTCCAAAATACACTGCAACTTACCCCCACCATCCCTCCAAGGGCAGTGAAGATCCAGTTTACAATTGATCTTCTGTAACCCATGCTTGTATTGAAAGGCGACTAACAGGATCGGATCGTCAGGCTCGCTGACATGGTTGACACATGTCATCGTATCTCACAGAGGGATGCTCATGCTGTTGATGACTGGATTGTCTGGACCAGACTCAATTATTTACAGACCGCTGCCATATAGCTGGAATATTGCTGAGAGCGATGTAAAACAACTCACTCACTCCAAGGGCAGTCGGATATCTTTGTACACGAAGTGAAAGTATTACGTGTATTCTAATTAATCCAGTAGCAATGTGTCTGTGTAAATAGGTGAAGTTTACTCTTGCCACTATATTTACAAATACATCATATTAAACTAACTTGCCTTGCATGTGTTTGTGACTGACGACACCCTTCAGGCAGAACACATACCTGTCCATGAACACCGAACACTATTTGAGAGTGGTTCTAGAACACACGCTCGTGATTTAGTTGGAATCATGAAATGGAATCTACTCTTAATAGGTGAGGTGAGGTGAAATTGGGTTTAACGTCGTGCTCGAGAATATTTCGCTCATATGACGATGTGCATGCGTGTGTATGTGTATGTGCGGCTGATTGTACTAGCCCAGACTTAAGCTGGTTTTATAGTGCTAGCCCACTGAGATACCATGCTGCAGTGAAGCATGAATACCCCACTCAGACACATTATACTGACTCCGAGCCGACCAGTCCTTGTTGTACCCATCTGCTCTTAATAGAGATTTGTTAGATTTAGGAGGTCTTTATATTCAGTCAATGAACAAGAACATGCCATCTTGGCCATACCTGTCTAGATGACTTCTACCAAGACTATAGGCCACTGTAGAAGCACCAACTCTCCAGTCATGGTCAACAGTGTATTGAGGTCATTCTTTTGCACTGACAGGGCGGTGGGGTAGAATAGTGGTTAAAGAGTTCGCTCCTCACGCCGTAAACCTGGGTTCGAGTTCCCACATGGATAGCATGTATAATGTCCATTTCTGGTGTGCCCCTTCATGATATTGCTGAAGATTGCTAAAAGCGGCATAAAACACTCACTCACTCAGGAACACTGTGATGACAAGGAGTTTCTAAAGACCTCCTAGCATATGATCACATAAGATATTTGAAAGCAAAGAAAACAGTCACTGAGGTGTTAAATGAGAGTTTAATTCAAAACACTAAAGTAACTAAAAGGCTACAGAAGTAAATGTGCCAGGTTAAAGTTTAAATAACAACACTCCCATGCTTGTTGTTACAGGTTTTGGGTGGTCAGGCTCGCAGACTTGCTAGACGCACGTGATTGTATCCCAGATGCATGGAACAGTGCGCATAATGTCTAGCCCAGTCTCATTTAGTCCTCGACCATATCATGTCGCTGGAATATTGTTATAAAAATATAACGTCATATAAATGTGACGAAAATGTTCAACACTAAACAAAATCAATACTTAAGACTGTTAAACAGATATTGACAGATATAATAATATTTTCCCTAACAACTTATAGCCTGGTTCTAAGTGATTGATTCAGTCAGATGTTTGGTGGCAATAACTATCATGCATAAATCATATAGCGCTTATAGCTTAGTTCTAAGTTATTTAATCAAACTACCTTGAGCTACTTGCATAAAATATTAATATTTCCCTTACTGTTTATTGCCTAATTCTAAGTGATCTAATTATACTACATTGAGTTACTTGTAGATCGATGCTCATGCTGTTGATCACTGGATCGTCTGGTCCAGACTCGATTATTTACAGACTGTCGCCATATAGCAATATTAAGCTGGAATATTGCTGAGTGCGACGTAAAACTAAACTCACTCACTCTAAGTGATCTTACTTCCACGGTACTCGAGTACTTGAGGACGAGTCGGGTTCAGCTGGACTCGAGTCCATTTTCAAGGACTCGAGGACTCGAAAAGGGGAAATAACCCGAATTATTTGACGTTGACAGACTGTCTGTCATGTGCTAAGCACGAGCGGCCGTTAACTCTAATATTAAGATAAGATATACATCCAAACTGTCTCAAAATGAATAATATACATAATTCACAAAAATATACACAATAATTACATGCTCAAAACGAATGTTATTTACAAATAAAACTGACATGATATAATTCAATTAACCACATAGGTAAAGAGGCTGAATAATTCTAGTTCTAATCACATGATGGTGATTCAAAATATTTGTTGCATTCACGAAATCTTGATGGTATGAAAGACTATCGAGCTCTGTTTGTTTTGAGGGAAGGTAATCGACAGCAGCGTCCAGAAGGAAATAGTTCAAAATGGTGAGATCAAATATATCATCTATCAAATCTCATTTTAGCTGCCTTTTTGACAATCTGGGGCTCATAGACAAAGGGAATATACTCGAAAGACACTCCAGAAATTTTGCAAGCAGTATTAAACATTTTGAAAAGTTTGTTTTTGTTGCGATGAGACATCCCCATACCAACATAGAAAATTGTAGGTCAACACACTTTGAATAAAGGTTTGATAAAAAACTGTCTTTACGGTTTTGTCAATGCCTTGACGATAATAATGTTCAGAATCAGAAATTAGGCCAGTAACAGTGGCGTCATCTGCAAATTTCACAGTAAACAAGTCATATATTGACAAGTAACAGTCATTGGTATACAAAACGAAGAGTACGGATGAAGGAACACAGCCCTGTGGAACTCCACTAGAGGTTGAGAGAAAAGAAGATTGATAGCCATTGACACCGACATACTGAGTTCTATGTACCCTGAATTCTTTAAGCCATCTGGTAATGTTTTCATTAACACCTAGATTAAATAGTTTACTCCTCACACGGTGTGGCTGTATGGTATTAGTTGTTACAAGTCTGCAGATGAGAGTAAATATTATACATCGTGTTAGATTTCACTTCTTAAAATGATTAGGTAACTATCTTGACAATTGATAGACATAGAGAAAGGTAAAAAATCAAATGTATGGGCGTATCTTGATCTGGATAGTGAAAAGAGCAAAATAACCAAATGCCGCCTGTGCGGTATATCACTGCGTTTTGCAGGCAGTACAAGAAGTACGAAGAAAAAAACATTTGTCAAGTAAACATCCAAATACTGATTCTGACCAATAGGAAATGTTAGTCACATGACGATATGAAGTCGGAAAGAAGTAAGTGTTCACTTGTGTGATCGGAACACGTCATGCAATTTACGCTATCGTTTGCTTGAAAGGTATGAATTTCGAGTACTCGGGTTCGAGTCGAGTCTCACCCCTCGAGTACTCGAGTCCAAAAAATGGACTCGTGGAAGCCCTACTTACTCGCATAAAATATAAATATATCTTCTAACAGCTTATAGCCTGGTCCCTGGAGTCTGTTCCCTGTGTCTTTTGTGAAAAGGGGAAATAATTATGAAGCCAGAAATTTCTAAATATCAGGGAGAGACCAGTTCCATATATTAACCAGTAAAGACTTTTATACAGTTCAGCTTTTTGTGACTTGTCTTGTACATTGTATGTCACATAATAATTATATTTTGGTATGAATAATTGTGCACGTATATATTTAGGTTAGTCAATATGCTGTAGATGTTTCCTTGGTGTTGGAGATGCTGTCTGTCAAGAAACATCACTGTACCGGATACAATATCTCAGATGCTGACAGAGTTGGGGATGTTCTCAGGAAGGAGAAAGTCGTAGGGTGGAACCCGACACTGTTTGTTGTCAGCGGTGAATGACTGTGTAATTTCTGACAGTTTCATGCGAAACCTGGAAGTAATCACAAAAGTTATAGCAGATATTCAGAGAAGGGTGGTCTTTACATTTTATACCCATAACAGCGGCTGAAAGAGTCAAGATTTTGACCATACATTCAATATTGTAGTGTTATCGAGTAGCACTGCCTGCTCGAGTAAACACGCCTTACGGCTACGTGCCACTAATGACACATGACATACAGCAGACGAAATAAAGATGGCAACCTAACATGGTGCTTGTAGTGTGTCGTCTATAGTAGCGTGCCCACCGCCAAGTTCCAAGGGAACCGCTACAGATTAGATGATACATTGATGTCAGAAGTGCTTTCTTTACTCGTTCGACTCGATGACCTGACTCTGACCTATTCCCTGAATGATGATTCTGGGGCAGTCCTGCCCCTTCAGCAGCTTCGGCGGACTCGGGTGAGATCGTTCTTAATCCTGTAACTGCACGGGGAGATATTGTCAGGAGTGTAAAATACTTGTTATCCCCCGCCACGCGTTTTGCGCGAAGCGGGGGATATAGTATTAGGCTTTGTCCGTCTGTCCGTACGAATTGGAATATCTTAAAAAAGCGTTCTCTAGATTCTTTTCATATTTGGTACCTAGGTTCATCACACTATAAGAAAGGTCAAAGTCAGGTTTGGTGACCTTGACCTTCATTTCAAGGTCACAAGGGGACTTTCACGTTTTACCTGCATGCATCTCAAGAACTGTTCACTGGATTTTCTTCATATTCAATACAAAGCTTTATCTAGGGAATGCGCAGGGCCCACATACTTTTCAAGGTCATGGCGACACTTTGAAGATTTCAGCATGTAAACCTGCATGTTAAGCTATCTCAAGAACCGTTCACTGGATTGTCTTCATATTTGAAACCAAGCTTTATCTAGGGAAGGTGCAGGGCCCAGTCAATTTTGGTGACCTTCATTTACTTTTCAAGGTCACAGAGACACTTTGAAGATTTCAGCATAGGTGACCTTCACTTAATTTTCAAGGTCACAGCGACACTTTGAAGATTTCAGCATGTTAACCTGAATTGTCAGCAAGATATTTAAAAAATAGTTCACTGGATTTTCTTCAGACTTTCAAGACTTCCCTTAAATGTTTTTCAATGAGCAATTTCTTTAGTACTATGCATATTTCATACACTATGACATTAATGTCAAGGTCAAAGTCAGTCTTGAAAATATGTGTAGTCTTGAAAATATGTGTGTGTTTGAACACCTAAAGAGCAAGATATCAAGAGAGATTGACTGGTCATGTTTTTGTTGACATTTAACTTAAACTTTCATTACTTTATAAGTTTGATTTGATAATTTGCGGTGGGGGATGATGTCACCTTGTGACAATGCTTGTTTAAGATTAACTTCGTACTTATCTTTGTGTAACATTTGCTTTTCATTGACATTGTATTTGGATTTTCATGCAGTCAGCATTTTGAACTGACAGGCTGACAGAAATTTCTCTGCTGTGTTTTAGTGATCAGTCCCTGTTCCCGGTTTTCCAAGAGCTGTGTTGTGTATGGACGCAGCTTTCAAGTTCCCGGACATAAATTCTTCCTTCTAATGTCAATTATACTATAAACAAAAAAGTATGGGAACACCCTAAAATTTGATTGTCATATATAAACTGAAACGTGGTGACGTCATTTATACTCTAAGGTAAATGCAACTTTCTGTGTGCTTAATGAACACTTTAAACGACATGTTGGAACATGCAGTGAAGCAACTGATTCAATATTTGTTGAGTTTGAGTGAAATGAAACATTGTTAAAAACAGTGAAAAACAAGGATGCTAAAACACACCAGCACCATGTTTGATTCAAACGCACAAACACAACAGCCTAGTGCATGTGGAAGACAGACTTCCCATGCAGCTTGTGGAGGACTTCCCCCAGTGTCTGTATCAGTGTCTGGAACGAAGTGGAAGCCAATCCGAAAAAAACAAGCTGGGTACACTCAGACTCAGTAGTGGTCAGACAAACCAAACTGATTAACCGTCACATTGTCAACCTGAATACATCCCTTGGGAGGAACTCTCTACTCTCAACTCGACGTGTTCAAAACATGGAGAGGACGTCCTTCACAGAACAATGTTGGAAAGTTAACAATCGACGGGGTCCACCCTTGTGAAGTTCTAGCCAGGAAGTGGCTTAAACATCTTGAGTTTGATGCAATAGATGAGTGTTTTGGCCCACAGTTTCATGTTACTGTGGACCCACAGGAGGTCCTAGCAGCTGCATTCAAACTGAATGTCGAGTAAGGGAGACAACAACCAGCAAAGCTTATGGCACAAGCCATTCCCTCCAAGATGGCGCTATCAACAGCCTGGTGATGGATCCCAACGATTCTTTTGTGACACGGCAGCTGAAAGGCAAAGGTGGCATCAGCAACACCAGGCGTAGCAAGCCTGGCTCCAGGGAAGGCTGGAGAAAGATCGATTGGAATCAAGGCATTGCTTTAACGAAATGCAAGAAAGTGGTGCTAGAACAGTGGCAATAAGACTTGGTGAGATTGAAAAGAGCAGAGAAGAATCTCGGTTTTTAAAAGGAGATGCTGCAACACTTCAAATGAGCAGCACACCAATACAATCAAGATTCAAGCCCGAATTGTCTCTGATCAACTCTTTTCAGTGGAACAGACAACCTCAAACGCCTGAGGCCTATCAGTTAGCTTTCCACAAACACCACTTGCTTATGGCAGAAGCTCAACACCAGCAGCTCAACAAGGCGGAACCTTTCTAGGTTTTGCCAACAATCGCTCTGTATGCAAAGATGTTCCGCGTCCTAAATTAACGGCATTTGACGGTCAAGAAGATTGGGAGTTGGTCTTTTTATCCATTTGAACATATGGCAAGAAGATATCAGTGGGCCAACACCGAAAAAACATATCAAGTCTTTTCATGAATCCCCTCTTTTAGGCCACCCAGGAATGACTGAACAAAGGAGCGCGTTCGACAACTGTTCTTTTGGCACAATCTTTCATCGTATGTAGAGGTGTTCGTTGCAAGGTATCACACATGTCAACCCAAGAATAGGGAAAATCAAACACTCAAAGCTCCCTTACAAGTGTACCAAAGCGGGTCACCTCTAGATCGTGTACAGCTGGACATTCTTAGACCATTTCCAGTATTTGCAAGAGGAATCATCTTGGTCATCATGGATCAATTTACCAAATTGGTCGAGGCCGGCATTTGCCCTTCCAAATCGGTCTGTAAGACTTTTGTGGAAGAGTTTGTCACTAGGTACGGAGTACCAGTTGAAGTCCATACAGATCAAGGAACAAACTTTGATAGCAACTTGTTCAAACATGTCTGCATTTTGCTTGATGTGGGTGGTAAGACAGGACCAATTCTGTATCATCCTTCCTCAAACGGACTGGTTAAAAGGTTTAATCGGAACCCAGCAACTGGAATGTGCATCTGCCATATTTGACATCAGGTTACACCTAATAAACTCATGTTTGGGAGAGAAGTGTATGGGCCTGAAGCTTTGGTCAACAGGATAGCTCCAGAGGAAAACAAATAATGCATTTCAACAGTTTGAAACAGTACCGAAGTGACAACATTATAGAGTAGCACTGCTTGCTTGACAGCCTGCTTACGGCTACGCGCCACTGATGTCACGTGACGTACAGCAGACGAAATAAAGTAGCAGCCTTGACGCAACATGCTTGTCATTTGTCGTCTAAAGTTAGCATGCTCCACGCCAAGTTCCAAGGTGATCGCTACAGCTTAGACACTACAATGTCACATAAGGATGAATACCCTTTGAACTTGAATCAGCAAATACATGCCATAAACTAATATGTGAGTGATGTCAAAACAAGAATGAAAGAATAACTACATTTTATACCAATAATCGTGACTTTAACCAAACATTGAATATGTCAGAGACAGATGAATACCTTTCAATAACATGTTAGAGTTGTGAAAATAAGAAAGAAAGGATATGGTCTGTTGGACCTGTGTATCTATCCTCAGAAAGTCATGCAACACAAATACTTACTCTTGCCATATCTGGACAGCCTTGTGGTCTTGAATGTAGATCGTTTCGAAGTCCCCTAATGCATTTGTAATCTTGGTGCTGAGTAAGTTTGCAACCAAAATCATTTCTGACAGGGTATCCACATCCGGTAGGGCCTTGAGAACATCCTCCACAGCTCGGTGTTCCTGAAAGATTTGCTTACATCCTCGAACCAACTTTCATGCAATATAATACTTTCTGCTTCCAAAAGGAATCAAAAGAATCATTTATTAACGTCAGGCAGAAAGAGGTTATCCACTCACATAACATTGTCATCAGAGAGAGCTGCAAGATATCCATTTTATCACGTACTTTTATCAGCAAGAGTTGCAAGATATCAAGTTTATCACATAGCATTATGCAAGAGGGAGCTTCTACAAGTATAGCTACCTTTTTAGTTGGTGGTGAACCCGTCAGTTTAGTTGGATAGGCCGGCGGAAAGCCAGAGAAGTTGTACTGAGGGAAGTTGACGGCGGCGTGCTGGGCGCTGCAGGTGAAGATGACTGACGTCAGTGTCTTGATCAGCTGATTCAGCTCACGGAACTTGCCACCTCCAGGAACCCCCTGTGTCACGACAGTAAGCGCACATTTGGGGAATAGGTGACTTTGTTCTTGGTACTGCAGTCTCAAATACTCCAAATGAAAAATGTTCAACGGAAATTTAAGACAAAACAGAACGGATAATCTGATTTATAATAGTATTTATTAGTAGTATGGTGTTAACAAGGATGAATACTTTCCACATTGTTCATTCCAGAATGTTTATAAAGTATCTGCTGTCAACAATTGGTAGAGGGGCCAAGGTGTTATGTCAATCTAAATGGCATTGACTTATATAGCAGACACTAAGGCCACACTGTTGAAATTTTATTTTGAATAATTCATTAACATCATCACGTATAATCAGTCGCTGGTAACCCAACGAATTGTCAAAATGACTAAGCCTGCGAGGAGACAACTGCTATTAACTGTGGGGAAAGGAAATCTTGTGATCATTTATCATTCCTTGATTTTCGGTTTGCTAACATTCTTTTCTCTACTTGTTTACCAATAGGAGTATCGATCCAAAGTTTTATACTTGTATCTTCATTTAAACATAAAGGATTTAAACATTGAGGATTATGTTGAATACAAGTACTGCAATTGGGAATATATTGTTAACTTGTGTATTTTAAGTTTTTAAGAATAATAATCGAATTATTATATCTGTATCTTTACAAATAGCAGTTGCATTTTATTTTGTGGTGAGCAGTCATTTTGACCCGAAGGGATAGTTTAACCTGTTTGTTCTATGTTGTCCGTTGCAACAGCCCCCTATATTGTTCTAGTTTTTGGCATTGCAGGTACCACTTTGGTCACCAATAGTGTAAGTTTATCCATCAAACGTACAGTTAAGTATATTTTGAATGGAAATGCGATTTATGTCAGAGATCACTTGTAGTGTATGCCCTTTATAATATTTACATATTATAATGCATATGATTTAATGCAAAAAAAATGATCAAAACTCACATTCATACCGATGCCTCCGTCTTTCGTGCTTGTTACAAGCTCATTGGCCCATGCTTGTATCTCCCGATCACTGAGGAGAGCTTGGTCATTCTCTTCGAAAAAGAGTATGAATTAAACATAATCACAAACTCATGTCACTCAAACAACCTTTACTGACTCTGAAAGTGGATGGATGATAGATGAGGGGGTTCGTCTCACGCCTATTTTGCTATAGTACCATGCAGGAAAGTCGCTTTCTGTAACATATTCTGTATATCCATCACCTGAGGGTTGAGCCAACATCAGTTTTAGCCTTCCCCTGACAAGGGGCAAGTCTTTCGCTGTTAGTGACTTGAGAGCATGAAGTGAAGTCATGCAGGCAAGACTAGCTACATCTTCAGTTGTGCAATACCACCATACATGGACAAGATGAACTACATCTCCAGTTATGCTATTCCCTCATACATGGGCAAGACTAACTACATCTTCAGTTAAGTGATTCCGCCATACATGGGAATCTAGACAATCTATGATCTACTTATGCGCCATACTTATGCACTATTAACTCAACCAGTCCAGCCTGTTAGTAGATACGAATTTAAATGTTGGAAGTCTCTCACATCATAATATTTACAATTTTATTCATTTACAGTAATGCCTTGCGAATATACCATTTTTTCAGTTTCTATGGTTGGTATTTGTACGATATTTGCTGATCGTGTGTGTGTTAATCTACATTGCAATTTTGGCCCAAGTTTTCTGTGAAGGACTTACCGTAGTACAGGTGGACATATTTGGTGACATATGCCTCGATGGCCTCATACACCTTCAAGCCATCATCTCGGTAGTGGTAATTGGGCAAAACACCTTCACCATTTACCTGAGTACAGAAAACAGTTCCCAAACATTAATGAACAAACTGAGATAGGAGGTGGAAAACCAAAAAAACGGAGAAATCAAAGGGAAGGGCTGGTGAAGGCACCATGGGAACAAGAAGAAGGAAGACAATGAGAAGAAGACCGCGATTGCTCACAGTTTTGATAAAGGTTTCATTTTTCATAAATAAACATATATAACATAATATAACCAAGAAGAATAATAATTAGAAGAACAACACCCAAACCACCAAGAACAAGAAGATGAACAAGAAAACGAAGAATTGGCAGGACCCAACCACTGCCTCCTCCAGTACCCGTAGGTAACAAACTGCAGTGATGATAGTGGAGATGACACGACGTCATCACGAGACCAAAGTGTCCACTATCCTACATCAAAGTGTAGTGGATACCATGTACATGACGTAAATACACTAAAACGTGGACTTTCCACAATAACTGCTGAAGTCGCATTCTTCTTCCAACATTTACACATACCCCTCTTCTCTTCAGATCTTCAGGTAGAGTGCCATCAACATCTAGGTGCCAGTCGGGCAGACTGTAAAACAATAAAATGACAATTGCAGCAAACGTAGTCGTAATTAAATTACACGTATTTATTTATTGTCTTTATTGTCAGGCGTGTTAATTTCCTGGTGCAAATGGAACTTGTTAATCAACCCACACTAACCTTTTGGCCATAAGATGTTCGACACCTTCTACTCCAACAGACATCAACGTGTTCAAAGCACCTCCGTCCAGCAGCAGTTCTCGGCCTTTCCTTATTACATGGAAAACCGTATGACAGGATGAGGTATGAAAACCTAGATGTAGTTTCATAATGCTGAACAAATGTAAGTTTTAGTACCATGTCTTTGATTGGTTTCAGTTCAGAAGACATTAACACTTGTCACCACGAGACAGAAATCTGAAGTTGTTATGCGGTATAAACATTGAGGTACCATAATATTGAGGTACAATTGCAGATGACAAGTCGAGCAAGTGTATAATTGTTCTATTATTATCTTTTTGTATCATTGTAAGAAGGAGTTGTTTATCCACAGTACTACCTCCATTGTTCATTATACCGCACCGCTTAAAGAAAGTATAATTGATCTAATTTGAAGTTCACGATTTTGTGAATATATACTGACAGAAACAAATAAAGGATCACGGGAAAATTCAAGCGTTCCTTTTTCTATTCAAAGCTGGTGATGAAAACTGGAAAATATTAAAGGAATGCTTAAATTTTTCTGTGATCCTTAATTTGTTTCTCTCAGTATATAATAGCGCGGCTGTAAAATCCCTTTCTATGAATTAAAGTACTATGATGACAGGTTGACATAGCGGACCTTCCACCAGGGACCTGCAGGAAGAAAACCTCATTGAGCCTGTACATCTAAAGCATGTATGTGAGCAGGCCGCCCAAAATTGCCTTCTCGGGATTGTTCATAATTTATGGCTAGGGGGTGATGATGATTTTAAGGGGGCACAAACCCATTTTGATCTGGGGAGCTATAGGGGGTCATCAATTTTGTACACACGAACTGGGGTGTGTGTGTGTGTGTGTGTGTGTGGGTGTGTCAGCAATTTTGTACATAAAAATATGATTAAAATTATGCTTAGAAATTATAGGAACGGGAGGAGGGGGTCATTGATTTTGTACATGACATTCAGGGGGGTCAATTATTTTGTACATACATTATAGGGGGGGGGGCATTCACATTGTACATGCTTTTCCACAAAAATCATCATCACCCACCACCCCTACCCCCCTAGCCATAAATTATGAACGGTCCCCTTGTACGTACTCGTTGATAGCCATTGTGCCAACGAGGTGCGGTGCCAGGAGCTTGTAGATAGGGTGATACTGAGAGAGATGCCTGTGAGTAGACAGATCCACCCCCTCCATCAGCAGATGGGTGATCCCTGCACAGGTAGATCGGGTTGTTAACATATACTACTCACATTTTGCTAAGGATCACAAAATTTCACAACTTTACTTAAAGGTAGATCTATAATTTGAAATGGATAAATAATAATATGGTTACCCCTCTTTAGGCAAACAGTCACTTTAATCTATGCACTCGATACATGAGTAACCATAAAAGTGGTTTTCATGGCACCAATCAAACATTTTGCAAATCATGGAACGAGACATTGACAAGTACACAACACATGTCAATGGTAGGTATGGGATCAACAAGATGAAATGGCATACTGAAACCTAGGATCTATGCTTACAATAAGCTTAGATATTTAAACCAAATTTGACCCCACATGACAGTTTTCTGTTGAATCCATGATTTGATCCTTAGCAAAGTGTGAATAGTATATATAGAAGTAAAATATGAATGGGAAGTATAAACACTGAAAGCCTGTCATGAAAGTAGATATTTGTAGAAAACCATGATTGGGAAATACGATCAAAGAAAGCCTGTCATTAGGGTAGATATAGCTTAGTAAACCATGTTGGGTTGTTATCTGGTTGTTGCATGAACTTTACCCAGGTGAGCTACACTCTGGTGGTATGTCGCCTCCGCTTGGTTGTACCACATCTTCGCCAGCAGCCACACATTCCGGTCATCTGACGGCAGGAACACCTGGTGTCGAGGAATAATTGTAAAACATCAACCGGTCTCATGTATCTAATGGAACAGATTACACTGGCATAAAAGCACACCGAACTGTGGACATTCACCGAAGGTATGAGTGAGAATATAACACCAAGTTCTTCTGTATAGGATAGGCAGCACTGTACTTATCACATACATTTAGTGAAACACACCTATAAACAGAGAATCAGAATGTTACCGGATTGTCAGGCCCTTTTTCCTGGAACAGCTGGATGGCGACCGGAAGTAGCTCGCCACTGTTGTTTCTGTACAGCAGCAGGATTGGGGCACATACCTAGAGGTAAATATATTGCACGTTGAAAAAGACCCGTGAAGGTCCGGGGTAGAATGAACCTTCAGTAACCCATGCTTGTCGTAAGAGGCGACTAACGGGATCAGGTGGTCAGGCTCGCTGGCTTGGTTGACACATGTCATCGGTTCCCAATTGCGGAGATCGATGCTCATGCTGTTGGTCACTGGATTGTCTTGTCTAGACTTGATTACTTACATACCGCCGCCATATAGCTGGAATATTGCTGAGTGCGGCGTAAAACTGAACTCACTCACCTTATGCAAATGCGATCATCGTCACAATAACTGGGCCCAGCTAAATGTATTCTAGAGGTATTCCATATGCTGAAACAGTATCTTTGAAATGGCGACCAACTCCAGCCTATCGGTTTTCTCACACTTCGCTTCTTTATCAATATCTCGCCCGATTAAGGCTGTACTTGATGAATTAATATATGGAGACCAACGAGGCCATATGTCTATGTGTATCCCAAAATGAATAGGAGTAATACAAACAAAACGATCGATGATGAAAATGTTTTGTTTTCCTGCAATCTGGGATCTTCAATTATATTGGAACATAACTCTCAAAACCTAAACAGTGTTAGCATCTCACTCGCACATACGTACTCTCACACACAGTACGCAATAATAAAACAACAACAATATACATATAGATATGGTTTCAATTAGGGCTGCGCAATATAACCGGTTTAACGGTATTTACCAGTTCACACATGAAACCATACGTATTGCGATACGCTGATCAAACACCGGTAATTTGACATGCATTCGGAAAACTTCGTAACACTCCGAAATCTTGATGATTGTGGTAAGGGTGGTGGGAATGATCGCGGTGAAAGTAACATTTAACTTTTTATTAAGGTCAATCAAGCATAGTGATTTTGTTGTGATTCTGATTTATAAATCACACATTAACTCGATTATAAGTAGTTTTTTGTTAAAAAGAACATCTTGCAATACATATCGCAATATATCGCAATATGAAAATTCTCTGCAATACCCACCCTAGTTTCCATCGAGGAACTGGATTCAAACAGTGCATGAGAGTGAGTATTGTCTGAAACTAATGTGTACTTAATCCCGCTCATGTTCAGCAGCTATACTTGACCTGATGAAGGTAATGACTTACATGATAGTCTGGACTGCAAGGGATGCCTTCCAGAATTCCCAAGTCGCAATAAAACAGCTTCTCATGTGCAAGAGCTTGATCCAAAGACATGTCCAGGAAAGGCTTCAGGTGACTCTCCTGAACAGCTAATCTAAATGATACACATCCAAGAGTAAGTATCGGTTATAGGTGGACTATACGCGCTGACATAGGTAGGCTGTATCGTCCTCGACAACATTGTGACTGCCGACTTGGACAGTTTAACTTACCTGTCTGGGATCTTTGCGCAGAGACGGATTAAATGAGGACAGACACCCGCAAGTCTTTGGCGACCGAAAAACCAGTCTTCCTCCCAATGTGCAATGGTCTGAAAGCATCACTATTATGTAAATATGTTTTTGTTTTTTTAATCAACATATTACCAGAGTTAACATTTTTTTACCAGACTCCCTGTTACGATATCAGACATACATCCAGAGGAACCCATGAAGGTCCGGGTTAGAATGAACCTTCAGTAACCCATGCTTGTTGTAAGAGGCGACTAACGGGATCGGGCGGCAAGGCTCGCGGAATTGGTTGACACATGTCATCGGTTCCCTATTGCGCAGATCGATGCTCACGCTGTTGGTCACTGGACTGTCTGGTCCAGACTCGATTATTTACAGACCGCCGCCATATAGCTGGAATATTGCTGAGTGCGGCGTAAAACTAAATTCACTCAATCACTCATCCAGAGGAAACGAATGCCTCTTGTGGTTTGAATAGATACACTCATATGGTGATGTATATTCGGTAGTTACAAGAACATATGTCAATATAAAAGATTTATATCCGAGATTGACAATAGTTGTGAACAAGTTTATAGATCTGAGGTTAATATTATAGACAGAAGAGAATTGGTTGACACTTGGGATTCGAATAACATCCTTTCACAGCATATTTATAGAAACTGACGGGGTGGGAAACAGCCGTCCAGAAATACCAATTAAAGACAGCCATGTCTGGACTAGTACAATAGGCACCAATATAAGAAATCTAGTGCATAATAATATGTTTAACTAGGCGTCGGGGAAGGTTCCAACAAACAGGGGTAGAATGCTCACTGTGTATAAAAAAAAAAATAATAAAAAAAAGGGGCGGTGGGGTAGCCTAATGGTTAAAGCGTTGGCTCGTCACACCGAAGACCCGTGTTCGAATCCCCACATGGGCACAATGTGTGAAGCCTATTTCTGGTGTCCCCCGCCGTGATGTTGCTGGAATATTGCTAAAAGCGGCGTAAAACCAAACTCAGTCAGTCAGTCAGTGTATAAAAAAATATTCTGTTCACTTCTGCCCAAAGAGATATGTTTTTCTGTCATATATCTATTTTTAAGTTCATTTTGAAAACTTTTAGTGATGGTTTAGTTGGGGTAATTTCAATTTACATTTATAAACAAAAGATTTGGATAAAACTTATATTAAATGAATAACACGATCATTTCAATATCCCCCCTCATTCCAAACAAAACTAAATTTTTTCCAAACTTCCTTGACCTTATGAAACTCCCCAAAGAGTTGTAAAATATCTCCTTGTTCTGTACTAAAGAAACTGCAAACTGAACTCTCTGCCTTATCAATTCTAAATAAGTATACATTTGTATTTGTATTATTCTATGCAAGTCTACATTGAAACCATCGTAATTTTGTGTCTTGAGTAATCTTATATAAATTTTGAGTTATGACAGTGTCATTTTGCCATTTAAGCTGTGATTTGTGGTTACTTTTGGAAGAAAGCAATGTATGGTATATGTTGGAAATTGTTTATTAAACAAGAAATGCAAAAGGAAATTATTAAAATTGGGGACCCATAACATTACTGAACACATCCTATAAACTCATACCTTCAGTTTTAGCAGAAAGGCTAAAGAAAGAGTTGCCTTCTTTGATTCAGGATGATCGCACTGGCTTCATAGCAAACAGATACATTGTGATAATATTCGTCTAATCTATGACATACTTCTTCATACAATAACACCTGATTTGCCATGAACGCTTTCGTTGGTTTACTTTGAGAAAGCTTATAATTACAAAACCTTGAAAGTAAAAATATTATAGAATGGGTTTCAACCTTTTATGGTGATATTCACTCTAATTTCACCATAAATGGAAATATTTCACCTCAGATTTCTGTTCAAATAGGTTGTAGACAAGGTGATCCTCTCTCATCATACTTTTTTGTTGTGTGCTAAAATTCTTGCAAATTTAGTCAAGAACAAAAACGATATAACTGGAATCAATATTGATCAGAAAACATACACTCTCTCCCAATATGCTGGAGGAAGTAAAAGGTCATTTGAAGCTACAACTGAAACTCTCAGTCAGGTTTAATGATGTAAAAATGTTAATATTGTCCACAACCGTGCGTACAAGGGCATCATTTTTGTATGTGTTTCACGTAGCCACCAAATTCTGAAAATGGGTCGATCGGTCGGGGGAAAAAAACTTATTAAAGACAAAATTATCCGAATAATGTTCTTGATTCTCATTTATTGTCATTCTTTTTACAATTTCTCGTGTTCTTTGGACTTGCGGCAGCAACTGATTAAAACATTTTAGATAGAAAAACGTTTTATATGACGAGGCAGTACGTTTTAGGTTCGAGTCGGCGGTGTTTGAATGTAAAAAAAGGTTTTTGAGGGGGTCGGCAATAAAATTAGAAGGGTCGGTCGGGCGATGAGAAACACAGAAAATAAAAATGCTGCCCCAATTGCATCATCTCTCACAAGCCTTTTGAGGCCTGAATAGACATTGCAATAACAAGTCACAAACTGTTCACCAACGGAAATCTATATGAGTTTCACTAACAGGCCACAGGTGTATCCAAGCTTGAGTAATCGCATCGTAAACAAGTCAGAGAGCATGGGTACCGTACTGGCACAGCTAGAAACACAATCAGGATGAAACCAGATCATAGCCAACTGACCTCCGCAAAGCCAATTGCTCTGATTATAAGATGAACCATATAATTTGCATGTCTTAAACCCCTACGTACAAGAAGAGCCACATCATAACGCAAGCCCGTGAATACAGGTATGACGTCTGTCTACGTGAATAACATTATTAATCGTAAGGAGGAAGTACGCTTAAACAACAGAACTAATTTACCAAGTATTTAGCCTCGTCACAACTAAGTATTTGACCTGTATGAACAAAATGAAACGAGAACTTTGAAATATTAAAATCTCCCTTGTCACTAAACCTACATAATATGGTACGGGATAGCCGGATTTCTTGTAAATCGTTGTCACTTGATCAATGCTGTATATCTTCTTTGTCAAGTGGTGCTTCTGCAAAAGCCATCTTTTAAAAGCCCCCAAGTGTACTTGTATCCGCCCAAAGAAAAGGGCCAATGTTTTCAGGATCAATAGCACCTTAAATCAACAAAATGAAAACATGGAGTCACAGTGGTGCTATACAGAATGTCTATGGCCTTACATTCAAACAAATCTATGTTTTGCTATGCAACATGTGTACCACCTATCACCTATTTTACACTAATTCAAGTCTCAATCCAGAATGTCTATGGTCTTACATTCAATCAAATCTCTGTGTTGCTAAGCAACATGATTGTACAATCTTACACTTATTCAAGTGACTCTGGTGCTATACAGTGCATGTATTTCTATGGTCTTTACATTCAATCAAATCCCTGTGTTGCTAAGCAACACGTGTACAATCTTACACTTATTCTAGTGACTGTGGTGCTACACAGGATTTCCATGGTCTTACATTCAATCACATCTCTGTGTTGCTAAGCAACGCGTGTACAATCTTACACTTATTCAAGTGATTGTGGTGCTATACAGTATGTCTATGGTCTTTACATTCAATCAAATCTCTGTGTTGCTAAGCAACATATGTACAATCAATTCAAGTCACTGTGGTGCTACATAGAATGTATATAGGATCACATTCAAACAAATCTCATAGAACCTTTATAGGCAACTCACGCTATAGCCCAATGAAAATGTCTCCTTGGTTGGCAGTTTTTTTACCTAAAAAAGAAGTCATAATATGTTTAGTTAGTGTGAGTTGGGCGTTTCGTTTATCTAAATAATCTAAGATTTGGAGATTCCAAATACATTCCTTTCATAACTGTATGCCACTGAACATGAGCATGGTGGTGACAAACCCAAGACAATATAATTAGGACAGTTCTGGGGTTGAAACGTAGTCATCACATTCTGGCACGAATAAGGAGTGAGTGGGTATGGCTTTACGCCGCTTTTAGCAATATTCCGGCAATATCACGGCGGGGGACACCAGAAATGGGCTTCACATATAGTATCCATGTGGGGAATCGAACCCGGGTCTTTGGCGTGACGAGCGGACGCGTTAACCACTGGGCTACCCTGGGCAACTGTGTCATACCGGCCAGAAGACAGTTTTGTCGTCGGAGGCTAACAGTTGGGAGTGCAAAGTACATTATTTAATATCTTGCTGAGGGGATTATTATTGTACAGACATGGGGACCTGTAATAAACCTACAAGTTGTGATATTACGACATGTTGTGTTTACTTCTATACATCATATAGATTGTGCGGCAGTAGCCCTCACTTCCTGGTTTCCTCATGTAAATGGGATATACCTACATACCTAATTACATAAACTTTTGACAAATCCACTGTGTAACAGTGACTAATCAGTCAACTTTTTATCGGTTAATGCTTAGATCGATGATGTTTTCCTTCATGGAACTCAACCAGTTTAATTATAGATCTAGAAAATTGGGTTTAAATAAAGGCGTCAAATATATCAAATGTGTACTGGTAAAATAACATGGTATTATAATATGACCTAACTAAATATCAAAGTACAAAACAGAGAGATGGGATCCAAATCAAAATCAGTCATAATACAATGCACGCATCAGAAATGGGATATTTACAACTAAAGGGCATTCTTGGTCGGGTTGAAGAACATGCTCCCTATGCTATGCGTATTTATATATAAACACCGTCTTCACAGATGGTAGCGAAAAGTCTCATGTCACGCTCCGTTGCGTCAGCCGGCAAATCGTCTCCCGACAGCTATTGAGCGCTAGTTGACGTGGTTGACTGACGGGTTGAAGCCTTAGATGACTAGCCCTTTAACGGGTGGACTGACCCATCCGTCTATACGATCACCCCCGCTTTATAAGCCTCGATTTGCCGGTGAACGCAACTGAGCGTGAATGAAGACTGGGCAGCCATCGGTTGAGACAGCGAATGCATATATACAAGTCGAGGAGATGGTATACATGTATATGGGTGGACCGATTCCTCAAGTCTTAAACGGTGAGGTGATGGTATAGAACGGTGGACTGACTCCACGAGGCTTAGAATGCG